TTTGAAAACGGAGCCAACACAGAATCACAAGATAAAACGGGTCGAATAATACTTTCCTGGGCTGTCAAAGGTGGCTTTGTGGATATTATTGAGTTACTAATCAAGAACGGAACCAAATTGGAATCGCGAGACCAATCAGGCCGAACATCATTTTCCTGGGCCGCCGAATATGGATTCTGGGGTTCTATCGAACTACTAATCAACAACGGAGCCAACGTGGAATCCCGAGATGAAACAGGTCGAACACCCCTTTCCTGGGCAGTTAAATGCCGCGATGGGCTTAATGTTGAAATATTTCTTGAAAAAGGAGCCAATGTGGAGTCGCGAGACGAATCAGGTCGAACACCACTTTCTTGGGCTGTCGAGAATGGCCCTCTGGATACTATTCAACTACTACTCTCTGAAAGAGCAGACCTGGAATCGCGAGATGGAACAGGGCGAACACCACTTTCCTGGGCTGCCAAGAATGGTTCTCTGAATGCTGTGGAATTTCTTGTTAAAAAGGGAGCCAACGTGGAATCGCAAGATGAATCAGGCCGAACACCCCTTTCCTGGGCAGTTGAATGTGGCTCTAGATCCAGAGTAGAATCACGGGATGAAGCAGGTCAAACAGCAATATCCTGGGAAACTGCGACAGGATACAGGGCGGTCGTGGATCTGCTACTCAATAAAGGAGCCCGTATGGACTCAAGGGACGATTCAGGTCGGACTCCACTAGACTGGTGCGAAGACATAACCGAAAAGGAATACTGGGCGCAATGCCAAATCCCAGATTCAATGGGGCTTCCAGGGCGATGGTTGCGAAGGAAAAGCTTTGAGGATGGTTCAAATGCAATCACCCCAGTAATCGAAAATTTTTGATCATTGCTTTCAACAAAATGTCACAGAAGCAATAAAACCAACTGAACCAAAGGGTCATGAACGGTATGGAAGCCGCAGAACAGCGTTTGCGGTGTCAGTCGAATGACATGTGCCCTCTGCCTCTAGACCTGCCTCTGCAAGAACCAGATATATGCTGCTCTATTGCCTGCCACCTCCTTCTAGTCTCCTCCAATAAATCTGGCGGGTTTTTATTCCCCACGTTTAGTTGCTTCATTGAAGTATCAACGTCTTCTCCAGCAGCACTGTTCAGAGCACATATAATCTCATCCTGAAGTCTGATCCTGTTCGCAGTTGTCACCTGCTCATCTTTCCCATGATACCATACATGGTCATTCAAAACCCCTCGCGCTGCCGCATGAAACAGCGTTTCGTAGAGAGTTCACCGAGCCCTGAAGTCCACTCCATACCTGGGTACTCAATTAGACTGGTTTACAGGCGAAATAGCATACGTCGTAGTACAACTTGCGGAAAACAATTCAGAGAGAGAATATGTGCTTCCTAATCAATCATTAGCTACCTAGGTGTAAACGTCAGCTCTTACTTAAGAATTACAGACAATGTATCCCAGCGGGATATCTATCTATCAAAATGGCCGACGTAATATTTAAAATATACTTAAGTACTACCTATTAGAAGCATTACGTAGCTCAAACCGTGTAGGGTGCCAGTTATCCACGCCATGGACTCCATTAGATCGTCCGCAATAAGCGAATCGCCAAAAATTCTTAGTTCGATTCCGTCCACGAACACCAAACCAAATAGCCGCAATAATGAGACTTGTATCCACCACAGCCGCAGCGATTTTGCTTCCGCCGGGAAATCCATCGAAAATCTCACTAGCACTACGCTATGCCTGAGCCGAGACCATGGTCACAGGCCTGTCAGACCTCGGGAGGCCGTGGATACGTAAATCAGGGGGCCGATTGTGACCAATTGCGATCGCCGTGTGCTGGGATACATACCTGTACTCGTAGAATACTCCGTAGAAGGGCCGAAATTTGGGTATAGATCATCGCCTGTCAAATGGGGGATAGGTTTTCTGGCGGATCTGCATATGTGTGTTGGCAGTTAGGGCTATTCATTGGGTTTGCGCTATGCACCATGTATCACTGCGGGGCTTACTGGGATTTTCACAGGTGTCGCGTCCTTGAGGCTCTGAGTTTGTATCCTGGACACACGATTGATGGCCTTGTCGGGTATGACGTTGACTATCAGCTGGAAGGATAAGCTGTTTCATTTAAAGGGACACGATGCTTGTACCCGTGTGTTGTTTGAAATTTCGACATCTGTGTAGCTGGATCGGGTTAGAGGCTAGAATTAACTGAGGGGCCAGCACATTACCCGCTAAATAGTCGCCGGTGATAAGTCGACAGGTCTGTTCTTGGCGATTCATTAGGATGCCGGGTGAACTTTGAGGACTGAGTATCTCGTGGTGTTGAATGAAACAGGCCTACTACCCTTCATTAAGAGTATACTCTTATGACTTGAGGTCTGGATGACTTGGGCTTAGACATCTTCCTCCAAAGGATCAATAAGCATTCATGCAATCTCCAGTTCATCTTGTGAAACCACGTTAGAAGCGAGGATCCACCTAGGCACCCAGAAACAAGATTAGTAAAATGCAAACCTGATAACCTTGCATATTAACCACCTCCACGCCGAGGTAAACACGAGAAATGAAGCATTTGAGCCGCAAATTCCCAAATTCCGTGGGCCATCGGCGGAGCCCCACAGGGTTGAGCGAATAAGAAAGTAGCAATGGGCATCAGACCCCATTCATTGTCTCGGAGTGACGGCTGGCGTTTTACCCGAGGCGTGGAATGCCCAGGACACGCCGTGGGATCTACATATTCCCATCCCCATTGGGAAAGGCGTGGTCGAGGATGTGAACAAGCAGCCAGATCGGTTCGAAATTTGGGCCAAAGTGATGGGATTTCGGAGTGTGCCGTGTTGCATGGACTGGTCTAGTTGATGGAGTCTACGGGGTGGTGCGGGTGGTTTCTCGCTGGCTTTGCAATAGATATTTTGAAACATTTCTCTCTTTTTCATTTAATGTTCACCTTGACGCTTATAGTATAAGAACTTGCTGCGTCTTCTATTCTTACTGTTCTACCAATAGCAGCAGCCTCTTGCATTGCATCGTATCAACATGCACCAAACCATCCCCGGAGACGAAGTCTACGGACCCGGAACCTACATCGATCAAACCGTCCTCCCCGTACCAGAAGATACCCGCCGTGTCTTCGAGTTCCTCGCCTCCAAAACCCCCGGCTTCACCCAAGATCCCGCACTATGGAACACCGTCAAGTTCAAAGGCCGACCTGATCCCATGGTTCCGGGCCCAATGAAGTCCCCCGTGGTAACAGCAGCTCTACACGCCATGTGCGGAGTAGTTGCCAACGAGCTTCTCGAGCTCCGGGACAACAAGCCAGCGAAACAAGCATGCGTCACTGTGGACACAGACCATGCGGGAATCTGGCTCGCATCGACATTCACCGCATTCGTCAACGGGAAAGATATTTCCGAGCTTGTTCGGGCCCGCGAACTGGCTGGGATCTTCGATAGGGATTTCGAGAAGGGATTCGGCGTTGGACCATTGGCTGGTCGGGCAACGGCTCTGTATCCGACTAAAGATTCCAGTGTGTGGTACCAGCTTCATGGATCGTTGGATGCGGATAAGACGCTCTGCTCTATGGGTATTGATATCCATGTTCCCTTGAAGAATTTCGCAGAGGGATACGAGTATATCCGTGAGCATGTGCAGAAGTGGAGTCCTGATGAGTTGGAGATGCATAATATCAAGAACGGCCTTTGTGGTAGTATCTGCTACTCGCCGGAGGGTTGGAGGAAGACGGAGATGGGGAAGCGTCTCGCAGAGTATCCTCTCGTCAACTATACGCATGAGTCGTATGCTCAGTCGACTGCGCCAACACCTTTGACGCAATTGCCTGATCGTCGTCCGTTGGCTGGGATTAAGGTCGTGGAGATGGTACGGATCATTGCTGGTCCCACTGTTGGTGTGACTTTGGCGTCTTTCGGAGCCGATGTGATCCGTGTGAATTGCAGCAAACTGGCTGATTTGAATGTATGGATGGTTTTGTTTGATCTCCAAAATCCCAGTACTAACGTCTGTAGGTTCTTCAATTGACTCTCAATGCGGGAAAACGAACCATCGATCTTGACATCACAAATGAACAGGATATGGCCCGACTCAAGGAACTTGTGGGAGAGGCGGATGTCTTTGTGCAAGGTTTCCGCTATGGGTCACTGGACCGGAAGGGTCTCGGTCTCCAGAGCATGCTCGACATGGCAGCGAATAGAAACAAGGGCATTGTTTACGTCGACGAAAACTGCTACGGTCCATCAGGCCCATTCGCCGAAAGACCCGGCTGGCAGCAAATTGGAGATGCCGCATCGGGTGTCTCATATGTGATGGGTCGATCATTGGGATTCGACGAAGGGACTAGTGTTCTTCCCCCACTACCGATCTCCGATATGACCACAGGCGTGGTTGGTGCTTTGGCTACCATGCTGGCTATCAGAGACCGGGCTCAGAAGGGAGGTTCGTATCACGTAGTTAGCTCGCTTGTAGCAGCAGATACGGTTCTGCTCGACGCTGAAATTGGTCTGTATCCCGTTGATGTGGTGCAGAAGACAGCCGATACGTTCAAGTTTGAGCCCTCTACTCCTGATCAGTTCGTTGCGGAGATTATGCTCCAGATTCTCGATGGCTGGAAGCGAGTGTTCCCAGAATATCTTGAGCAGCAATCTCCATTCATGATGAGCTTCCAGGAGACCCCATGGGGTCAAATGGATATGCTGAAGCCTGTGGCCAGGCTCAGTGATGAGGATGCCAGTCCTATTTGGACAACACCCCCTGTACCAAATTGTCACCATGACCAGGGCCTCATTTGGAGGTGATTCAGCTCTGAAAATATAGACTTCACATATAATGGCAGTATGTCCTGTCACGAAGACAGGCTTTGTAAGATTCATTCATAATTCTTCCAGTGGTGCGTCAAATTCATATGCACCAAAATCGAATGCCGGTGGTATACCCGCTATCATGTCCTGCCAGTTCCAAGAAAGGGGACCAGGCAAGGATGTCTGCCCTGAATTGAGCAGACTCTGGTCCGGAGCGGACATATTCCACTGCGGGATATCGCCGGTAGCACCTTGAGGTGGCTGGTAATAGTTGAAGTCTGCTGCGAAGTGTGGTTGAGCATCACTCTGCGACGCCTGTCCTTGAGAACGACCAAAATTCGGCTGGGAAATTCCCATAGAATTTGAGCTCGCATTCTTCGCTCGTAGCACCTCCTTTCTGGCAGCAATCTCAAAATCAGAACACAGTGCCAAGACATAATCCAAGTATGTGTCTTGCTCTTGGGATGCAACCTTGGATAGAAAAGTCACCACGCGGTGAAGTAGAGCGACGTCTGCGTCAGAATCAGGTCTCAGAGGATTTATGAGTATTTTCGAGAAGAGTGCTACCGAGGCAGCTCCTGGGAAGTAAACTGTGCTCCTGCACTGACTGTCAGTACCGCTGTAATTTGATCAACTAAGCATGACAACCTTACCATTCAAACGACTGCCCAAAGTCATCTCGGACTTGGCTGATCAAGTCGATCACAGCTCGCGCTGCTTCCGAAGATTGTTGCATTGAGTTTTCTCTATCAATCAACAGCCCCAGTGGGGTGGCAGTTTCATTTGCTGGCCGGGCTGGCCAGCGTCGGGGAAGTAGACACACTCGGTGGATATTGAGGCAACAACAGTGGTATGAGAAGTGGAGTCTCAGTATGTGGGTGAGGAAGACATGCTGGTGGATCGAGAAGTTCCTCTGCGGTCGCAGTACCAGCGGAATGCTTTGTTTCCACGCTTCTATGTCCTCAAGACATGATCTGACATCCACCATAAGCTGTTCTTCGGTCTTGCGAAACGCGTCAGTACTATACAACCCATCACAAACGCGCCTTTGGATCAGAGAAAACCGAGCCAAAGCCGAGAAAATATTAAATTTGATATTCCCAACTTCCAGTACACCAAGGCCATCGGGTGGATCCTCCCGAGGGAGAGGAGTACTGAAATCACGCGTGTCCTGAGCGGCAGGACGACCGGTGCGTTGGCAGATGTCTGCATCCAATATGAATGCAATCCAGAAAACGCGTCTCCGTTCCTCGATCTGGGATGCCGGGAGACCAAATGAGTTGGACTTGTGCAACCCAATTGACTGCGCCAAACGAACGGCTGAAGCAGAGAACATGAAAAGGGGCTGGGGGTTCGGTGTGCCCTGGAAAAAGAGGGCTAAGCCAAGCAAAGCCTGGACTGCAAGGAGGTCACTGGTCCGCATGTACAGTTCCGTGAGAACATTCATGGCGTTCTTGACATGACCCAGGCAATTTTGCCAGTCCTCGCTAGCCGCAGCTGCGCCTTCAGCCCTTTGCCTGTACCCTAAAGCAAGGACAATATTTAGTGCAGCCCACCAGGAGGGACTTTCGCTGGGATTCCAGGAGAAATGCCGATTGACCATTCCCATGAAGCTTTCGGGGTCAAAGAGAGGCAATATTTTGTTGGATGTGGCAAAGTATTCCTCAATTAGTTGTAGTATGACATTCTTTGATGGCAGAGAATGCGAGCATTTGCTTTGGTAGTCATCTTTGAGAATTCGAGGGTACCAGTCGGCCAGCCTCCATCGGCTACCGTTCCTCTGGGCAACATGGCGCCACGCATTGTTCCCCGTCTTGCTTTCGAGCCAGCTTACACCCTCAGGGGAAACAATTGAGAACTGAGAAGACGCGCCTGGGTAGAATCAGTTCCACCATCCGTGTAACCATTGAGAAACGGCAGTCGGTGAGCGAATACATACCAAAAAAGCGCATTGCACCCTTCGGGGTTTTCAGGGTATATGACCCTCCATCACCGTCGCCTCGATTGGCCTCGGCCTCGGCCTCGAAGGGCACCTGAGTGGTGCCATCTGTTGAGGACGGTAACTCTGAATCGGAAGCATCCGAGGCCTGGGCGTGTGCTGCTGTGTCATCGGCGCTGGGAAGTCGTCTTTTCTTAGACGACCGCGCATCACTCAACTCATCCTGTAGAGATCGAACGCGCTTTTCCAGTTCAACGATGTGTTCTTCGCTGGCGACGAAAGTCAGCTTTCCAAATTGCCCAAGTCAAGCGTGGGTCCACTACCGGTTGGGCTTCCTGCGTCGCACGGTGTCTTCGTACTTGCAGGGAAAGTCAAATGTCCTGCAGGGGACACAGACAGGCCGGGTTCCATCACATTTTACCTTTTTCTTTCTGCAGATGCTGCAAGCCTGTGTGCATACGCAGAGACAGTCGAGTTAGCAACTGGATTTGATTGTCAGGGTGAAGCCAGGTGTTTCCATACCTTAGCCAGGCGTACAACATTGTCGGCATCTTCCATGGTACACAAAGTAGCAAACGCACTGAACCTGGGGATTCCCCAATTAATCCCATCAGTTTCACGACAACGTTCGAATGGAAAGCTGAGGCCAATTCCCGCAGAGCCGAAGGTATTCAGGTATCAAGGCAGAAATGCTGAGTCACCAAGAGCGGCCCATCCAAACTTGCATCTTTCAAGGTCAACTGGCGAGTTATTAGCTGGGAGTATACACTTCACCTAGGCAAAAGAGCACCATGGTGGTCTAATACAGCAAGGTGACCTGCTCTGTCGAATGACGTGCCCGGAACTGTATATACTCCCCGTGTGAACCCGTCGGGGAGGTCTTCGGTATACAGAACATTTCTACTTCCGAGGCCATTCTGGAAGACTCATACTTCCGGTCCTTCATCGGACCACGTTAAGGTAAAAATCTAGATCCAATCTATCGGCGATGCCAAAGCTTTAGAAGCTTTAGTGTTAAGCTCCGGGCCTCCATTGTGTAGTTCGTGAGGTAAAGTTATCGACCGAAACTTGTACTTCGTCTTCCGTTATCAGCAGCCTATGTACTTTTCATCTCCTTCGAAATAAAAACAGGCTTACAAGGTACCCAGACACTTCCATTCATCCGCTAGAGACGATATCACCTCCAGGCAGATACCCAGAAGCCCTATCGGTAAGACATCTGGTTGAGAGGGCCGATCACAATGCAACAGCAATGAGACTTGGTAACCCAATCTCAGAATAGCTCAGCCAGCCATGAACTATAAACCCTAAAGTGCTTGCAAATAGAAAAGAGAAGTCTGAGCCGAGAGCTATTGAGATATAATTGGTCTCAATGACTTAGATCTGCTGTGACCACCTGTCTGCACCACCTTAATTTCCACTCAAATGAATGGTTGTGATTCAGACCACAGTCACACCGATCTATGCATGACAGACGATGCCCCCTTGGACAATGTTACTTTGCGTCATTCGACAGTATCAAGGGGCGATGTAACTGTAGAACAAAAGAGGACTTTCTTGACAACGACCGAGACACATCGAGCAATCCAAGAACATGAAGCCATATTGTGGACGAGCTCACGCAGTCTATTGGATGATGGGATATTGCAATGGTCCACCTGGGCAGTCGATGATCCAGTCCAGCTTGTTTCAGTCCCATCATCCTGGAGTCTCCACCTGGCAAGGGAGCATACATGGTTGCAACAGCTAGTCGGCGAAGGCAAATGCAACCAGTGGTTATGGTGCTATGCCTCAAAGGGCGACTTCGCAGATATGGTGTTTCCCAAACGTATGCATTTGGCTGAAAAAGCAAAGGTCGACTCCAAACACTGGAAATGAATTGATCATGGGTGGGGTGAGGACTGAATATAAAAGCAGCGGAAGATCCTCGTGAAGTCCTCGTCCATTGCCAACCTCGAACAATCCCAACCCAGCTCACTTCAAATAAGACTTAAACGACCACAGTCAAAATGGTCTCCCTTCGATCTCTCTGGATGGTCGCTCTTGCCTCCCTGGGTGCGACCAGTGCCATCAAACGACAAGAAGCTCAGGCGCCCCCGGATGCTGCTGTCTCGACAGATTGTGGGTTTCATATTAGACCTCCTTCGGGAATCAGGTCAACCTAACACGGTTACAGGCATTGGATTTGATATCGTTATCACAGGAGATACCTGCTGGGATATCATAGCTCGACACGGCAACACGTTCACCATGAGCCAACTACTGTGTTGGAACGCGGAAATCAACCACTCTTGTTCCAATCTCATCCCCGGTCGTAGGGTCTGTGTTAAAGTCGAGCACCCTGACCTTGCGCAGTGCGAATAGATCAATGGTTGATCTAAAGTTTCGCTCGAAGATGTCCACAATACCAACTTTGCCTCGTGTGAAGCCGTTGTGATCTTCCAAGTTGCTCGGAGGAAATAATCATAAGACGATAGTCGAGATCTTGTTATGGGAATGTTTGTTCTGTGTTCAAATTTGCAGTAATGTATTTTTGTTCTCGTCAGTTCGTTAAGCTCCCTTTCGGAGGACTTGAAAGCCTGTTCAAATTCAACCCAATCCGTTCACTAGACGTTCGCTAGACTCATGCTTTGCTTTGATACCAAGCATTGTGTAGGAATTCTCTCACGGTGAGTGGCTTCACCTCGGAGAACTGATCACTCAAACGATCCTTCGGCAGGTCGAACACATTGTTAACAGTCAATCTACTCACCAGTGCAGTGATCTCTTTCAGATCATCTGAAGAAGAGTCCACGCCCTCTGGCTGGGTAGGTATTGTGACATTCCCAGCCTGGATTTGCTCCAGGCTATCGTATGTGATCTTAAATTTCTTGCCTGCACAAAAGAAAAGTCAGATCCAGTCGGAATAAAAGCGCAATTGTCTCATTGACTTACCAGTGAATTCCTCGGCCATGCCAAGTATTTGGTTATAAGTAACCTCATCACCGACAAAGATGCTAAACTCAGGCCACTCGTCAAGATCCAGGGCTTTGACCAAATACGTGGCCAGATCATATGTATATGTCATACAGATCACGTTGTTGCCATCTCCCGGGATGGCAGCCGTGCCACTCGCAATGTCAATTCCAAAAGTGAATGGCTGCAGATGTGTTTTGACTTTTGGCATTCCCCAGTAGTCCATGAAAAATCCCGGGATGACCCTGGTATATTGCAGACTACTTGTCTTGAGACGTTCCGCAGCATCCAGCCACCATTGGATACTGGGGTCAATTGACAATAGGCTATGATACACTGTTAGCACGTAATGGACATTTTCCGAAACTTCCACATACTCGGACGTTTGGATGAATGAGTATTCACTTGGAATAAACCGTTTCGTGGACGCAGACCTGTCTGCAGCCTCGATCAAGTTCAGCTGAGACTGGCTTGTCTCTTCCGAAACAAGACCAATAGCGGATATTAAGGTGTGGATGTTGTGTCGCTCCAACTCCTGTGTCATAGAGGCAATGTCGTCGTACTTAATTTGCACATTCCGAACCCTGCTCGATGTATCGTCCTGCTTTGCCTGACGGGGATGAGTACGCGCTCGATGGTCGGGATCCAGAATATTCAGAACATCCGGAACATACCGAGCGGGATAAAACGACCATGTCGAATTGAGACTCCAATAGTTTCTCGACAATAGTTTGACCCACGCCACCACTTCCGGCGACTGCAATAACCACCATACTTGGAACCGGGGATGATTCAGTTAGAATATTCCCCGCGTGCCCCACTGATAAGTTGCAGAATCAAGTGATAGGTCGATTCTAGAGAGGTGCAGCAAACAAAATCGGGGAATCGGGCTTCACTTGCTTCGGCGACTTCGCGATGACTAAGACACATAAAAAAGCACCGATTCCCAATTGATTATATTCACCTTCACCCTCAACTCCACATCCTCTCAACATGTGCAGAAAGACTTCCTGCTCCGCTTGCAGTGGGTTCAATTCTGTTTCTCAAGTAGATCTGAGCTGACTCTCGCAGACAAGGCCACCTGGTTCGGCTGCGGCATGCACATCCCCGCAGTCATGGACTCCGTTCCCGCGGGCGACTGGTGTGCCTGCACCCCTCAAGTCGAAAAGGATGGAAAGATGTATCCTCCTAAGGGCCCCATGCCCAACTGACTCGATGGTTGTGTGATTTGTTAGGGGTTCTGGGGAGGCAGGTTTCGAAAGATGGTGAACCGAGATACCATCAGGGGTTCAATGGTGTACCGATTCGTTTGAGGGAGGTTTTATTGCAGTAGCATCAAATGTCATTTCTTCGCAATGTGCATATGTGTTGGCAAGAAGCAGAAATGCAATGAACATTATGGCCGAGGCATCTTGGCGTTGAGTCAAACAAAGGGAAAAAGGAAGATGAAAAAAGCCGAACTCCAGAGAAAATTGGGAAAGGCTCAGACGCGTCTAATTTCAATATACACTGCAGCACCTGGTCGATATTAGGATTGTGGCTGCTCAGAAGAGAGACAGGACATGCAGGGCAGTTGCCCATTCTGCTACGGTGTACTTCGTACGGGTTATCATGTATATGCTTTCCCATTCTATCCCAGAAACCAAAGACTGGCTTTCTTTTGTTCTGCAAGTCCCGCGTTCACTGTACAATTTTCCTTTGCTTCCTCAAAAGACCCGTTGACAGAACAAAGATATCAAGCCAGCTGAGCAGCTAACCTCTGAGAACCAAACTCAAGTTTATGCTTTCTTTGTTCAGACCTGAGCTGTGATGGCCATACTCTCAGGCTTGTCTAGCTTTCTCCCAAAGAACTCTGCCTTTTTGAAATGAATATCATGGGATCCGACTGCATTCTGTCGAGCCTCGTTCAACTGAGAGGCTTGGCGTATCTATCTCCAGACCTATCGATGCTTAACCGAGCTCTGGAAAAGGAGAGGATGCCTGTATGTTATCAGTCAATAGCGAAAGGCATAGAATCATGAGCACACATAGCTCTAGTCTCCAGCCCTTGCTCATAGAGAGAGTAAACTTCTGTGCTTTCAATCCCACTTTCTTTATTCATCAACCACATTCCCATCACTAAGGCCAAGACTAGCAACTTATTATAGAAATGAACAAAGCAAGCCCTACTTCACACTCACTAGCCCCAAGATTGCTGGGCTTCTTCGTTTCAATTCGAGCTGGAGACCAATACCTGCCACCCATGGATGGTATAGATCTCGTTTCTTTGTCCTGCTTGATGCTAGCCCCAGTCCCCAGAACAGTCTCCCAGGGTTGTTCTGTTCTTTGTCGTTTCACGCCCGAGGTTTTCTCCCCTCCACTTTGCGGTATACAAATATGACCATGCCGAACACTCAATTCCCAGACCATCATCTTCTGAATCCAAACCTCACGCTCATCTATACTTTCAAAGCTAAGACCAACTCAAACACCCATCATGCCACCCAAGAAGAAAGGCACACTCAAGCGCAAAGCCAACCCACCCGAAGAGCCCGAGCCTTCAGATGTCTCATCTGTCGCCTCAGAGCCACAAGCCAAGAAGCCCAAAGGCCTCGGCAGAGCCAGAGCCAGAGACTCCCCACCGCCACTGTCCCTAGATTACCCTGAATCCTCCGATGGAAAGAAAAAGCAATCCGCCAGCTCACATGGCAGCTCAGCAATGGCAAATATGATGCTCGCTAGGCCCAAAGTGGTCAGAGGCCAAGTGCCATCCAAGCCAGGGGAGTTCCCAAAGCACGTGTCGTACAATATGATGTACCATAGCGCTGGTCTAGGTCCAACCCATGCACCAAGGACCCTTCCACCACGACAGGAGCGGTGGAAGAATCCCAACAAAGAGCCCATTACTGAATGGGCTAATGCGCCAAAAGGCTGGACTCCCAGTGAACCTGATCTTCACCGCCATGATCTCGATGCTCAGATTGAGAGGTGTTATGAGAGAATCGAGGATAATATCTTGCCTGATCTGTTTCGGAAAAGATTGGATTGGTACTTGGGGTGGAAGGCTAATCAGCAGAAGATTTTGGATGCCGCGCCCAATGGGGCTGACTTTGAGCTTGCTCAGCGTCTTCATCATCTGAGTGGTATTCAGAATGTGCTTCAGACTGAAGGTGATCCAGATGGACAGCTTCCTAATGTTCGGGCTCTTGCTGCTGCTCCTAGGACTGGGGGGCTGAAGATTGAACGGGGGGTGGTGACTTACTGGTCTAAAGGTGTTAGACTCAATGAGCCTACGAAGTTCAGTCGGGAACTGCATGAGAAAATGCTGCGGGAGAATGATAGCACGCACTCATTTTGGGTGGAGGGTGTAAGTTATTCGCATTCCCTGTTGACACAGCTCTCATTTCTCTAATTCCAGATGAATATCTAGGTCATCCAGCCTGGGCCTGTCAATATGAACGTGATGGGTTGCTTTCCGCCATTTAACACCTCGCACGCAGTTGAGGTAAGCGAATATCACTTGAGCAAGACTCCATGATTGCCACTACTCACATTTATAGTTTGATATCTTCTTGACAACGAACGCGGATCCTGATCCCCCAGAATCCCTCAAAATAACAGTCATACACGACACCGGCGCAGACCTAATGGCACTTCCAGAAGACCAATACCAAGAGCTCGAGAAAATGATCACAAAACCAACAGTGCTCGGGTACTCGTTGATGCAAGCAGCAGGAGGACACATTTTCTATACCAAGGTAGTTCAGCTGGAGCTTATTATGCCAGTTCCATTCCTCCAGGATACCTGGATGAGCGGTTGGCTGATGTGCCCAGCTGCTGTGGTCCAAAATCAGGCAGGGAACAATCATGGTGGAATGGCGCTCTCGGGTCCCTTTCCTCGTTTCCAGTTCTATACTGCGACTTGTCCGAATGGCTTGGGGTTGTTGTATTTGTGTTCGTTTAAAAACGACTTGACGCTTTCGCTTCCTGATCTACCACCAGATTATCAGACAGAAATCCCGCCAACGGGGCCACTCCAGCCACCTTCACCTGGTGGTGGGCCACCGAGGTTCATTCCATCTGACCCTTCATCGGGGCCTGGTTCGCAGGGGGCTGGTTCGCCGAAGCAGGCACAGGGGATTCTGTCTCTCACTGGAAAAACTGCCAAACTGCCTTCCAAACGAGGCAGGGGCAGAGGTCGAGGTCGGGGTCGGGGCAAGGTGACAGGAAGGGGATGAGTATTTGGTAGAAAGGGATTGTCGTATAGGTGTTTATCTGTTAAATATCTGGTTGTGAGAGGTTCTGTCGTTACTTCAGTACTATGTTGTTATTCAGTGGAAGAATTCATTCATATGTTTTCAAGGTCACAGCCCTGGGCAGTGTATATACTTCACAAGCTCTACAAAGATAGGACTACAAGTACGTAAGTAGACAAGAGATCTATTCCATAAGCCGTCAATTTCTAACCAGGATGCACCTTTCTCGATCATTTCCATACGTGATATCATGTGGGATCAATCACAAACGCGCAGAAAGAAACGGGGCAATTTTTCCGACCTCAAAAACAAGGAACGGTCGTACTAACATGGGAGGGGATGGACAATAAAAAAGAAACCATGAAAGAGTAAAGAGAAAAAACATGCCATTAAATCAGAATCTAAGCCTTGATCGCTGCGCCCAATGCACCACCACCGAACTGTTGGCCACCGGGGCGACGATCGCCCTGGGGAAGGCGAGCACCACCACGGCCACCGCCGCGACCACCGCCACGACCGCGGCCGCCACGGGCACCGGGACCGTGTTCGCGCTGGAAGGCATTGGCCATACCCTGGGTACGCTGCTCGAGGGTCTTCTCGTTGGCCTCGAGAAGGCTGGTGGACTTGTCGGCCAGGGTGACGATCTGGGACTGGAGACGGGAGAGCTCGACGCCCTTGCGGAAGATGACGGCGTCGTTGACCTGGTCGAGAGCGGCGGCGAGCTCTTCGTGCGAGATCATGCGGGAGATGATGGAGACGATCTTCTTGGACTCGAGCTCGAACATCGAGGCCAGGGAGGTGATGGAGAGGCTGTCATAGTAAGGGGCGTAGGTGAAGAGGTAGGTGCGCAGACCCTCCTCTTGGGTCTGCTGGGACAGCATAGCCTTGATCTTCTCGGGCTGGGGCATGAGGTCCCAGATCTTGATCGCGGCGAAGGTAGAGGCGGAGAGCTTCCAGTCACCGGCGGCGAGGGCCTTGGCACCGGCGATCACACCGTCACGGGTGTTCTCGGGGGGTCCGGTGAAGACTTGACGCTCGTTGTAGTCCAACATGCGGCGGAAGGTCTTGGAGATCATGCGGCGGCGCAGCTCGGGGGAAGAAGAGGTCTGGGCCATCAGGGGCACCTCAAGCAGAGCACTGGAGGTGAGGTAAACACACTCGAGAAGCTCGAGGTTGATGTGCATGTGGAAGGGCAGCTGGCGCTGGCGCTCCAGACGCTCCTGTTCAGGAGAGACGGTGGAGTAACGCTGCATGATGATACCCTGGGCGAGGAGCTCCTTCTGGCGACCGCTGCCGCAGATCTCACCAAGAGTGTTCTGGGCCTCGTAGATGAGACCGGCACGGAAGGCACAGAGACCAATCTGGACAAGAGTGCGGTTGAAGAGGATCTGGGTGCTGACGTCGAAGGTGGAGATGTTCTCAGTCAAGTGGGACATGAGCATCAAGTCGCGAGACTTGTAGTATTGGTCGTGCAGGGCGAGGAAGTAGATCTGGCAGAGCATAGCGCGGGCACGGTGGATGCCGTCGCTGTGCTGGAACATGTAGTTGCAAATGGAAGCAATCAGGCTCTGGATATCGCCAGTCTTGGAACCAAGGGTAACGGCGGACTTGAATGTGGTGGGAACAGCCTTGTCCTTGGCTTCCTCGGCGATGTTGATGACCACCTCAGGCTTGAAGTAAATGTGCTCCAACCGTCTGAGGACAACTCTGTTCATGGAGTCCTGACCGTTCTTGTCGGCACCCTGGAGGCTCTCGACGTAGAGCTGGGAACGAACCAGGTTATCGTAAAGGTTCTGCTCAGTCTTGAGCACATCGATGTACTCTTGTGTGTGGGGATCAATCTCACGGAGGGCGCGGTTCAAGTCATCGTCGAGTCGCTCAACAAGAGAAATGCAGCTTCCGGGAATGTAGAAGACCTCGCCCTCGGCAACTGTGGGTTGCTTCTCATCATCCTCCCACTCGTCGGCACCTTCGCTGACAACGAACTGGCGGTTGTTCTCCAACACTGAAAGAAGCTCGGAGTATTCCTCTGAGGCGGCCTTCCATTGTTCGGCGCTCATGTAGCTCTGGTTGGTGGTGGAGGTCAAATCGAAACGGGTGGAGATCAGGGTCATGTAGGTGCGGATGCGCTGGTAGGGGGTGTTGGCAACCTCGAGGAGCTTCTGCATAGTACGGATCTGGTCGGCACGGTCGGTGTTCTTCTTTCCGCGGGACTCGACGATGATGCGGAGGTGCTTGAGAATGCTCTCGGGGGTGTACTGGAGGGTCTTTCCACCACGACCAACGGTAGCGAATCCATCATCCTCGGCACTGGCGGCGGCAGCAGCGGCGAAGTTGGCGATCTTCTCAACCTTGGTGGGCTTGGGGGCGGGAGCGGGGGCGGGCTTCTCCTCGACCTCGTCGGCCATGAAGGCATCCTTGTTGGCGCGGTACTTCTCGATGAGAGTGGCGTATTCCTTGTTGTTCTTCTTGATCTTCTGCTTAACCGCGTTGAAACCCTTGCTGTTGCTAGCGTTCATCTTCTTGTTCGAGGCCTTCTGCTTGGTGATGGTCTCGTTGGTGAAATCTTCAAGTTCGGCAACAGCCTCAATGTAGATCTTGGGGGTAGGGCCGGTAACCTTGAGCATCTGGCGGTTGAGGTTATCGAACTCTGTGTGGAGATCATGTCAGTCTGAATCGCTCTCGAATCCCCGGATCTTGTTGATTTGCCCGGTCGTCCAGCACATCCTGGGAGGAATCAAAAACTCACCAGTGGCAATAACAGCCCAGTCGTTAATCTTCTCGGCATTGTCGATCAGGCGAATGGTGCTCTCGATACCCTCAAGACGCTTGTCCTTAGCAGACTTGACAACTGTGACCTTCTCCTCCTCCTCGCTCTCCTCGCTTTCGGAGTCGTCGTGCAAGAACTTGGAGGCACCGGTGCGGGTATCCTGGCCATCATCGCTGTCGGAGCCGGAGTCAGAGCCGGAGTCAGAACCCTCATCGGAAGACTCGTCGCTGCCGGAGCCAGACTGGTAGACTTCCTCCTCCTCGTCAGACGAGCTGTCGCTGTCGCTGCCGGAGCCGTAGAAGAAACGCGACGCCATGATTGCGGATTGCTGTTTCGGGATATAGGAAATGGCGATCCTTAAGCTGTAAAGTCAGGTCGTCGGCGACACAAAGTTGAAGTTCCCGCTGTTCAGAGCCACACACGAAATTTAAGCGAGGGGCTGACTATACCCAATCGGGTTTAGCGTATATAGTCCCCAGAACAAAGAACAACGAACTTGTTCTTCATGTTCTGGACTTCTTCGGATTCACAACTCTTTCTATTTTGTCATTGAACTCGTATCTACTCTCGTGTACAAATCGAAAGAACAATCCCCCCAAGAACAAAAAAATACCTCACACATCACAGGAGGCAACCAAAAAAAACAACAGAAGAAGGAAAAAAAAACGACATTTTGAAGGCCTTTACCCTTTCAGGCCAATCGTTCAAAATCTCCTCGTCTCAACCTAAGCGAGGAGCAGATTACGAGGAGACAGGAGAATGAATGTGATCGTTCTTTCATACACCCAGGCTATGCCAAGAGAACAGGAAAAGAGAATAGGCAATCAGATGGGCCAAACAGAGCAATATGCCTAATGGAAGGAAGATAGCACGACATAATTGGAATCGTAACAGAGCAACGCAATGAAACAATAAAACAAATGAGGATGCGGCGAGTGATCTTGCAATTGCGGAGCAAGAGGGCCGCTGATAGGCATATCTCGGGGTGCGAGGTGCGGATCGATCCAGCTAGTGATGTAGATCGTGTATCAGCGGCCCAAGACCATCGGAGACCGCGGGAATCCCCTCTAGAGTCCTTTTTTTGACCCATACCTATATGGGCCGGCCAGGTGAAAACAAATTGGCTGGCAAGGGGCGGGTCAATGTACCGTGGGTTACGAGACCGGGGATCATTCCCCGGATGGCACTGGGGGCGGGACAGAAGTGGCCAGTTCTTGAGGGACGGGGGAAAGAAAAACAAGGCATATGATAAACCCGTGACGTGAATCTCCTAGTGCCACTGATTCTGGCTCATGTATCCCTCACTCAGCACACCGTCCTCGAGAGTGCGGATGAAGTCACGGTTGCGCTGGTTTCCGCCGGCTGCTCGACTGCCGCGACGCCGTTGATTAGCGTTAGCATCCACGTATCCGTCAGGAGGAGGAGGGTAGTATGCAGGACTGGGTTGCAGTCGAATAGGAGCATTGGGGTCCAGGTGACTAGCAACTCGTTGAATGGTGGTGGGGATTCCTCCGTTGGGGTCCATTGTAGACGCCCGTTGGCGCCCTGCGCGTGTTGTGGCTTGTGCGTAGAGGCTCTGGGGAGGCATTGGGTTGCCCGGCACCATCCCCATTTGATGACCATACCCTGGTGGCTGGGTTGGGTATGGAGGGGGCGGGGCGCCTTGTTGGTACATGCCGTTATACATGGGAGGGGCTTGCGGCTGGGGCGGAGTATGGTACTGGTTCATCTGGGCAGCGTAGGCATTTTGCGCATGTGCCGCCTGAGCGGCTCTCTGCTTGCTGGCAGTCTCAGCCTGCTGTTGCTGTTGAACGCCAGGGGCGGGCTTGTTGGCGGTGGAATACTTGAGGTTCATGGGGGGCATGAAAGGTCCAGTGAACTTCTGCTGGGTGATGAATGGGTGTAGCTTGGCTTGCTGTGGCGACCATCGCTCCAGGGGGTTAATTGATAGCAGCCCACGCACAAAGTCAATGAACGCAACCCGATTGTTGAGTTCTGGAAATGGTTAGTTGTGTTGTGGTAGGGATTGCGTTGTGACATACCTCGCTCAACCTCTGCTTGCTTCATGTTCTTGCGTGGCATTGGGTAGCTCCGGATGATCTCTTCCAATGTCGATGCAGAGAAGTACTTCTTGCTTGGCTGTTCCTTTGTATTGTGCTCCCTTGAGTACTGCTCTAGACTCTTGAGACGGTATGTCTTCCGTCCGAATTCGTCTTGTGTTTTCTCAAAGAACTCGCCGGACTGCTTGCCCATCTCCAGCATCCATGTCGGTGGGATGCCAAGCATCTCAACGATTCGGCAGACCTGATTGTATTCGGAGGATCCGGGGAACAAAGGTAGACCTAGGAAGAGTTCGACGACAATGCAGCCCAAGGACCACATATCAATGGCAGAAGAGTACCTAAAGGGAGTCAATCAATGGATACTGGGAGGGATGATCGAACACATACGGCAATCCCAAGAGTACCTCGGGGGATCGGTAGAACCGTGACTGAATATAAGTATAGACTGTCTGACGTTCATCGCAAGCAGAACCGAAATCAATCACCTTGATTATAGGGCTCTCGAGGCTGAATGAAAGTTAGACGTGGAGCTGACAACAAGAAGGGAAATTCTTACTTCTTCAAGAGAATGTTTTCAGGCTTTAAATCGCAATGAATAAGATGGGCCTTGTTTAACAAGCTCAAGGCGTTAAGCAATTGTTGGGCAAACACGCGAACGAGGGTGGTGCTTAGTCCGCGGAATTGGTTCTGTTTGATTAGCTCGTAAAGGTTGACGCTGAGCAACTCAAATGCAAGACACAAGTGCTGTCGGTGGATGAAGGTGTCCTTCAGGCGAAGCAGGTGGTGGTCGTCGTTTTTGTCGTACTTGCTATTGAGCTGTGGGGTATCAGTATACGCTTCACTGAGCAAGAATCAGACAAAGACAAACCAGATCCAACACTGAGACCTCCATCATACTCTGATTGAAGTATGCAGTCTTGTTTTTGATGACCTTCACTGCCACCACTTCTCCGGTCTTCAGGTTCTGACACTTCACAACCTGTCCGAAGGTACCCTGGCCAAGAACATCGAGAATGAGGTATCGATTTCTAGATTTGGCGGAAGGTAATTTGTTAGACTTGCAATTGCATTTTCAATGGAGAGTAAAGCATACTTGTGACCGGCTTCCTCGCTCCCAAGGATGTCGTTGACGTAGAGGATATAATCGCTGTCCTCGTTATCATACCCATCGTTTTTGCAACCCTTGCTGGGTTTGGTCAAAACACGTCTTGGGTTCCTCGAAGACTCGTAGTTGAAACCGGGATTGCAGATGCGATAGGTGGCCGGGAGGTGGGTGGTAAGCGATTGAAGGGGCTGGAACATCCAAAACGTAAGTATGGGTTAGGTTCAGCGGGGCATACAAAGTACTTACACTGATGAACCCGCCTTCCGGATTGGCGCGTCGATATGCGGGTTGCACATTCGTACGGGGCTGGAGCTCTTGGACAGACTGGAGTTTCCGAAACTTCGGGACAGGGCCACGGCCTGCGGCCAAGGGAGGCTGAGATGGCAGGGAACCGGAGCGCGGTGACCGCGATCCCCCAAATCCGGGACTCATGTGGGAAGAAGCCGAGGGCGGGTAGTATTGGTCTGGACTCAGGTCACCGGATTGCAGGGGAGGGAGTCTAGGGGCGCGGTTGGCTAGCAGTACGTTAGTAAATCAAGCGTAAACTGAGGTGACCAAGGGCAAGCTCACATGGCGGCGACTGGAATCCCTGGGGTGGTGAAGCGTATTCTGGCTTGGAAGGCGATCGTCGAGAAGCGCTCTGGGGTGCGGATGGGAATCCATACGAGCCCTGGGACTTGCCGGGGCTGGTGGGATATGACATCGGCGGCGAAATCACGTTCCCGGGGGAATACCTGCGGGCAGCCGAGGACTCCTCTGCTTGATTCAAATACTGCGAGGATGCGCGACTGTGGTTTGGCCTCGAGGGGTACTTTGCCCGGTTGTACGGGTCGGCGTCTTCCATGGTGGTATCCGCGTCGGTGACATAATCCCGCGTACGTGGCGTAGCAGCTGGCGACGAAGCCATCGAGACGGTCTTTGAGTTGGTGCCGGCCGATGGTGCTTTCGAGGATGTGCCGGGTGTTTGGAAGGTCTCGTAGGTATATCCGACGGGCGGCTGTGATGGTGGCTGACCGTATTTCGAGGGTGTCTGCTGAGGGTGCGAAGCCAAAGCCGTACTAAACTGCGCGGGATGACCCAGATGGGGGTCTTGATACGGTTGCCAGCCAGAGTCCATCATGGAACTCTGTTGCGCACAAATACCGAGATGTTAGCTTGAACACCGCAGCTTGGGCCCGTGGGATGCTTCGCGGGGGGAGGGAACGGGCGTAAGGCGACCGGTGAAGGCGTTCACGCAATTCGGAAAGATGAGATCAAGAAAGGAAGGAATTGACGTTTAGTAGAAAAGGCTGCGCTTCATCGTTCAGGAAATTGTTGATGAAGTCAAGTTCGCAGGGGAGGGGGGGCCGGTCGCAATTTCGTTGCGACGCAATAGACGTAGGCGGCTGGGGGAAAGTTCTCGGCCTTGGGACTGAGTTGGCACCCGATTTCACCGGGAATCCACCTAGTTGAACATCAACAGGCAGAAATCAGACGAAGTTGAAGCGCACAGTGAACTGAGAGTGAGAGAGAAAGAAGAGGGGAAGGGTTGGGAGCACTCGTAACTCAAATCTACTTGCATTCTACGGTACTTGGACTCACCTCGTAGACTCGAGGTCTCTGATCTCTATAGTTAACTACCCCATACCCCATACTCTAATATACTCTGTACAGAGGCAGTTATAGAAGCTTGCCATTAAGGACTCTGGACTTGGATTGTGGTCCCCTTGACGACGTCTTATGATCGACGTTCTGTTGCATACCCAACTGTCAAGCCCAATACAGAGTGTGCATTACAGAGCACCGAGTACAGGGTATTGTGTCCAGAGCACTCTGTAACTTAGGACTAATTGTAAATGAATTGAACCTCGGCCTCAATAGGCTATTCATGTATTGAGTCAATAGCAAATGGATGAATTGAGGTATACAATCGACACAATCGACACAATCACGATACAATAGACCACGTGATTATTCTTATGTAAGTGGCGGAGTCAATGGCGGTGGCCAAGGCGGTGATGAATAGTGCCCCGATGTTTGATAAAAAGATCGGACTAGGCCTATTTTGTCTGATCCATCTACCTTTGTATAGTTGGCTCACCATGTCTGCCTTTCTGGCGCAACTCAAATCATCCTAGTCACTCATTTCTGGCAAACAATCCTGTTTCCACCATGGCGGAAGAAGCAAGTCGCCTGCGTGGTCTTCACGCCGATGTGCGGAACCAGGATGACCTTGAACGAGACATTACTCGCCAGGTAGGGAAGGTGCTGGGGGAAATGACTTGGATCTGACGCTAACTTCTATTTTAGGCTGATAAGGCTCTGGCAGAGAAAGCAGAGGATAATGATATTAAGCGACTGGAGAAAACCTTGGTAGACCGGGAGTAAGAATACCTACCCTCTGATCCAGACGGAGTACATGGAACACTACTAACTGTGACTTCAGGAGGGTCAATGGAGAAATCAGTTCGGCTCGGCGACGCCTCGCTCAACCCTCGGGTGCGGCCACTCGCCATAGACAGGAGACGGAGTTGAAGCGGCTGGAAATGCGCAAGGCGGACTTGGGGAAGGATCTCAAGGACATCCAAGATCGGATTGATGCACGTCGAGAGTCACAAGAATCGGCCCAAGCATCGCATGGATCGGGTCGGCTGCCGAACGAATCCCGTCGGGACTACCTACTGCGCACTGGAAAGATCACCCCATTTGCGCTCATGAACGAGGGCTCCCGAGATGGTCCGCTCGCCAACCTACAAGATGCGCTTATCGATACAGAAGATCAGCAGAATGAAGCGGAAGAACGGGAACAAGCCAAGAATTTGCCCACTGCTTCACACCGAGACCTAGCACGCCCGGACTTCGACTTCGAGGCACCCCCACCCGTTCCCGCACCCGCACCCGCACCCACACCTTCGGCCAAGAAGCGCCGCAAGGTGGAACCTCAAAGCTCCCCAGCCGACTCGTCCGCTAGCTATGTCGCCACTGACGACGCCGACGCCGGGGCTACGTCGGAAGATGAAGATTTCATGCCCGACACTCTTCCTGAGAAGCCAAGTCGCAAGCGCAAACCGGCAAAAGGGAAGTCGAACGATCAGCTTGAAGACCTAAGTGGAGTGGATGATGGAAACGAGACTGTCTATCAGACTCGGCTTCAGGAATGGATTACTCGACGAAGCACTGCGCGACGACATGCTGCAACTGATGGTTCGGTCGACGCTGATTCGCCTGAAAAGGATGAATGGCTCAAACCCCACCCTACCGAACCCGCTATGGAACTCGAAAACGGTCTGCGCGTTCCCGGGGACATCAGTCGCTTCCTATTTCCTTACCAAAAGATCGGTGTTCAATGGCTTTGGGAATTGCATCAGCAATCTGTTGGTGGGATCATCGGCGATGAGATGGGACTGGGAAAGACCATCCAAGCAATCGCTTACCTAGCTTCCCTCCATCACAGCCAGAAGCTCACCAAGCCGGCTATCATTGTTTGCCCCGCAACCCTCATGAAACAGTGGGTTAATGAGTTCCACCGGTGGTGGCCAGCCTTCCGCGTGTCCATCCTTCACTCGTCTGGAAGTGGAATGATCAACCTTGGCAAAGAAAGCAGTCGCGAGAATGCCCTCACTTCAGAAATGTTTGGCAGTCAGAGCTCTCGACACCTATCTGCTGGCCAGAAGGCCGCCAAACGGATCATCAAGCGGGTCAACGAGGAAGGCCATATCCTTGTGACTACATACTCCGGACTTCAATCTTATGCAGACGCTCTAGTTGATGTCGATTGGGATTGTGCTATTCTCGACGAGGGTCATAAGATCCGCAACCCGGATGCCGGTATCACATTCAGTTGCAAAGAGCTTCGCACACCCCACCGCATTATCCTTTCTGGAACACCAATGCAAAACAGTCTGGTGGATCTCTGGTCCCTATTCGATTTCGTGTTCCCCATGCGCCTGGGTAACCTGGTCAATTTCAAAAACCAGTTTGAGAACCCCATTCGCCAGGGTGGCTATGCATCTGCTACCAACCTCCAGGTGCAGACAGCAGCCAAATGCGCTGAAACCCTCAAAGACGCCATCAGTCCATACCTGCTCCAGCGGTTCAAGGCCGATGTGACATCCGACCTGCCGCAGAAGAGTGAGCAGGTGATTTTCTGCAAGTTGAGTCAGCTCCAGCGAACCATTTACAGAAGGTTCCTCCGCTCTGATGACATGGCTTCCATTGCCCGGGGCAAAAGGAACTCCTTGTTTGGAATTGATATCCTGCGCAAGATCTGCAACCATCCCGACCTGGCAGACCATACACTGCGGTCTCAGGATCCAGACTATGGTAGCAGTGAGCGATCGGGCAAGATGCAAGTGCTGAAAGAATTGCTTGAGGTCTGGAGAGACACCGGCCACAAAACCTTGCTCTTTTCCCAGGGTCGTCTCACCCTTGACATTATCGAGAAATTCATCCAGATGCTGGGTGGTTTCAACTACCGCCGCATGGATGGCACTACACCAATCAAGGAACGCCAGACCATGGTCGATACATTTAACAACGACCCTGATATCCATGTCTTTCTGCTCACCACACGCGTGGGTGGAATTGGGGTGAATTTGACAGGTGCTGACCGTGTCATTATCTACGATCCAGACTGGAACCCATCCACTGACTTGCAGGCGCGCGAGCGTGCATGGCGGCTAGGTCAAAAGCGCGATGTCACCATCTTCCGCTTGATGACCAAGGGCACAATAGAAGAGAAGATCTACCACCGTCAGATCTTCAAGCAATTCTTGACCAATAAGATTACTCGTGACCCTCACCAGCGGGAGGGTTTCCAGCTCAGTGATCTCTACGATCTGTTCACCCTTGAAGAGGAGGACGACAAGGACTTGGAGACGACCAAACTCTTCAAGAATGCCGAAGTCACTTACCAGGAAGAGGGCAAGGAACCTGGCAAGGGATCCCCCAAGGGGAAATCCCCAATCAAGGCCAAAGAAGAAGACCTCAACGATGTGAAGGGCATTGTCAACGTTGAAGAGTTCAAGAATAGCGAGGAAGAGGACAAAAACGCCAAGAGCTCCGAAGACCGCATCATGCATGGAATCTTCGCTCGATCAGGCGTCCACTCCGCCCTCCAGCACGACCAAATCGTCAACGGCAAGCGGGTCATTCGTGCCGATCCCAAGCTCATCGAAGCTGAAGCCCGACGCATCGCCAACGAAGCCGCCGAAGAACTACGCAAAGCCGAACAAACCGCCCGTTCCGTCCCCATCGAGCTCCCCACCTGGACCGGCCAATTTGGCATGGGTGGCCGACCTCAAGCCGGCAGCACCGCCCGACCTGTCGGTGGCCCTTCGTCCAGCAGTCTGCTGGCAAGACTCAACCCCGCCGCTGCGCCGGCTGAGGTCGGCTATTCCTCCACCCGGATGCCTCGTGGCAAAGACTTCATGCCCCTGATCCGGGATTATCTCGCTGCGCGCCGCGGGCCCACTGTTACCCAGATGATTGTTGATCATTTCAATCATTACTGTACCAATCCGCAGCGGGTCGCGGAGTTCCAGGAGATGTTGAAGAAGGTGGCCACGCTGAAGCATGGCCGGGATGGCCGGGGGCGATGGACCCTCAAGCCCGAGTTCGCTAAAGATAGCGCTCGGGAGTGAGACATTTTCTTTTTTTGCTCGGGGAAGTGTACGATAGTGGAGTTTACGAATAATGAGAAACGACCACTAATATTATTAACCATTGACCATGATTTCTAGCACAACGTCATTTAGATAATAGGGCTGTTAAGGAATGCCAAGTCTCCTTGAAAGAAAGGGGCAGCTAAGCGAAGATCAAACAAGTATAAGATTGTCGCAAACATGATACACTTAACGGCACACTAAACTCAGGGGAGATCTCCACTCTTTGCAGGTGCTAAGCATGTAAATATTCCATAATACTTGCAGATTCTCGCAGTTTGTAGATATACGAGCTTGTAAGCTTGGAGTTACGACTTTTTTTTACGTAGAATACTATGCATTGAGTACTCCGTACTCGCTCGTATTTAAGTAGCCTGCAAAGGTAAGCTATTCAAGTGGATAATGATCTACACTTGGCCAACTGTTCGACCCACTTAGGCTGTTCAGGATGTCGATTGTAATCACTGGGATCCATTGCCCTTCATTTACCCCATACTTGGATTCTGAAGTCCTACAGAACAGCCCTGGAGAGTACGAAGTACAGGACTAGAGCTGTGCCTTGCAGGGAATCAGAAACAGGCAGTGGAAGGGCGAAACACTGAAACAAATACCTGCAGACCTCCAAATCCCAATTCCCAGTTATGTACGAGTACTATAATCTCAATTGATCCTCATCGGAGCAGACATCGAAATAAATACCGCGACATTTATTTTTGATCCAAAGAACCACCCCATCCGGAACCCCCACCGTGGATACACGCCTCAACTATAAAACCGCCACTCCGCCCTTAGAACCCTTGATCCAAACACCTTCCACTCCTTCACATATTCAAACATTCACACTCACTACAACGCCATGAAGTTCCTCGCCACCGTCGCTCTCCTAGCCACCACGGCCCTCGCCGCCCCAGCCGACAAGCTCTTCAACCTGAAGACCTCCGGCGCCTCCAACAGCACCCACAACGATCTCTACCTCTCCGTCGGCCGCGGTGTCGTCCCAGACCCCCTCAACAGCGAAGCCGTCTTCGCCGGTGCCGCCGCCAACCGCGCCGCAACCTTCTACTTCGCCAACAGCACCATCTACTGGAGCGCGTCCTCCACCTCGGCTCCCTACGCCCTGGACCTCATCAACGTCGATGGTAAGCCGCTCGAATCCTACAAACAAAAAAACACATCTAACGAAATCAGGTGCCCGCAAGGAACGCGCCCAAATCAGCGTCGACCCCACAACCGGCTCAAAGGGCTTCTCTATCACACCCGAAGGCGTGAAGGGACCCAGCTCGACCTGGGACGGATGGTTGTGTAAGTTCCCCAGACTGATACACTATAAACCCAAACTAATGATATCAGGGTGCCCCGTCAATGCCGAGGCAGGCCAATTCTTCCCTAACCTGCACTTCCTCAACAAGGATGTCCAGGAGCCTGCTGTGCCTGCTGGCTGTGACAAGATTAACCTGCAGGCTGTGCCGCGGTCCTAGATTCTAGATTCGAGCTCGTGGCGATAGTATGATGCTCTTGTATCATAGGAAACTTCTTGTACATTCGTTCTGGCGTATAAAGCACACTCACTGATATAAAATACATTTCATTCTTTATTGCTTTGGTTCAATGTGAGGCTGTAAAGTTCAGTATATGAATCACCAGTAGTGTCTGTCCATGTTTGAACACAAATTGGAAAGCTGTAGCTCCACATAGATCGACTTTCAACGTACATCAAGCTTTCAGATAAGGTTCTATGTATCATGTTCGCCTTGCCACCCCCACGTCTGCATTGCCGGGTGCTCCACATGAGCCTGGCGAGTGGCTGGTGCAATTGCAGGCTTTGGTCTGGTCAACGCTGGCTTTTGGTTGCAAGCAGAAGTAATTCGGAGTACAGGTGGCCCGGGTGGCCCACACCAATAGCCGAGGTATACATTTCGCTTCCTATTCTAATTTCCAAGCAAGAATGGCCAAATCGCCGCCAGAACCAAGCATATCGACGTACATTGGCATTGGATGCGCGAGCAGCTTCAAAATTGATATATCTTGCCGCATCACGTAAACGACGTCAACAATATCGCTGTCGCCCCTGCTCAGGCAGTCGGTGAAGAGCCTGAGGGGTCCAGCAAGTTGGCAAGCCTGTCAGCGACGTTGTCAGCTCTCTTCACAAAATGAAGCACATCCAGTGCCAGTGAATGTCGATATATTTGGTTTCGGGGGCGATTTTGCCGTTCTCTGGAGACTGCCGCTATGGAGTCACAGGAGGGATAGAGCTTCGGGCCAATTGGTGTGTATGCCTCCATTCTATGACTTCAGGAGATGAGTGAAGCGTCTCAATGACCAAATACCAAAAAAAGCAGAAGAAGAAGAAACGAAGAAAGAGTTGACCTTGAAAGGGTTTAACAACAGTCATCAAGCCCCGGCCCACTTCTCAATACTGTCGGCAGAATTCCCTTGAATCCAATCCAATCGTGTGGAAATGCGGGAAACACGTGACAAGTTTCCCTAGCAGAGTAGGCGGTAAAATCCAGACAACTAGGCGGTCAGTGGTCGATATATCCAAGGTCAAATACTAATGTTACAGCATCACAACCCCCTTTTATTGATGCTGAAGTCGCTCGATAGGTGATCGTGGGATTGCGGGTTCGCTTACTATCCTGAAGTCTGCAGTCGTGCGGAGCGCTACTTTGGCATGTACCCCAGGGTTGACGAGATGCATTGCTATCTTTTTCGATTTCCTGGTGGAATGTGAATAAAGAGCCCTAGGTAGTTCCTGATGCGTTAGGCTTTTTAGTCTATGTGCAACCTTGGCTGAGTTTATTTCGAGTCTGGAGGTCTTATCCATGGATGGACTTTTGCCATCGAGGTCATCCATGATTTCTTAGCTTTGATTCCTCGGCTGGGCTCGGCATTAGTCTGTCCTTAATCTAACCTTGAGATAAAAATTTAGAAAGCTTGATTCGTTTTTCAGGTACAAACATTCTAAAGTTGGAATATCTCTGTGGTTGAACTGGATATTCTAATGTTGTTATGCTCAAGTACTTATCACATTCCCAATAACCAAGACCGGACATATATCAAGGGTTTCCACGCTTCGCTGCGGAGTATAACTGAAATATAAATAAATAAAACACGACCAATTCCTCTAGTAGGAGTATTTCATCCATGATGGTAATTCAAAACCTTTTAAAAGTTCTCAAGTTGGAAGTTATATTTGCTGATGTTTCATCAATGTGCTCTGTTTATGGTCCTGTCTCGAGTATATAGTTCGGCAGAAGTGTTTCCAAGTTGAGCCCTGGGATTTACCAACTCACCAATTTACTCCATCTTCCATCTTATACAGACTGCTCCATAGAACTTTAGAAGTAGAGCTGATGTGATCTAGCCAAAATAATGTAAGGGCCAATAAGTCAGTTGATAGTGCAGCCACACTATTTATAGGTGATGTCTCACATGCTCTGCCCATTTGGGCTTAGCCCCGCAATACAAGTCAAACATTCTCATTCTCCAGGACTTCACTTCAATTTCTCTATTCCCTTACACGATTACTCTATACTCTGTACAATTCTACGGATTCCCCCGTAGCGACATTCGTTTGCCATTGCCCTCGTTGCCTAGTTGCGAATCTGTTGTTCCCGCGATCGGCATCTGCTCGGATCTTCTGCACTCCACGTCCCTGCGATCGCCCTTAGACCAAATTGCTTGGCCTAAACATCAATTTTCAATCTCCGTACCCCAGCCTAGACTCTAGTCGACAGGTCAGCGGCCCTGGTGCCCAATTCAGCCCACTGCCAGCCCGGAAAACAACATCTCACCTAATACTGGAATTCCTCGGCCATCCTTGACCCCGATCCACCTTGCAACATGCGTTTCATCTTCCTAAGCGTCATCTGCACTCTCCTCTTGTTAGGAACGATAACATCAGCGTGGCCATGGAGGCCTAACGGACTTCTCCTAGGGGACTCCTTAGAGAAGCGAGCAGGTACCACAAGCCTACCTAGGATGTGTTGGGATAAATGCTGACAGACTCTAGACACCACTGACTCCACTACTGCCGAAACCTCTGAACAGACCACGGCAGCCTCTACTGCCTCCGAAACCGCATCGGAGACCGCCTCCGGTACCACCGGCCAGACTACTGGCACCAACACCGACGCGAAGACTGGCACAGCGACCGATGATGAGACAGCCACAGGGAAGACCACCGGCACTGGCACCAAGACAGGCACCGGCAAGACCACTGCCACCACTTCGATCTCCATTGACCCCGCTGCCGCAGCTGGTGGTGTGTCGATGATCACCCCGGCCTCTTCGTCTACAACCTACTACAAGATCGGACAGGATGTGACCTTCGTGTGGAACTACACTTCACTTTCCGTCACCCCATCTGCAGTCAATGTTGTCGCATCGTGCAGTCTGAACTCAAACGTTTACACCCTGACCTCGAACATGAGTGTTGAGCAGACTGGTTCGGTCGTCTGGGACACTGGAAAGTACCAGAAGACAGCTACCATCCCGCTTCTCACTGCTTCTTATACATTGTTCGTCTACGACGCCAGCAAGGAGCTTGGTGATACTGCAAGTGCAGGGTACCTGAGCTCGCAGATTGGCTACTCCTTTGGCATGTACACACCTCTTCCGTACACTTCGCTTGGTTGTAAGTTTCCCCCCACCTCCTAGTCCCAGGATTTAGCTAATTCTTCCAGCTTTCGAATGTGTTACTTGTAACGGTGCTCTATCTGCCACCAGTCGCCAAGCCCTTAAGTTTACTTTTGGTATGGCAGTGATTACTTTTGCCTCGTTCACTTGGTTCGCAGGTAGCGCTGGTGTCTTCGCTACCTGACACTGATTGCAATATCTTGACATCTCATGAACATATACTTTTTTATATTCAATTTTGGGGGCGTTGCATTGTTCGAGCGATTTACGATAATAGCAAGAGATAGGCGTTTGTTAACCTACGATGGGATGTTCTTTGAAATCCCTGTTATTACTATTAAGGCTGGATTTATTCATTTCCATATCATTTATTGGTTCATTTCGGTTTGCATCAATCTCAAATTCAATTCATAAGCACACTGTAAGCACACTGCTAGCAAACCGCAAACACACATGTAACAACAGGCCAAGTGAACCGCAGGCAACACACATGTTAACAAGCAGACCACGCAACCCATGCTCACTCGGCAGTATGCAACACCCAGTACCACCCAGCAAAACAGGGACCAGCGGGCGGTGACGGGCGCGGGGGCGGGGGGCGCAATCAAAACCTCCCACAGAGATGAACCTCGTAGAAATTCAACTCCAGGCACACCTCCTCCAACTCGGTCCGAGCCTGATCACTTCCACTGACCGAACTGACGCTGGAGTGCCCGTCCTGAGTCGCCTGCAGCCTGCCAATGAGGCCCATTTTCACAGTCCGCAAGTGAGCAAGGCGCATGCGAACGGCCTCCCCATCCTGAACATTGGGCCAAGCATCAAGAGCGTCGTCACGCGGGGGTCGAGGCATTTCCCGACGCGACGCAGCAAAGGCCCAGATCTCACGGACGAGCTGGTGCTCTCTCTGCAACAGCTCAGACTTGAGCATTTGACCAAGCCTAGCCTGGACCGTCTCCTCGTTGTGGCGGGCGATGACCCGGCGCTCCACGATTCTCTGAAATTGGGGGCTCAGCGAATCGACTTCCAGCTCCCAGAACTTCGGCAGGTACCTGGCCGATCTTATAGTCTCCTTGAGAATGACCATAAGTTCTTCGCGATTACGCGATGGTGACTCCTGCGCAGTGAGAAGTGCGTCTGCAATTGAACTTCCGCGGAAGCGATTTGATGCATAGATGGGGAAATCATATTTAGTGTTGTGGTTGATCGCAATGGGATCTCGGGTGAGTCCCATGATCCGGCCAATGCTCTGCTTGGAAAGAGCGGCTTCGAACTCTGTCAGCAGGCGTGCGTGCTCACGCAAGGCCATTTCGTTTTGCTTGATACTGTCGAATAGCCAGCCATATAGCCAAACGACGAAAGAGTATTCTGTGACACCCCGTGCGAGACACTCGGCGGTAACGAAGGGTTTTTCGCTGAGCTCCAGACCTGCGGTCGCATCTCCAGTGGCGGCGTGCTCACATACAGGCTGGGCGACGTCTCTGTTTGTGGTGTGTTCGTTGGTTGTATTCGATTGGTCGTCGGTGATGTCCGAGGAAACAGGACGGACTAGGAACTCGGTCGTCAAGATAGGACTGGGTCCCAGGGCACAGGAAATCTCTTCGGACAGCGCGATGCAATCAAGCCATGCGGCACGGTGCCATGATCTTTCGACAAAGTCTTGGTCCTCAACGATGTCTTTGAGATCTAGAATGATGTCGTTGTAGGCATCCTGGTAGGCAGCCTGGCCCAAGTCACATCGCTCGAGGTACAAGATGCCGATGTGCAGGCGGATCGAGGCATTCACGTACGTTTGCCGCTGCAATTGACGTTCTGATCGGGGAAATCTGTGGTTTGTGTCCTCGGCATGTCGGCGGGCAGCGGTGATGGTCTTGATCTGAATCAGGACACCCTCGAAGAGATGAAGGGCGTTGCTCAGCCGGATTCTGGGTTCCAGTGCAGAATCTCCCAAAAGGGCCTCTGCAATGGCGGTACGACCCATCCGCTGGAAGGGCGCCATGGTTAACAGCTCCCATGGAAGATCTGGAACAGTTTGGAAGGCTGTTCACGTCAAGTGGGTTGATGCGAGAGAGAGGAAGAGGATGGCGAGGAGAAGGTGTTGAGTGTTCGTTGACTTTCCGAAGTTGGCGTGTTGAAAGCGTGTAGGTGTGAAAGACCCGAAATGTTTTACGCAGGTCGAGAGCCATGCACTTGACGAGCTCGACCGGCTCGACCGGCTCCAATTCCTTTTGAACCGTGATACATTGGGATTTCAATAGCCCACTGACCATTCTGAACTACAGTATCGACTTGCTGACCGATTTATAGGACAATTGAGCCTGAATTGGCTCTATTATTCAAGGAGACATTTTGCTGGAACAGCAGAGCCCGTGGAGTACATATTGGACTCTCACGCCGGTGAATGGCCCAGGGAAGTCATTCTATGACCAGGACCCAGAATAGAATCTTGAACAATCCAATCACAGGGCAGCATGAATTAGAATGAGAATACGACCATCCTGGCATGGGATTCATACTTAGCGAAGTAGCTCGGTGTGCTAAAGTTGGCTTCTGTGGAATGTCGTTATGGAAGCAGAACTCAATCGCAAATACGAAGCAGGTTCCAATCGCAGCCCTGCAGGGCACCAGGAACCAAAATGCCACAGGGAACTATAGAGAATTCCAAAAAACCCAAGCCCTGGGGGTTTATGCATATAGGGTTAACAAAGGTATCTGTTTACGAGCTTCAGCACAAAGACAGATATTGGTCCCTACTTATTCCCAAGACAAACATGCACAGCAAGATACCGGTCTTTGTATGATCTTTGTACATAGTGCGATTGAAAATAAGACAGTGTCTTAGCTCTAAGAAATGGATGAAAAGAAGTAGGCAGTTTGCATCCTGCAGGAAATCCATTGATCTAACCTCTTAAATGAATCGAAGTATAAGACCATCGAATACCCCCAAAATCCCAGCTCAGCCCAGCCCTGTCAAATACGGGCTCAACACCCTCTACACGCGTCGAACACTCGACCATCACAAGAAATGCCAGAGCCCCAAATGGGCTGGATCTGGCCCAAAGACCCTCGCCCCGGCAACCCAGAACACTGGCCAACACGCTGGCGAATCTTCGACGTCCTCACAAATAAAGGACCAGACATCTACGTCGGAAAGCTCAGGACACGGCGCCACAGAAACTCAGGGTCTACCAGACCTACAGCACACTGGTCAGGATGGGAGAGTGGAAATTCAAAGCCGGAACGTCGTCCGTTCCCCTGGGCTCAACGGGATGATAGGGAGCGGTATGACTACCGGACGCGAAGATATCAAATCCCGGACGGTGGCACATGGAGTAAGGTTGAGTATTTTGATGATACGAGGAAGAGTAGGGGACATGAAGTTGAATGTATGCCGAGGACATTTTCTGATCCGGATGGACATCGGTTTTTTACGAAGGAATTGCATGATGGATTTTATGGAGGGCATGAAGACCCGAGGCTTGGAGCTATACGCCAGGAAGATGTATGGCGCCATGAAGATACAACACGCCATCAATATCAATGGCGCCATGAACATCCATGGCATGCAGATCTACGGGATCTACGGCATCATGAAGAACAAAGGCGTCATGAACTTCCAGAGGATCAATTTCGCTTTGTACGTCCATTGAGCGATGCACATCCAAGGCGCCATGAGAATACAAGGAAGCAAGAGATAGCCTCTAAGAGTCATGAACATCCAAAGAAGCAAGAGGTATCTCCGAAGGTCCAAGAAAAGAAAAAGACGGGATTCTTCCAGGGCTGGTGGTAATAGATAAATAGGCGATGTTTGAACTTTGAGTAGATTGCTTGCATGTCTAGCCATGGCTGATGTCGATTTGGGATATTCCTATCAATTTCCCTTGATGAGACTAAAACCCATCGATCCCCAGGGGATAGAGCTGTCGAATAGAGACGAAATATAGCAACTCAAGCACAGCTCGAGTGCAGTGCATCGAACGTATATGTCCGTGCTTCTCCCTCTGTAAACTGTTGATTCTGACGGAGGTGACGAAGCGTGGGGAGTTGGGCACCGTCATCAGTCAGGCGATTACACTTGACACATGATGTGCTCTTGATATCGCCATAGGAGGAAATCATATCCTAAAAACGTTAGTGGACATCTTCGAAAAAGAAGGGAATAAACAAACCAGCAGGAAAGAAAGATCCCATTTCCTTGACCGAGAACCCAAACAATCCAACATAGCAATTTCCAGCTTTGTCAGCGCCCGATTCCCGGTCTTGCTTGAGACCTCCCACTCGGAGATCGGGGCTCCAGGCTCAGGAACAACGCCCCTGACCAAGAAGACAGCGCCTGCCCTGATTAGGGCCACAGCCAAGGAATTCCCATCCTGTTCCTCGGCGACCCGTACACCAGGCACACCACGCTGGACGAACTGCCCCAGAACTTTCTGCCAACCCCCTTCCACAGAAAGAACCTTAGCTCGCTCAGCTTCCTCCTCCTCACGCTGGCGTTCCTCCGTCTTGGAGTTTTCTTTATCGGCCAATTCCTTCAGCAGGACATCATAATCCCGGTCCCACTTTCCACTTGGCTGTATCATTTGACCATTAGATTCTTTGATGCGCGATTCGACACTCTCCCAGACAGATTTCAGTTCCGGGTCCCGCCACAGGGACTGAAAACGCTGGACATCCGAGACACGTGCCCGTGCCGTCTCATCAAGGCTAGCCCGAAGAATTTGGGGCGTTTCAGCAACCTGATTGTTCAAGGTCGCTTTGTCTGGATTTGCAATGGGAACCAGGGGCTCCAGTAGCCCATCGGGCATGAATTGGCGGAGCTCATGAATCTGAGATCTTGTCAATTCCATCCAGCCCGGGGTCGGTTTTGGGAAATACCTTTTTTTCTAGTTCTTGCAGTTTTGCTAATGAGGAGACTAGCTGTAGCTCCGAGTTAAGGTGCGACGCATCGCTTGGCCCTGGTGTGCTTTTATTGGTAGCCATTGGGAGGATTGTGGTCATGAGCTCCTCCAATCCTGGGGTGGCGGATTAAGTGGTTGATGGAAAGGAAACGAGATGAATTGAAGATTTTTTGAGTGTTAGGATCTGAGCTTGTATCTTTGCCCGATACAAAGCTGTCCAGGTGCTCGTTCAACCAGGAATTCGAGGTGGAAGTCGACGACTGATTTTTGACGGACCTAACTCCTAATTGGACGAAAACTGAATGGCCGTGGGAAATAAATGCGGGCCAAGTGTATAATACTAATGATAGGATGGTGAGGTTGAATAGAAATAAAGATGTATTGTCTGAATGGGGAGAATGAGAAGATGCAAAAGCGCGGCGGAAGCCGCGACCAATTAGGGAATCCCCAGCCACATCTGCACCGCCACGTGGCTAATGATATTGATGACATAATCAGATCTATACGAACCAGCAATGAGGGTTTTCAATGCTCAGAACTTCGTCAGTAGCGATTATCTTGCGTATGAGAAATGAATGACCCTGGAACGTCGGAGAGTGTGTTAGGCTTTGGATCTCTTTCATTGACAGTCCACGCATTGTACAATAGCTTCATACTCCTACGGCTCAGTCCTTGATTAAATGTCTCTGATCTAAGAGCCCAAGTTGAGACATAGCGTGATCAAGCAAACCAAGAAAACAAAAGGCTCTTAGAAGCTACGACCGTTAGAGAGTTGGTCCAGTTCACAATATCTCGATAACCTTCACCTGCTCCTCTTTGAACCTTTGTTGGTCAATGGGGAAACAGGAGTCAAATGTTCCTGAAGTCCAAGTCAACCCCTCGCTTTAGCTTCTAAGAGCCTCTTTCACGATTGAAAGGCATTGAGGACCAAAGCTCGGGAGTTTCCTGAAGAGATGAAGATATAAATAGGGCCTGAGAGAGGGGAGTAGATAGACCAAACAGAAAACAGAAAATCATCACACAACAACATTAGCAAAGAAGCAATACTTACTCAAAACTTCAATTCATCATGTCTACTGAGAGCAACTCGATCAACAGTGTCATTGAGGATGACCATGTGGAGGAATCCAGAGAGGAGGCCCAGGATCTCGATTGGCAACCCAGGAACCAGCGTCGAGCACGCAGGCAGCCTACACGCAGGCCTAGGTGGTATCTTCCAGAGTCCTATTGTCCTCCGGCCACTCGATCAGCCACACAAGCAGCCCGTGCTCTTGAAAGGGCACAAGCCGACCCTACGGAGACTGGCTCTACAGCCTCCACCCCATCGATTTCCACCCCAGAGGCGGTCCTTTCAGAACCTACTGACCGCCCAACCATTTGCGAGCGGTGCTTCCTTCGAAAGGAGAAGCACCCTGATCACGAGTGCGTGAAGACCACCGGAACACGGAGAAGGGCTTGCGAATGGTGCAGACAATCGCGCCAAGCATGTAGGCAGGTACGTTTCAGCTCCCATTGGCTTTTCTTTTAGAGACAGATGCTGACTTTGCGAAGATGCCCGCAGAGTTCGACGAGGCGGTTAATGCGGCTCTTCAACTGAGCGGCCATGATCAGGAGCAGGCGATTGCTGATCTCCGTCGGCGTCTTTAGTAAGATCGTTGGCCTCTGTCGAGGGGGATGAGAGGGGAATGAGAGTGATTTGGGGCTCTCTTGTTTTTTTGCTTTCGAATTTGTTTGTCTTTTCTGTTGTTTTTGATTTTCACTCACCATCACCAACAGATGGTTATAGACCCGCGTTTGATTTTGATATATGCTATGTTTCTTCGTTTGCAAATGCATTGATCTTAGTTACAAACGTCCCACGAAGTAGTAGATGATTGATTGATACCTAGAAATTGCCGCTCTTCTGGTGCCGGGGCCATAGATCTGCCGAGATCAGGTGCAAGTGCGAATTCCTCCTGACGATATGTACTGCAGCTTCTCGAAGCCTTTCCCGTCAAGATGGACCAAAAGCGATTGGCAGGGCTCTCATCGAGGTGTGGTGAATTCTGATTGCTTCGCCTCGAGTGAGGCCATGTTTCAGCTGCGCTACACCCCGCCGATCCCCGCACCCGGGCGAAGTGATCGACAAAGACCCTGAAAAAAAGCAAATCGGATGCCCCGACCGCTGCTCAAGTGCCAAGACAAGGCTTGGGGGCCATCAAGCTCAGCTGAAGTCGCTATGCTGGTGTTTTCATCCTTTCTCAGGCAGCTCTGAACTGTGATGCCGGGGTTCAAGTCTGGCACCAGAGATGGAATCGAATAATTATGAGAGCATTGAGCTCTCCGCGAGAACATCCTCACCATCAATCAGCAAACGAACAACCTGGGAATCGACGAAGAGTTGGTACTCGAGAACAGTGCTTCGATCGGGCACGCAGTATAGTCAAATAACGGATCAACCACCCTCTGACTCGAAATTCTTCCACGGGTGGAGATTGGGAGCTCTGCTCTCCGGAATCTTTGTTGCAGTATGCCTGTGTCTCAACATCGCGGCCACGGCCTATCTCCGCACCAAGTATCCGCCGGACGAGGAGGGACTCGGTGTGATCCTCAGCCATGGTTGCGGTAGAATCCGCAGCATTGATAGCCGTTTCCATTATGCAATTAACGTCATTGCGACCGTCCTCGTCAGCGCAAGCAATTACAACATGCAATGTCTCTCTGCACCAACGCGCACGGAAGTCGACACGGCTCACAGGCGGAGAAAGTGGCTTGATATCGGGATTCATTCAGTGAGAAACCTATCGCATATTCCACGACTGAAAGCGATCTTCTGGCTCGTGCTCGCACTGAGCTCGTTGCCTCTTCATCTTCTCTGGAACTCGGCAGTCTTCATGACGACCACATTCAACGACTACAGCGGCCTGGTAGTCACGCCGGGATTCCTGGAAGAAAGCACGTCAATTGGTCTTGACTGTGGACACGATGCGATGGACCGATACAAGTCTTCTGATCAGTCGAGTTACGTGGCCTGTTGGCTGCGGGATAGGGCCCTACAAACGCCACGAAACTTGACCCGGATGAAGCCTAAGGATTGCATGTCAACATATGGGAATGGTCTTGAGGGAGGGACTTTCAATCTCCTTGCAGTCACCAAGGATGGTAGCAAGCAGAATCAGTCTGGAACTTTCCCACCACCATATGGTGCCACAGAATCTGTGCTCGCTTACTTCCACCCCCTGGACTATCCCTCAAAGGTGCAGGATTGGTGCTCCCACAAATGTGAATCGTGGAGCAAGGACAACAACAGTCCAGTATATTGCAAGGATAATAATTGGAACCAGTCATCGACCCCATTTTCTTGCATGGAGCACATGGTGAATGGCACAGGGTGGAAACCGGACCCGATTCCACAGGTCACATATTGGATGTGCGCCTTGGACACAATCCTTTACGACAAATGCAGCACCTCAGAGGCCCAGAAGAATTCCAGCAGCTGGAAGATCCTCCCAGAACACTATGAGATTGACTACTGTTTGACAACGGACGCTGACCATGAATGCCAGCTGAAGTACAGTCCGATGATTCTGTACATTGCTATCGCGTGTAACACGGTGAAGCTTGCGTCCATTCTAGGGTGTCTTCTCATGTCTCGAGAGCCAATATTTGCGACGATTGGCGATGCCGTGGACTCTTTTCTTCGACGGCCAGACCAAGCGTCCAAAGGTCGGTGTCTGATGTCAAAATTAGATGACTCGATATTTACTGGCGTCGATGAGAATGGAGATTACATACCTTTGACTGAGCATCCTCCACAGCCTTGGGTCGAGGGTGGGATTTGGTTCGGAAGACACGGGACTGCTCGTCGCTGGGCAGGTTGCATATTCTTGTACGTCACAATACCCAACCTCTTCAACTGACCTGTCAAACTGATAAAATTTGACAGATGGCTAGCATGCGTTATAGTCGGAATTGTCTTCATGGCACAAGGAATCACCCTCGTCGGCCTGAAGAACGCCTTCACCCTCGGATTCGGAGCTCTCAGCCTAAATGCCATCGCCGTCACATCCGATTATGAAGGTGGTAGCTCCAAGTCGATCCTCACCACCTCCCTCATTGCCAACCTTCCCCAACTCCTCCTCTCAGGACTATACTTCATGTACAATGCAGTTCTAACCAGCATGACCGCCACCCACGAATGGAGCCTTTTTGCCCATAAACGAACCACCCTCCGTGTAACCCTTCCAGCAGGCGCACAACGAGAGACGTACTGGCTCGGCCTTCCGTGGCGATACTCATTACCCTTTTTGATATGCAGTACCGTGTTCCACTGGCTTGTTTCGCAATCCATCTTCTTGATCAACATCATAATCTACCAACCGAACACCGAGATTCTCACGGAACCAGCTCCTCATTTCCCTGGTGTGAGCGATACAGGCATGACGACAGCTTGTGGATATAGCCCACTTGCCATTGCATGTGCGCTGGGAGTGGCATTGTTATTATTTATCGCTTTGATCCTCTTGAGCTCCCGAAAGTTGAAGCCAGGGATGCCGGTGGTGGGTAGCTGCAGTCTTGCTATAAGCGCTGCTTGTCACCCCCCTAAATCAGATTATTCGGTTGCTGTCAAGCCGCTACTTTGGGGTGCTATTTCGCATGAGGAAAATGGGAAACCAGGTCATTGTTGTTTGACATCCTCCGAGGTGGAGAAGCCCAGGGAGGGGGCTTTGTACGCGGGCGACTCAACCGATTATTGACATTGTTTTAGTTAAGTATCAGGTTTCCCGTAGAAGAAACGCTGAAATTGAGTCCCTGCGTCATAAAATAGAAACCAAAATGTGTTGGTACAGAGGACGAGTACCAGTGGTTAAAACTGCCCGAATAAGACATATTTCCTAAACAAGTTCAGGCATCAGTTTAGCCTGAGGCATCTATTGCCTGAAGATTGACCGGCAGAAAAGAATACAGTGTAACATTCCAAGGTTAGTATTTGTAAGGTAATGTTACGACATGCACCCGGTGTATCGTCACTGTAGAGATTCTCTACAGTGGTTCGCGGAAGTCTAGTCATATTAAAACCCGGGAGAATTGAGTCTTTCAAACACAATAACAGCTATAAAGTATCTCAAGGATGTGTCCATGCTGAGTCCTGACACAAGCCAAATTGCTATGCCCGCAGCGAAGTAACAGTAAAATGCCTCTGGTCTCGGCTAGTACTTAAGTAGTCCTTCCTCTAAAGCCCTGGGTATACGAATAAGGGCTTGTGGTATAAATGTTTGCTCTTCCCTCCCCTGCAATTCCTCTTCCGCCAAGAATGCCTTCGCCTCCTCAAACAACTATTTCAGTGGCTTGTTGCCATCGATCTTGCCCTCTTCTAGGGCCTTCACTCTCTTGGTCAGATTGTTGATCTTGAAAGTGAGGTGGTGGAGTTCATCTTGGTGCTTGGTTTTTTTTTTTTCCAATGCAACCTGTTTATCGGCTTCATTCTTGGCTTTGGCCATCCAGTATGTTAATTCCTGGAAAATTAGGCCGTGGGCGCCCCACACAACGCTGCAGAAGCCAAACAGACAAACAGTCCAATGGGGTGGGGTGGGCCCCGGAGTATCTAGTGGTAATGTTATCAGTTCAACCCATTCCTACAAGGTTCTCTTAGCTCGGAATCGATGCTTACCAGGACAGACAGTACTGGACAATCCGAAATAATTGGGAAACTGTGGTTCTTGTGTCTGGCGTTCGGGTTCGTGGCCGCATGTTTGGGGTGTATGTTCGGACTCCTCGGGTAATGTTGCTAGCGCGCGCATTCGATCGAACAACTTTGAAACGATTAAATCAGAGGTTTTGAATCGCTGACGTTGTTCTAGCGACGTCTGGTAATCCTTTTCAATCGTCCCGAGACGCATGTGGGCTTTGAGGATCGCCTGCGCGTCGGGTGTATTGAGGGTCTTTCTTTTGGCGCGGACCTCGTCGGACAGGGCTGCTAATCGCTGGATTTGCTGGCATTCTAGCACTTCCTCGGGCTCCATGAACTGGATTAGGTTCGCGGCCAGCCTCGCACATTCGTCCGCAGTGGTTCTTTCCGCCTTAGGGGTAGTGAGGTTGCGACGTGGCTGCTTGGTCGGGAGCGAAGTACCCGATTTCCTCTGTTTTCCATGCAGGTGTTCCGGCAACGGCGTTGACTCCATCTATTCCGTTACGACCTGGGATTCCTGCTGGTACTTGTGCGCCCGCGGCGCCTGGAGCTCCCGGAGCACCCGGCACGCCAGCCGTTCCAGGAGGTCCTTGGGGACCTGGTGAGGCGTTGGTTGTGTAGGGAGTTCGTCCCAACCCCCGTTTGTAGATAGATCCGCTCCCCGCTTCTCTCTTCTTCTTCTCTCCCTCCCTTTCTCCGCGGAGAGCAGTAAATACCGCGGAGAGCAGTCAATACAATCGGTTCTGTCCGCTTCTTCTTCTCTCTGGCCCTGTAGATCCAACAGTTAGAACAGCGGACCAAAGCGTCTGACGAAATCCCGTGGTATTGAGTTGTAGCTTACAGTCAAGCAGAACTGGCCAATTGTTAAAGCCAGGCTCAGCACAAGTTTTCCTCCAAGTGAAATTCTTGGAACTGTTGCACGAACGGCTAAGGAATTGATGGTTGTTATTGCGGTTCCTAATAGCCATACTATGACAAGGACGAACAAGAAGACAATGTCTGAGTAGTAAGTATCCATTTTGTTGGTGAATTATGGACGTTTCAAGTGGAGAAGAATTTTTGATTATTCGAAGTGAAGTATGTATGCGTCGAAATCTACTGGGGTGGGAAATTCTCGGGACAGAGGCAAGAACAGTTTAGGGAAGGCACAATAGAAGAGTTTGCATCAACAGTGAAACTCCCACTGGCTGTCACTTGGTAGACTTGGTAAACACCAGAGACTTTTGTGTCGGTCATGTGTAGAAAGGTCACGCATCACTTTCCTATATCGCTGGTTCTGGAGGTAGCAAAGATTGGTTAACAGCAAATTCTCTACAGGTTGAGGTGAGTTGGTTTCAAAGAAGGCCCGAGGGCTTTCTTTACAGTCGCTTGGATTTAGCGTCATGTCTTCAAATATACCGTCACGGACTCGCCATCAAGGATCGTCTGGCGTCAAACCCGGGCCAAGATTAAACCACGTCGTGAGGACCAGGGCCAGTTGATCGAAATGAACACAGAGCTCAATTTGATAATCGGTATTGCACCTCTTGCAAGTATGCTTGGAACGTGAAAAGTACTTCCCTTGGAAAAAAGCCTTGACCATGGCGTCGAGTTGTCTCTCCTTCTGCCAACCGGGAACATGCTTGCAGATGTACATGCTGTCTCGAGGATACGTGTCAGACTCGTACCCTTCTCGTTCGAGTAGTAACTCCGGTTCCCCAAATCTGAGAATATGACCCACTGCATTCTTATGTGAAGCCCTGGTGGCTCTGGGCGGATTCTTGCGTCAGTCGAAATCAGATATGTAACGCCAGGCCACGATCCTTTGCTGGGGTGGAATCGGACTTGCGTGTAAGCCAAGGACTCGGTGGTTATGCCGAATTCATCTCCCAGATAAAATCTCCGCATAGCAAGCTGTAGATGTAGGAAAGAGAACCTACGGGGCATGTAGTTCCAGTACCCGAATTCGGTAAGCAACTCCAATTCAAAAAAGTTTTTGCGTATAAGGCGGCGGCAACGGAGAGGGCATCCCTCCCAGAATTTTGGGCCAGAAAGACCAAAGGATTCAGAGCCGTCATATAAGTGAAGCAAATAGCATTGGTAGCAGATGAAATGTCGCGGTAAATCCTGTTGGAGCTGCCGTAGAATAGTGAGTTTCATTTCCCGGGTGGGCCACATAGACTTGTATCGATGATTATATATGGCAAATAATCGGTGGTTGCAGAGCGACAGGCAAATCCAATCGTTGATAGGCAGGAAGTCTGTAATGGACAATAAGAGCTCGACGGGAAGACCAGGTAGGGTGTTCATATTCGGGATCTGTGAAGCATTCTGATCGAAGATCGGTAATAGTGACATACATCCTTTCAGCTGTCGAATTATCTCCGGCCAGAGCGCCAAATCGGGCCCCATTTTACCTGGGCAGTGATCTTCACTTCTCACAGGCCGTAAGAGAAAAGCTCAACTGTAGATCGCTGTGATATGTTTTAACGACGATTAAAGGATGATCTGTGCTAGATGGGGATTTCGATGCTCAAAAGGTTTCCGTCGTTGAAACCACGGATCAGTGTCCGACTACAAGTCCATCCTTCACCTAAAAATGCACGGCGAGGATCCATGGATCTGTCCTAAATTACCCCAATTTGTGTTTGATGATATGAATATTCCTTTCTAAAGTTTGGATTAGCATTTGTTGGAAAACCCTACGATGAGGGCTCCGTTGTTCGGGCCATGCTCAAGTGTCTGCTTATGAGGCTAATTTCCCTCCACGAAGGGTGCCTACTACCCTCAAGTGAGGGAAGGTGTGTAGACAGATGCTTGCTTACGACTTCAGGAGTCAATATACATTTCTCGACAAATAAAATTCTTGAAAGCAGTAATAAACCATGATCTGAATACAAAAGTCCCTACTTAGCGGCCAGCCTAGCAAATATATTTCTATGGAACTCGATGCTACTGAATGGGTCTGCGAATAAATCCATGTTCTACGCCTCACAGAACGGCATCGACAGTGTCAGGCCAACAATCCAAAACCTTTCCATCATCCTGGAAAGAAGCAACAACAGAGCCCTCTCCCCTCAATGGATCACCTTCCCAGACGACAAAGTCACCAATGCTCTTCTTTGCTGCCGCACCTCCAAGAATAAGATCAATATTGGTTGAAACCAGAGCGATCGTCTACTTATCAGTGAGACCAGCATATTTCCCAGCCCACCACGCTTCCTGTGCCAGACCATGGATCTTGGAATCACTCTTCACTCCTAGACCAAGTAGAACACCCGCCTCGGATAAGATCTTAGCCGGACTTTCTGTCAATGGGGGACCTGTGAGGATTTTCTTCTTCTCCCAGGAATCTGGAGCTCCGCGGTTGCCGGTGAGAATCACGGGGATGCCTTCTTCGGCAAGATGCTTCGCAACCTAATCATTTCGGGATAAGTATGGAGTGGAATGTGGAACCAAACTGAAGCAAAAGTATAGTACTTACGAATGGAGCACCGTGACCGCCGTGTAGGATCAGATTGACTGAGCGGAATTCACGCTTCACTAAGATCAGTTGGGCAATATCATCCTTGAGACCTGGTTAGTCTTCCCACGGGGTTTCAATGGGGTCGCAGAAACATATTTGACGCTTACCTCGTTGAGTGCATATACAACTACAGGGAGAGACCCATTTGCAGCCTGCACATAGATGCTGTGGTTCTCTTGTGCGTCCCCCTTGCCTGCTTGAAGCAAATGGCGTAGTTTCTCGATTCCTGAGGAGACGGATGGTGTCTCGGTACCTGTAAAACAATGCGTATTAGCGTGATCCTCAATGTGAGTGCATGTGAATTGCTTACTTCTAGCACCTTGACCTATAACAAGGTGAAGTGCGACATTGTTCTGCCAGATAGCGCCGTCAAGAATTGTGACATTCGCACCTGGGCGCAATCCAACGCTAATGCCTTGAATGATACCGCCGCCATGCAGAGGCGCAGTGATAGCTCGAGTGACGCCTCCAATCCTGGCTCTCTGGAGTCCTTTACCCTCAAGGTGCACGCCGTACTTGGCGAAGTTGACTGTCTTCTTTTCGTTGAGTGGATCTCCATCCTTTGCTCCTGGGCCATCTCCTGTGGAGGTTTCGGATGGAATAGATTGGATTCCGAGCTTATTGCCGAATGCCACAAGGCCAGGTAAAACATGACCATTCTTCAATTCGACTTGTACGGTGTTCTCCTGTATCTCAGCAGAGACACAAGTGGTCTTCTCATCAAGGCACTTGACTTCACCATTCTCGATCAGCATGACAAGGTCTTGTGTACCGGTAGTTCCCGGTTTGTCTGTATCAATTAAGACCCTTTGGATTCCAGTAAAGACAATTCGAGAGCCAGGGCGCTGAATCTTGGCACACGTGTCTTCCTTTTGGTCTATGGCAAGAGAAGGTCGACTTTCCGGAGATTTGGGCTTTCCAACACCAGATAACTCGTCACTCAAATCACCGGAATAAACCTTGCCCTTCAGAGCAGGCCGGCCGTCAATGAACACCTGAATTGGTGTTGCGCCAACTTGGAGTGGATGATCATTCCAGATAACGAGGTCTGCATCGCGTCCTGGACGGACATATCCAATTCGGTGATCTTGCTGAATAGATCGCGCAGGGACTGAAGTTATGGCCTGCAGAGACTTCTCTTCAGATAAGCCGAAGGAGTGAGAAACTGCTGCTTGGTGGCTGTAGGGAATTCAGTTAGATGACTGAAGACCAGGCCTTGTGTTACTTTACTTACACGAGGTGCTTTGCATGGTTCTCCTCATTTCCATGGTCCTGAGAGTTGATATTAGGTTCGAACATCGCTTCGAGATTGAATTAGGGGCTTCATACCGATTTCAATGCTACCTGGAGACCATGATCAGCGAGGATCTTAGGCCCGCGCAAATTAGCACCATAAGCTTCGGCCTTGTAGAGCGCATTCTCCGCGAAAGTGGCAATGGTGATGTTCCTAAACTCTATCAGCAAATGAGGCCAATATGGAAGACGTTGAGTCATACTCCTCTTGGGACTTCAACCACTCAGGCAATTCCCAAGCTTCGAGAGCATGGTGGAATGCATTAGGATGAATGCCAAACTCATGAAGCACAGCCAACATGCGCTCGAAGTCCTCTGGCTCGTAGCAGTGGATATTGACATTCAACTCTCCTCTGAGAAGCGCAACAGAGGTTTCAAGTTCCAAAGACTGCGGTATCTTGCCCTCGTCTTTGATGAACTCTGAGATTTGTCGAGACTGGGAGAAGCTAGTCTTCTGAATTTCAGCAGCCTTTTGACACCAAGAGGATTGTCGCTCATTCAGATCCCTTGCTTCTTCCAGATGCTTGCGTAAAAGCCACACCAGACCAAGCCTGGTGTTCTTGTAGACGCCTTTGGGGTTTTCTCCACAAGCCATCTTCAGGTATCGCTTTCTGCTCTTCTCTGCAATTCCATCATCAAGCAGTAGGTCATCTACCACAGGCTCGGAGTTTGGTCCCGGGTTTGGCAAGTTCTTCACGAGATATGCTTGACCACCGATGATGTTGGCTGACCCAGGTAGAACCAAAGAAGAGGTGACTCCACCTGATGCGATGATCTGGATTGCCGGATCATAAGGCTTGAATCCATCCAATGCTCGAACAAAAGGAGTGATGGGTCCCAGTATTGGGCGCTCATTGACATCGCTTGTCGATGGAAGGCCAGGGAATGGGCCTAGCAAGTGATGGGAGTGCATGTCCACCAGCCCGGGCGTGACGAATCTTCCATGGGCATTGATAATTTGAGCATCGTCGATGTCTGGAGTATTTGAAGCTGTAGCCGACACAGATCGAATCACACCTGCCTCGAATGTGATATCGACCGCCTCCGCCAACACTGACTCGCCATCGAAGAGCGTTGCATTCTGAATCACAATTTGTCTCTGCTGACCAGAAATGGAGTTCCATCGTGGATTCTTCCGGTCTTTTGTTGGCTGATGTTCTTGATACCCATGCTGTGCTTCGTAGCACTGGCCCAGGCCTTCAAAGAATGAATCTCGGTCAACCCCGTGAGTTGTAGTGATATCTTCGAGGTATTTGAATTGAGTCAAAGTAATCAGACCCGCTATCAGTAGGAGGGTTCCCAGTACGAATCTTCCATGTCGAAGACAAGATGACATGGAGAGCTGGACATAGCCCAGACGCGCCTCAGGCCCCGAGAAAGTGTTCTTGGTCGCCATTGATCAGTTCAATCTGGCGTCCGGGGAATTGAGAAAGTACTGAAAGTACTCACGGGTCAGGAATTGAATGGGGAGGCGGGGTTTGGGAACGCACTGGCGTGCATACGGCTCCGGATCGCGTCACTCGGTACCTTTCCACTTTCAGGGACTTCCGCTCAACAGATTTCCCGTGGCCTGGAGCTTGCTCAGGTATACTCTGTGCCAAGTGCAGAGTGAATTCAATGTGAAGATGACAGAACAAATAGCCTCAAACCCGGATTCAAAAAAGCCCTTAGCGACTAAACACATAGCCGTGTGTGTATTTGGAGCGAATGGCCTCAAAGCCTGAAATCCCGTCTTGGCGAGTCCAAAAGGGTCCTCAATACCCAAAACTCTCGCGATGCGGGCATTTGTATAGTGTGAATAGCTTCATGATCAGGCGTGACCCTGCCTCTTACAATACAATGTACGGAGTACTGTGAAGAATGCTGGGCGGTGTATCTGGCGGTGTAAAAGTGCGTCCCAAATAGGGAATAGATCTGCTCAAACATCGAAAACCAAGTAGACCTGTCACCTACCCACCCGTCATCTATAACTGAGTAGTAGCTTTATAATTTTGGAACGATACGAAACACCGTGTGACAGTGTAATTCTACAGATTACTCAGATGATCTGGAAGATTCCATCGGCTTGCGTGAGAGTAGAACACGGTCTCTTGCTGTGTTGCTCCAATTTTGCATCATGGTAAAGAAGGCTGTATAATATGTTCAAGAAAAACTGTGATCTAGGTGGGAGGCATGTCCGAGTCATTTGCAGGCTTATATAGACTTGTACACACCGGAGAGCTTCGCTCTGACTTTTTTCCATATTGTCCCATGCTTTTTTGTTCCCTTTCGCACAGAGTCTTCGCCAGAAATCTCACATTTATCACGCCGTAGAGAGCTCAATCTGTTGAAAAGCCAGGTATATCGTTCGCTATCCTGGCCACAAACAGCCTCAGTGCCTACCAGCGCCCGCTGGTAATACAGGAGAGCGGTATCCACATTCCCATTGTTCTCACATAGAAGGCCATAGTTCTTCAGAGTATTCAAGGCAGGGATATAGATGAAAGGTGAGTTCGCACCAAAAGCTATGTCATAGCCTGCCAGTGCTCGTTCGTACATCGCCTCTGCCTCTTGGAGCCGGCCTTGATTTGCGTAGAGGAGGCCGAGGTTGTTGACGGTATCCAACGTCGATGTGTGTTCTCGTCCCCATGTCTTTTCCTTGCCTACCAACGCTCGTTCAAACATTGCCTCTGCCTCTTGGAACCGACCTTGATTTGCGTAGAGGAGGCCGAGGTTGTTGACGGTATCCAACGTCGATGTATGTTCTCGTCCCCACGCCTTCTCCTTGCCTGCCAGTGCTCGTTTGTACATCGCCTCTGCCTCTTGGAGCCGGCCTCCACGCTGGTAAAGAGTGCCGAGGTTGTTGACGGTATCCAACGTCGACGTGTGTTCTCGTCCCCACGCCTTCTCCTTGCCTGCCAGTGCTCGTTTGCACATCAACTCTGCCTCTTGGAGCCGGCCTTGATCCATGTAGAGATTGCCGAGATTGTGAATAATACTTAGCGTCGATGTAAATTCTCGCCCACACACCTTCTCAAAGCCTGCCAATGCTCGTTCATACATCGTTTCTGCCTCTTGGAGCCGGCCTTGGTCTGCGTAGAGGGCACCGAGGTTGTTGACGGTTTCCAACGTCTCCGGGTCTTCTCGTCCCCACTTCTTCTCAAAGCCTTCCAGTGCTCGTTCGTACATCGCCTCTGCCTCTTGGAGCCGGCTTTGATCTGCGTAGAGATAACCCAAAGAATAAAGAGCCTCCACATCCCCATCGTCAACTTCTTCGTTTCTTATTATCTCCACACATCTGTCTGCGTGTGCAATCAGCCGTCGTTGTATAAGCCAGAATTCGTGTTTGTCTGGACTAGGCACACGCCGCGCTACACATCGGACTGCCGTCCAGGCCATACTCTTATCAAGCCCCTGGTTTAATACATGCATCATCCACGAATGAACACAGCCGTGTACGCTATACCCTCCTGACTCCACTCTCTGTAACGTGGTAGTCGGATCAGCTTCAACGAGCCCGTGGCTGCACAGAATTCGTAAGCTTTTATGAAATATGAGCTTGTTCTCTGTCAGTGCAACCAGCCATTCCGGCTTCTCCGGGTCGCTATATTCTAGCAGCTCATACCACAAGTCTTCACTGGCGAAATACGCCCATTGTTGGAGAAGCATAGCCGCAATTGGACTCTGCTGCTGAATGTATCGGTACGAGAGATTCCAAGTTGAGTACAGCGTTTGATGGTATGCCCCCAGCTGTGGCGTCTCTTCGTGTAGTTGCTGCCATGATTCTCGGTATAGCTGGAGGTACTCGGCGTAGCTGATCGACACCTGCTCTAGATATGCACCAGCTGTCGCCAGGGCCAAAGGCAGTCCATCGAGCTGTCTTGCAAGATCAGTGGCAACAGGATCTGCTTGATATTAGTGCTTGACATTGGACCATAAGTTCGATAATTACCTTGTCTCAGATCTTCACGGCCAGAGACGGAAGCTAGGACCTCGAGACTATCATCAATATCCTCTAGCTTGCGTAAGTGAAGCGTCTGGCCTAGCTTGACCATAGAGGACCGCGTGGTCACAATGATGGCACCATGGTCGGTCTCGGGCAGGAATTTCTGCAGATCAAAAGCCTTTGCGAGATCTTCGTCGTTATCGCTATCGGTACTAGCTTCAATAAAGGAAGCAGAGGCTAGGCTTTTCCCTGTCTGGTTGCCCAATAAGGGATTATCATAGTTATCATAGACGACCATCCAGCGATTGTTCATCGGCTCATCTAACCATCTCTTGACCGCGCTCACCGTCTCGACCAGGTCCCGGCTCTCCAAAGCACCTTTAATATATGTAAGAGATGGATAGTGGCGTGCAATCCACTCAGCTGCGCGTGCAAAGCTTTGCTTCAGCGCTGTTTCATCTCTTGCATTTAGCCACAAAGTCGCCGAAAAACGAGATCGATTTCGTTTGGTATATGCGATCGCTAGCTGCGTCTTGCCGATGCCACCCAGGCCATGAACCACAACAATACGACGTCCAGCAGGCATTTCGAGAATCTCTTGCATTCTCTTCAGCTGATCTTCTCGTGCGACGAACCGGGCCACCTCGGATATTCCGGACAGATTAAGCGGGAGCTCGAAAGAAGTAGGCGTTTGATTCGAATTCCTGGAATACATTGATCAGCTACAAATATATATTCATGGCCTTTTTATGCCGCGATTGTGACAAATTACCGTTGCACCTCTTCAATGGACATGTGGAAAAACAGCTGCCGGGCATAGGCGGCCGCTACCGCCGCTGCGTAGCCATGCCACTGGTCGTTCTTATGCGAGTCGCAATAGTCGGAGATGCCTCGAATCACCATACATGGGAAATCGGTAAGGGCTCCTGCGGCCTCCATTTCGAAGCATAGCACACCATGCTCCTTCGCTAGATCATCCCTCCTCTGAGCATCCTTTATCACCAGCTCCCCAGATGCTATTGTGCCTCGGTGTACAGCAATAAATGAGTCGTCTTCCTCATCTATTGGTCGCGCGATACGCTGCCTCGGGTCACACCCACTCTCTTCACATGGTATTCCTTGCCGACTATGCGTGTAACATGACGGGTAGAGATGGTCATTCGCGGCGCCGGGGAACGTGAAGCGACGAAGTGTTGGACGGCCGGTTTGGATTCGCTCCAGATTCTTCCAAATTGGATCATAATCCAGCCGTTGGCGTCGGACAGCCACTTCCCGCACAGCGTTAAGAAGGGCTGTTGGGGGAGGTGCCAGGAATCCTTTGCGTTCAAAGTGGCCCGCCTTCGCTTTTCCGTGGTCGTACTGTACTGCTCCAGAGTGAATACCAGTTGGCTCACTAACGACCACATGTCCGAGACGGACCATTCCACACTCGGTCTTCGTCGGTACGCCGCCCCCAATCCCGACCAGCAGGCCGTATTTGAGGTTTGGGAAGGTCATCCTCATTTGGGTGACGACAGTGGCCGCGGAGCAGTTCCCCGCGCGCGGAAGACCCGCGATGACCACATTATGGTTGTTGATGCTGCCGAGATTGTAGATGTTTGTGTCCCCGCTGGGTTGCGGAAGAGCTTGGTGCTCCTCGTCCAGCATCTCCATTGCCGCGATCTGTTCCACCTCTAACGGGCAGATCCATCCCACCCGGTAGGCATCGCGGCTCAAACATTTCAGCCCCATTTTCGGCTGCACAGTCGGCGTACTTCGCCAGGGAGATTAGGCGAAAAGGCTTCGATACAGTCGTCGAGTGGAAGCTACTCAATGTAAGTGAGGCCCTCAGCCATAAGACTCGAATGCGGGTGGGTAGTGGCCTCGCGATTACCCCCAACTATCCGGGCTGAAGGAGCGAAACACCGAAGCGCCAGCCTAGTCCGTCTCGGGAGCGATCAGCCAACCAGGCACAAACACGAGTCATCCTCATAGATAAATATGCATGTTGCTCCCAAGTAGAAGATCAGACTAAATAAATTGGGCCGAACGCCAGGAAAATGATGATATAAGATACAATACATTATAGATCGATATTCACATGCCGATGCTATTTCAGAGTGTAACATTAACAATCAGTCCACGGGTAAGTAAGTTGGGGTCTTCGAAAGCCAATCGTCCGCTCCGGCACTGCAATCACGTGCGTCACCCATTACCTCCGCACACCCCCACCAGAAAACCACTGCGTACAGGGCCCTCGGATAATCCCAGAACAGTAAATGATCACCAAACCATAGAACAAAAATCAAAAAGGCAACCGGAACCACCGCATCGGCTCTTGCCGAGCCACCGAAGATCCCCGGATGTCGGGAAAAAGGGCTAGCTTGCCCGATTGAGCTGTGGCCACCCCCGCGTAAATGGCAGCCTCCCGTTTCCCCAGATTCCACATCGAGCAGTCCTTCACACCTCAGCTGGTCTTATTGGTTGAAACCAGGGTTTTCCGCTCTGTGGGCCATCTCGACATGGTATGATGAGTGTTGGACCCGCTGGGCACGGGGCCTTTACGCTACTATAAACATGGCAGCAGGCCCCAAGGCTTGAATAAGTTGAATTTTCACAGGCTTTGATGTCAATTATACGGACCTAGGTTCGAATTGATTTCTGGGCATTTTCAATATGCGTTCTTGGTATGGAAGGGGTCGACCGCTCCAGGTTGCTATCACTTCTTGTTGTTTGGTGGCTTTTATTCTGTTTGGTTACGACCAAGGTGTGTTCAGTGGGATTGTGGGCAATGAAGACTGGAGAAAACAGTTTGGTTACCCTGATGACTCGGAAGAGGGTATCATTGTCAGTTGTTATAACCTGGGGTGTCTCCTGGGATGTTTGAGTAAGTCACACTGTTGAGGATTCGAACATGAAGATGGCTGACATGTCTAGTCAACTTCTGCATTGGCGAGAGTCTCGGCCGACGGAAGACGATGTGGCTCGCGATGGGTGTGGTGATTATCGGTGCAATCCTGCAGACCACAGCCTTCAACGTGCCTCATTTGATCGTCGGACGACTGGTGACTGGCGCAGGCACCGGATTGAAGACCAGCACAGTGCCCATGTACCAGGCCGGTAAGATTGACTGCGAACCAAAGTGCCATACCCATACCTAGTACTAACATCCCTCAGAAATGTGCGAAGGAAAAACCAGAGGTCGACTAATCTCTTCCGAAGTCCTCTTTACCGCCGTGGGAATCGTTGTCGCATACTGGTTTGATTTTGGCATGTCATTTGTGGGAGGGCCTATCGCCTGGCGACTCCCAATTGCCATGCAGATTGTCTTTGCCATCTTCGTCATTGTCTTGGTATTCGGACTCCCGGAGTCTCCTCGATGGCTCATGAATCACGGCCAGGAACAAGAAGCCATGGATGTTCTCTGTGCTGTGTATGATCGTGAGCCAGATGATGAATTCATCGTCAATGAGCGCAAGGGAATCATGTCTGCAATTGAACTAGAAGACTCAGTCAGCAAGCAGTCTTTCTGGAAGATTTTCCGCAACGATGAAGTCAAGACCGGCCAGCGAGTCTTGCTTGCTTGGGGTATTCAACTGATGAACCAAGTTGGCGGTATCAATTTGGTCGTGTACTTCGTTCCCAGTATGTATCCCATCCATGCCTCTTGAATATCAGTGCTAACATGTCCCAGCTGTACTTAAGCGCAACGTCGGCATGTCAAGTCAACTTTCTCAGATCCTGGGCGGATGCATCCAAATCATGTTCATGCTCGGCTCGCTACTGCCAGCCTTCAAATTGGACAGCATGGGTCGCCGCAAAACCATGATGATCGGCTCTTTCGGTCTCGGCTTCTGCATGATGATGGTAGCCGCACTACTTTCCCAAGTCCACCAACCCAACGGAACAGCTTATGCATCGGCGTCAGTCTCATTCTTCTTCCTGTACATGCTCATCCACGGCATGTCCATCAACTCCGTTCCCTGGGTCTATGTTCCCGAGATTCTGCCCTTGGAAGCCCGCACTAAAGGAACGGCAATTGGCGTCAGCTCCAATTGGCTGTGGAACTTCACCGTTGTTATGATCACGCCTGTGATCATCAATCGGATTCAATGGAAAGCGTACCTGATCTTCATGATCACCAACTTCCTTTTCATTCCCATCATCTATTTCTATTACCCCGAGACTAGCAATCTGCGCCTGGAGGAAATTGATTTGATCTTCGCTCGGGGTGGAGACCCTGTTGAGCAGGCGAGGAGAATGGCTGCGGAAATCAAGGCCTATGGACATCTCCAGGTTGAGCAGGACGAGAAAGTCGCTAGCAGTGTTGGAGTGGAGCGGGTATAGGGGCAATTTCCTGAAAAGCAGTATACCATCAGAGACATTTTGTGAAACATAGCTCACATTCCATATTTCAACGTCCATATATTCCAGGGCATACGAACATGTAGCCCTAACATTTCCTGGAGAGGTTAGCTCATGACTCAGAACGGTAAGCGCTAGGCCCAAAGTTAGCGCAGAGCCTCAAAAGTGGGGATTCCCCTATATAAAGACCTGACCCAACCCTGACTGCAGACTGTTGACTCTCATCCCAAAACACCTCCAAGGCTTTACAATGACCGCCAACCCACCAGAAGACTTCCTCCAGGGCCCAGCATCAAACGCAACCCTGCACAAAATCGACTTCGAAAAAACAACCCCGCCCATCCCCGCTTTCAAAGGCACATTCGCCGCAGTAGTCGACAACCTCCTCACAGAATCCGAATGCAAAACCCTGCTAGAATTAGCAGAAGAATCATCCCGAACTAAACTCCCCGACTCAACCCTCTCACCACCACAATGGGAGCGCGCAACAATCAACGCCGGCAACAATCGACAAATCATGTCCATCGAGTCGCGAAAAAGCGGACGCGTGATATTCGATACTGCCGATATCGCTGACCGCCTCTTAAACAGACTAATGCCATTCATGCGCGAGTGCGAGATCGACATCGTCAAGAACAAACCACTCATCACGGGACTGGGACCCGCGAAGCGAGGCGAGGAACTCCGTCTGAGTCGGTTGAATGAGCGACTTCGCTTTCTGCGGTATGAAGGTGGTGATTATTTTCGACCACATTGGGATGGATGTTATGTTACTCCTGATGGAAAGGAGAAGTCGCTTTTCACGATTCATTTGTATTTGAATGGGGATGGGGAGCAGGATATGGAGGAGTTGGGGCCTTGTATTGAGCGGGCACAGAAGAGGAATTGGTTGTTCCAGAAAGATGGAGAGATTGATTTGGCGGAGGTGGGATCTGAAGATGTTAGTGATGGGACGGTGGAATCTCATGATGAGAGTGATGTGCTTCTTGGGGGAGCTACTTCGTTTAGTGATGGGTTGACTTCGAAGGAGGCTGTGCGTGTGTTTCCTAAAACGGGGTCTGTTTTGATTTTCCAGCAGAGGAATTTGTTTCATAGTGGTGACGATGTGTTTAGGGGTGTTAAGTATACTGTGAGGACGGACGTTATGTACAGGAGCGACTAAGCACAAGATAATTTATCTATGTGGGGTTTTATCGATCTTGAATAGTTTTCATTCTCTTTGCAGCGACGAGGAGAGGAGGTTATTCTACCCGTTGTCTGTCTACCCTATTGCCCAGTCCAAATTACCTCCTAGGCCGAGCGGCCTTTATATCGATTTGGCTTGTTTGATTTCCTCCTCCTCCAAGTGACCGCTGATTTTTGGCGCCTCTTGGGAAGCTATGAACCATTGCGCCATTTCAATTTTCGACTTATATGTTTTGATCTTCACTCGCTTTTTGGGTGTCCCTTTTTCGGCCCAGGCGAGCTTGCGCTTCAGGCTGGGCAGCCAGCTGGTCACAAACTCCAGGGCACTCTCACCCATCGTCGCTTTGGCATCGGCTTCTTTCCCCGCTTTTGGGAGGGTGGGTCCCGATCTAGTTGTCCCAGATGGCTCCCCACAGATCCAACGAGAAGTCGCCGTACTCCCGCACGAGCTCGCGAAAGGCGTCGCGCCATTGGAGCTCTTGCATGGCAGTGACCACAAATCGAACTGCCAAGTTCCTCATCGGGTCGATCGATCCGTACTTTGTGGGTGTGTTCTCGTCGACGATACCGAGGCAGGCGACGATGATACTGTCCATTTTGTTTCCCCGGGGGCCGGAACACAAAATATGAGAGGGAGGAAAACCATGGATCCTCAACAGGACAGGATGGCAAAGTGGAATCACCCCGTTCACGTTTGCAAGGACATAGAGTTGCACTTGCTCGACGAAAAAGGGCGTCCAATCTTGCACGCGGGAGTCCCCCTGCGGCATTTACCGGTCATTGAAGTTATAAGAACAGGCCAGCCCCTCGAGACTTGGAATTTCCAGGCCTTCAAACTCGGGCAAGCATCGTTGGAGTAGCTTGACTTGATCGTCTCTCTTTCCATTCCTACCACGAGAGAGCCTGCTTGAGGAAGTTGATGACCGCCCTCTTTGATGACCAGATGCCGGTTGCACATCAAGAGGCAGTTGGTAGAACACCCTTAGTCTTCTGCTTGTTCCAATAACAATTTCCGCATGCAGTGACCGTACGAGTGTTATCGTGAAAGCGGATGCAGTGGCCCAAGGGCCTTCCCTCTTCTTGCACTTCTCACATTCCTGCTCGGCCAGAGTGCCGACAACCTGAATTAGGATTGACTCAGCATTGGAGACTTTGTCAGATCCCCTTTCGTCAAGTCGTTTTCCGGTATAACTCTGACCTCCATTGCTCATAGGTCAAGATGGGCCGGATCAAAAGGTCTTCCGGACCATGATCGGTGGGTTGCTCGGTAGCAGCTTGCTCGGTGGTATTAAAGCCGGCAGTATTGTTGCTGGATTGGGAGGTCTCGTTTTGCTCGGTAGCGAGAGCAAAATCGAGAAGGGGCGACGGGACCGTATAGTCTCCGTTGTACAGAAATTCGCAGAATCGATTGAAGGTAGGCTCATCAACATGAGACTAATTGACCAAATTCTCCCTAGACCCTCTCATTTCTCATTAACAAGAACGTTGAGCGCAGGAGACGCGCTCGAGACGATGGCTGAATGGACTTGCATTTCCCTCTTGTTCGTGCCGACGAGGAAAGTAAACATTGGTGAGCCGACCTCGGGAGAGCCCTGGGGTTAAGTAAGCGGATGAAATGTATACTGAAATATACCCATTTATGATTATATCATTAATTTTGAAATGGTCTAAGAGAACAGAGTGAGGAAAGTTTGAAGATGCAAAGATGAAAAGACTTGGGGTGTTTTGATGTGACGTGGATAAAATCGTTTCAATATTGGTTTCGTACAGCTTGACTCTTTTACTCTCACTTCTCTCTGGGTTTATTTCTCTTTCCTCTTCAATTTGACACTATCGTCGTTAATTCTAAAGTTCCTGCTCTTCTCTTCTTTACTTTTGAAGACATCTTCTTTCTCAATCATCTCTCCACTTCCCACTTCCCCCTTCCTTGTTTCCTTTTCCTTTTTCCTCTTTCCTCTTTCAACTTTCAACGTTCGGCTTTCGACTTTCCACTTTCCACTTTCAACTGCCATCTACAACATGAATGTCGATCTCGAGTAAGCTCTACATCCTTTCCACCCATGGACATTTCTTTTGCTTACAAAACCTCTAAAGCCATCGCATGATCGATATTCACCCTACTTGTCGGTCCCGACAAGAGGGAGATAAGCATACACTAGGACATCCTCCCAGATACCTCGCATGTTCTCAGCGCTCTAGTCCGCGGGAACATGCGAGAGGCGAAGGAGCAGAGATCTGACTGGTCCCACGTGAATGAGGGGGCCTTCATCCGGTTCTCCCAGTTTCTCTACGGACGGGACTACAAGGTCCCGCCCCTAATTGTATTCGACATCGCCTCTGAAGAGGATGATGGCCTCGAACTCCAAAACGGGGAAACAAGCGCAACCACCAAAGACTGGAATCGTAACCAAGACTCTCCTGAACAATGTTGGCCGACATTCAAAGACTCTGCTTCTTCTTGCTCTCACTTCACTCGTTCATTTTCGCTTCCCTTTCTCACTTCTCTCTACATTTTCCACTTCCACTCTCCACTTCCACTTCCACTTTACTCTCCACAAACTACCAATCTACTACAATATGGATACAAACTTTGAGTAAGTCTTTTGTTCTTTCCACTCATGGATGTGGCTCTTGCTTACTCAACCTCTAGGGTCACAACCTCGCCGATATTCACGATTCTTGTCGGTCCCGACAAGAAGAAAGCATACATACATTCGGCCATGCTGGCGAATACCTCCGATGTCCTCAATGCACTAGTCCACGGGGGCATGAAGGAGGCGAAGGAAAAGAAAGTCGAATGGCCTCACGTCGATGAGGAGACGTTCTCCAGGTTCTTCCAATTTGTCTATGGAAGGGACTACGTAGTCCCTTCCCCAATTGTACTCTCCATCCCCGAAGACGCCGACAACTCCCACCCGGAGAACGATGACACGAACCCAAGCCCCGAAGAGTCTGACTGGAATCGAACCTTCTCCCTCCAGGAGAACTGGCCTGAGTTTGGGCCTCTTTACATCCAAAGCTATGAGGATCACCATTGGGTCGATGACGAGTTTCCTCATGCTCAGATCACATGGCAGCCATCACCAACATACGCCAACCAGGACTGGACCCCATTTTTTACCAAACAGGCCCAACTGTATGTCGTGGCGGATATGTATCTGGTCGAACCGCTCATTCGTCTGGTCCTCTTGAGGACCTACAGTTTCCTGAGACAATTTGAGCTTCTCGAAACCAACATGGACACTGTCATTGATTTCATCTACCTCGTCTACGAAAACACTGCCCCGAGGTACGGTGATCGAGTTGATCGCATGAGAGACTTAGTGGCTCGCTATGTCGCCGTGGTTGCTCGCGCTTTCGAAAAATACGAAGCCTTTACCCAACTTCTTGAGGACCATGGCGATTTTGCCGCTGATCTGTGGAGGGTAGCCTGGGGACACTAGATCCCACCAGAGGCCATGGAGGCGATCCATCATCACAAAGACGTCCGGGGAAATTCATCATTCCGCCCCCCCCCGTTTCTGTTCCTTTTCCTTAGGCAGTCAGACATGAACAAATTTTCCTTGGCCTCATATTGCATTGTTTCAAGCTACACGTAATTCTACTTCTACCAACACCCCTATTCTCTAGTCTCTACCCCTTCCCATTGTTCCCACTCGTCACATCACTGAGAAACCCCAAAATGTTCCCACATCCACATCTTCGAGCTTCCCTTAGTTCTCCGTTCGCCTCGATTATCGGGACTCTTTTATCCTCGGCAGGTCGCTTCACCATTCATGGTTTCATCATGAATGAGCTTGTTTCAAGTCCTCTCTGTACAATCCAGCCTACTTCACCCCGCAGGGCCCTCCCATGTTTACTTTCCTCGCCGTCTCCACCCAGCAAAGCGATGCCATCGAACCAAATGATGCCGCCGGATTCAATACCGAGCAAGATGCTACCGACCAAGCCACCGATCATGGTCTAGAATAAGACCTTTCCAACTGCCCAATCATGACCTCTGAGAAATACATAAGGATGCCAGACACCCCCACGATGCTAGCCTGTTTTCGGACACCTGGAGATCCAAAGCCTCGTGGAGCTGGCTTGGTCCTACAACTACAACTTCAAGGACCACTGTGCTGCAGGGGGACTCAGGCGCGCAAGACTGGACTCCTTATTCTCTGGAGTAGGTGCAACTTTATGCACTAGCAGATATGTACGGAGTCCTGCCAACCTGCCACCTAGTCCTCTTGAGGACATGTGAGTTCCTCAAAGATTTCGAGTTCTTGGGCAACAAACTGGACAGACCTCCCAGAAATCCTTGCGATAAGGGTCAACGCCTACAACAGCGGAGCGACCCGACAGAGATCAGTGGATCCACCAAAATCGTAACCGCCAAACCACTGAAGGGAAAACTTGTTGTCACGGCCATGATTCCCGTTGACGGATCGTGTGACGCCGCAGACATCCGGGGAGGTCATACAATTTGGTGCCATGATCATGCAACAACTCGAATGAAGTGGCGACTTCCGTGAGCTGCTCTGGGTCTATGGTGATTCCGCTTTTCATCTGTGGGAGAAATCTAAGGCACACCTAGTCCAACGCGTTGCGGTGAAGGCAATTCGAAGCATGTACGAAGGGAGCTTGTTAGGTAGTGAAATTTGCGTTGACCTGAGCATAAGAGGTATTTGAAAACATTGCACAAAGGAGACATCCTGTAAAATTGTAAACCGGCACCCGTAGAATCCTTCTTAGATCGCCCTTCGTAGTTGGCGCGTTAACATTGGTCTACGAAGGGGCAGAGCGGCCAGGTCGACAACACCGGGTAGTGGGGCGATAAGCCTTGGCAGTGGTCAGGATTGGTTGGATATGTGACAGGATCCACCTGTAATAAATGTAAAAAGCCTGGTTGGCCCAGTGGAAAAGGCGCTGGGGCGGTTCTAAGCCATCCCGGTTCTGAACCGTGTGGTGGCCTGTCTTTCGAGAGACCCTGGTTCGAATCCAGGACCGGGCACTGCTTTTTTTTCTTTCTTCCAAACAAAGATAAGAGAGGTTAAGAGGAAGTTAAGGAGCAACTTTTCAACTCCCACCTCCAATAGCTCAATTGGATTATGCACGCAGGGTTCGCCTCTTCCCTCCGGGGTTGAGTTCCTCACTTCGGTGTTGAATAGCCACCTGCTAGCGTCAACTGTGCCAGTAATTTGATGCTTGTGCGTTCGAGTCTTGACGGAGTCGATTGGAATTTATTCCTTTCTTTCCTGAAGACGCATTTAAAGCCTGTCACTTCACTGGATGGTGAAAGCCGGAGGATAAGCACAACTGGTCTCCTGCGCACGGCCAACTCATATGAAGCTCGTGAAAAGGGAGTTGTAGTTTCTGGAACTCCAACAAGAGGAATAGCTGCCTGTTAACATCCTATCTTTTTTTTCTATTCTTCTCTAAATACCGTACCTAAGTGTTGTGTAGGGTGTCCCAATCCCCGTTTGTAGATATCCGCTCCCCGCTTCTCCCTTCTCTCTTCTCTCTCTCTCTCCCCCCGCAGGCAGTCAATACAATCGGTTCTGTCCGCGTCCTCTTTTGCCCTGTAGTCTCAACACTAAGTTCTAATGATAACAAAAGGAGCAGGGAATATCAGTTGGTTTCCTGAACAAAAGGAATGTAACGATGGAGTCTTCAGGCAGTAACTCTCAAGTTCCATCCGATTGATAGGGCTGAGCCAGGGAAAACGCCAAGAGACCACAACGAAGGATAGTTGGCCGACAGACCCCTTCTTCACCGAACCGCCTCGACTTGACGTATCGAAGGTTAAATTAAACCACTGAAGACAAAATGTAAATTGGCAAATAATTGTATCGCTGTTCTTCATTGTGCTAAGCTAAGACTAATGAAGGGCAGAAAGGGTTCTTGACGCAAGACCCAGTAGTAACCCTTCGCATAATGGATCTTTTATCTCTCACTGACCCTCCAAAAATCGGCAGCAAAAGCCTCTTGAAATGCAAGAAGCCCGAGGTAGTAGATAGAGGTCAGCTCACAGATGACGGGCCATACTTCGTCTGGTTGCTGGTCTGCGACCTTGAGCATAGCCTTTCTACGCCTCAGTTGGGGCGGAATACTGACTCGCCAACTGTCTCATTGCATCCACCCGATCTCGGCAGGTTGGCATTGTGTGCTCAGAGACCAGATGGATGAAGTTGAGAATGGCCTTAATTTTGATCTCGTGGAGCCTGAGTTGATAAAGAGAGACCGCGAGGTCCTCAAAAGCACAAGCCCACAAAGGGGCTGGACATCATACATGTCTGCGAGCATGTAGATTTGGAGTTGCTGGGTCAGGAAATCGTTCCAGTCCCGATGTTGGTGTGTTTCATCTGGGAACCAGGCGTAGTCGGCTCTGGCGTTGGAGTCCCATCAATATTGGTCGAGGGCTGGGATATTCATCCACGAGATCGTCGGCCAGTTTCGCCCCTCGTATTGGTTGTTGGCGAATTTCATCCCGGAACCAGGCGTAGTCGGCTCTGGCGTTGGAGTCCCATCGATATTGGTCGAGGGTCGGGATATTCATCCACGATATCGTGGGCCAGTTCCACCCCTCATATTCGTTGAGGGCGGCGATTTCAGCCCTTTGGGATTTTTCGTTTCCCCGATCGTCGGGGGTGCGTCGAACGGCAAATGTCGGCATATTGTAGTCGGCATAGTAGAGATACTGACGGAAGCGGATAAACGTTTCTTTGTCCACATCGATCCACTCGCTCTTGCGCTCATGCGCCTCTCTCATGTTCCCGTTGACGAGGGCGCCGAGCGTGCGAGACGCGCCGGCAAGAATGTTGGAATGGATTTTCATCTCTGCCCTTTCAGCACCGACTGCCACGATGAACATAGGCGATTCGATAGCCCTAGGGGTAATGTTAGTAGATGAAGTGTAGAAATGATCCGAAGCTTACTTGTTCATGGTTGTTTGGCTCATGTTGAAGGAGCTTGAAGAAGATGAGACAGCGGGTACCTTCAATGAATTCCCCGATCACTTTCAGGGTTGAACCTTGCATAAGCTCCGCGGGTTCTTTGAGATATTGAAGAAATGAGATGATTTCGATCAGTTCGGAGGATTCCATCGGAATTTATGGTAAGAATGAGAATAGAATGGGGATAGAATGAGAGGAAGGAGAGGGAAGAAAGGAAAGAGAAAGCAGGTGAAAAGTGAGAAAGAGGTTTGCTGTGATGACATGAAGATATTGAGATGGAGAAGAATGATTTTTGAAATGTGCTCTGTGAAGTGAATGTGAGTATTTGCAGGCTTCTCCAAAAGCCTAAAGGACATCAAGCCTGGCATGCGCGGCCAGAGCTGGGGACTAATCCTCGTTCCTTCTGTTTCCGTTCCGTTATCCCACCGCTATGGAAGCCATGCTACTCCATGCACATGACCGTAGCAGATTTTGTGGGGAGATATACAGACGGAAATACGGAAGCTGGAGTGTTTGACTCCTTGAATACTGTCTGTGAATATGAATTCTCAAAGGGGTCATAGATTCCTTTAGACTGGTGTCAATGAGATAAGTATCCTAGTTCCGTTCCTCCATTGCAATTTGGAAATCATCGGCCACATTCGCTTAATTTCAGGATTGATCTTGGAGTGCTCGGTCATCAGTGTGACTTTTTCCGAGTTGTTAGTTGCTGATTATCCTGTCTCTGGCTGGCAGAAGTGCGGAGCACCAACGTACGAAATTGTTGGCCGATTTCGTTGCTCAAATTCTTCAAAGTCGATGATGACTGCAGTGCTTGCAAATTTATCTTTCCCCCCTTTGTTCTCGGGAGTGCAATGGATGGTAAAAGTCAGCATTTTAAAGGAATTCACGGAAGTGTGCGAAGGTGTGTTCATCAACGTCAAGCCACTCGGTCTTCCGTTCGTGTACTTCTTTCATGCCCCCATATACTTAAGTAATAGGCAGACAAAACACAAAAAGAGATGGACAGCTGGCAAGGGGAATCTAAGCTAAAGACTTCAGGAGGGGAGAAGCAAGCGCAGGAAGAAAGGACCAGCGCTAATCTCACCGTTCCCAGAAACGCATATAAATATTCCTTTTCATCATATATTATGGTATCAATTTATTCTATCCTCTTCTAAAGTTGTAACCTGATTACCACGAACTGGCGAATCTCTCCTTTCATTCCTTTTATTCCTGTATCCATCGTACAAACTGGCTAGTTTCCCATACCTATTCCACGAACGGGTAATCCCACGCGTAGCCTGACTCAGATCTATCGTATGGCAAATAATCATTGCCACCGGCGAAGTCTTTGACGTCACTGGGTGTTATTTTGGCGTTCGCTGGATTGAAATCCGTGGAGAAGGAAAGCGAGAGTTGCAAGCCGCTTTTGCGTTCGATTAAAGAGCCCAAATCAACTATGAGCGGAATGGTCAGTGTGCGTGGATCGAGTATAACGTTTATTTGGGAACGGTGGGACGAAAATCGGAGGGTTAGATCTTACCAGTGCGGCGTGTTTTCAAATCAAAGCCATCAAGTTGCTGGATGGTCCTACCCTGGCTGAAAAATATCTCTCCACTTCGCTTACCGTACAAGTGGAAGATTAAAAACGTGTTTTGATGAACATTCCTGTGAGCAGTCAATACTGGCTAGCATTGCCGAGGAAATTGCAAATCGTACACAAAAAATGTATCATCCCAGCGCGGGTTGTCACGATTAGCGTACAAACTTTGCCACACTCTGCTTGGCATGGGGCTTCGTGTAATATGAGAAGGGATCTCAAGAAAAACACTGTAGACCTTCGGGCCTATCAGTCATAATCAACTTTGAACCAGGTTGTATTGGAGTAAACACGTATGGGCAATGGACCAAACTTACCAAAGAGATTGAACCGGGGTAAACCCACCAAAGACTTGACTGAGTCAATATTAACAAAGGTCATTCATTTCTCAAGTGGAATGTGAACAAATCAGTTGACTTACTTGTGATCATCAAATTTGGGGTTAGCTTCCAATACACTGAGCTGAGTCTGTCTTCTGCGTCCAGTCCAGCTTTTCCGCTTCTATGGAACCCATGGTATCTCCCTACCAGCCAGCAAATATCCTCGTACACCGCTGAAGCCTTGTCATACTTCTTCTGCTGTTCATATACGACGGCAATAATTTCTAGACACCTTCGCTGAAGGTCGTATGTCGACATTGGACGCCCTCGAGAACGATCTTGAAGCACCCGAGGAAGGATTTGGTTTAGAGAGTCATCTTGTGAATGATGACTAGACGCGAGCTCTGCAAGCTTTGCGTACTCCCGGTTAAGGTCCCTGAGGTCTTTACTCGCCATCTGATTCTGTTCCGTTTCAAGTTGGGTTAGGTACTTTCTAAGCTTCTCCACTGTGTCCAGAGTCTCTGTCGCTCGAGCGGACTGGGTCTTGTCTGAGATGAGGGCCCCGGCAGTTTTCGAATCCGACTGACGAGTGGGTTGGGTATCGTGCTTGGCCTCGTGCGTTCGAGATCCTGGAATACGGTCTGCTGGCGATTTTGCAATTTCTGCCCGGGGTCTCCGGCGATTCTCAGAGAAGCGGGGTATCCGGTGATTACTTCCCTCGAGGGCGTCACTATCTGTGACTGTAACCAGACCGATGGGGCCCCTGTTTCCGGCAGACCGGCCAACCCAGTCGTGTTTTAGAGCTTCCGCTGCATCAAAGCGTTGCCGAGGATCAGGGACGAGCAGGCTTCTGATAAATCCCCATCCCGGCTCCGATAGGCCGTCGGGCCGCGTTGGAAACCACAGTCCCCTGCAGCATTTCTTGTAATCAAATGGCCACCGCGGGAACGCAGCCGAAAGTGCCACTATCTCGAATACAACACATCCAAGTGACCATAGATCAACTTTGTTCGTGTACTTGTCGTTATCATCTTGTTGATCCACGTCACCATGAATCTCGGGAGCTGTGTAGATGGGCGTGCCTATTCCAGTTCGGAATTCCGTGCCGATTCTGTTGATTTGTTTGGATATTCCGAAGTCTCCTATTTTGACTGACCATTTGGGTCCAGGCGTGTCGATGAATATGTTCCAGGGGCCTATCAGTACCTGATGTGAGAGGTTCGAACAGTTCTGGTACTTACATCGGGTTTGAGGTCGCGATGTGCATAACCTTGTTCGTGCATATATGACAAACCAAGCAGCAGCTGTGCCGCGATCATCCTCACCTCGCTCTCTTTTAGACGCTGATTGACTTGGATCAAGCGCCTAAGTGTGCCACCAGGAACGTACTCCATGGCTATATAAATCGTCTTGGGGTCCTCAAACCAGCCATATAATTCGACAAAAAGTCCGGAGCGAATGTGCTAAGAACGTGAATCAAATGTTATCATCGTGCGATGATGATTGGGATATTTTGAATGCTGGGTCACTTACTCTTCGTGTGGAAAAGTCACTCAGCGCAGTCAATTCCCTCTGGTCTTTCATCTTAGCTTTCCGAACCGTCTTGACAGCTCTCACAGTCTGTCCGGTTTCTCTTCCACTCTGGAGTCTTTCTAGCCAAACAACGCCATATGACCCGCTTCCCAGTTCTTCGACCCTCTCCCACCGCTGTACCTGACCTGATCGTTGCAGGTCGGCAGGGAGCCGATCATCCAGAAATCTGTGCTCCACAAAATACGGTTCATGGTTCACCACTGCCTTCAGTTTGTACTCATGAACGCCCCCGTTGTACGGCATTTTCTACCAAGCTGGGGAGGTGCTCACTCGACGCGGACACGAGTGGTGGGTTGGGGGTCCAAGTCACATAAGCCTGATCTTTGCTGACTCTCTTATGCGCCTGGGCTAACGCAAATGGTAAGCGTTCCTAACCACCTGTGAGACATGATTGGTCAACCTCACCTGAATCTGGCTTGATCTGTGCGGCCCGAATTCTTCAGTGTATGATTGGCTGCGATGCGGTTTCGGGTTAGCCGCCAGCCCCCAATGCGACCCCTCAAACTGCGCAAAGGACCCATTAGGGGACGGGTACTCCCCACCTGATTCTATTATGAGTTCTTATGTTTACAGAAACTAATTCCCCCTCTGCAAATATCATCCATCCTCTTGGGATTTGTGCCCCATCAACAGGTCATCCTTGCACGGCCAGTGGCCTCCGGGTTCTTGACACGAATAACTATATTACGACTCTGGAACTAGGCATAAACTGACAATATGGACCCTGTTTCATTTGCGTGCGGTGTCCTGGGTGCCGCAGACGTTTGTCTCAAGTGAGATATCACTTCCCTCGTTATTTTCTTTCAACATGGCAATTTGACATCCACCTAGGTCTGGAAAGTACCTCATTCGCAAATTTGGAGACTACCGAAACGCCGAGCGGGACATCGTCGATATCGTGCTTCGCATGAAGACTCTCTGGCTGAAGACAGAAATCCAACTCGAGTCAATAAAAAAGCTGTGGGGATCATTTGATCCCCGACTGCAAGCTCTTTTCGACGAGCTGATCGGTCATCTTCAAAGCAAGCTTCAGATCGCATCCAATAGTCTGGATAGAGTAATGGACGGGAAGCAATGCGAAGGTGGAGCAGTGAAGAAGTTCAAAGCGGCGTATTTCAAAAAGAGTATCCAGCAAACTGTCCAGGAGCTGGAAGATTGGCAAGGGAGGTTTGAACCTACTTGGCTTCTAATCACTCTCGTTACCAGCCCGGCGATTGATAGATACCTGGAGGGGAAGAATGACCAGACAAGTGTGCCCACTGGAAAACTCAAGGAATTGAGGGATGCCATGAGCCGGAAGGTGGAAGCGAGACAAGGGTCCATTTTCATCAAGGAAGAAAACATATCTGGAGGTTACAGATCTCTCCCTTGGTCTGAAGTGTGCACAACGCGTCTGTCTGGCAGCGATAAAAGATTTCTTATTGATAAAATAACCTATCTCGACTCTGACATCAACCTTGCAACAGTGCATATCCGGGACCTAGCGAGGCGTTTATCAACCTCTGACCCTGCTGAGTTCGGAGTTCTTCGTTGCCGAGGTGTGATCAAGTCTTCAACCAGGGCTGGCACTAGCTTCAAACTCGTGTTCGAAATTCCTCCCACGCTATCCAGCCCGCAAACACTTCGCGAAATTCTGCTACACAAGGCTCCCCACCCTCTCAATCAGCGATTCCAGCTAGCTAAGCAGCTGATCAGATCTCTGATGTTTGTTCATACATTCGGATTTGTCCACAAAAGCATTCGCCCCGATACAATTATCGTTTTTCGAGAATCTGAGAAGATGCTTGGCCATTCTTTTCTCACCGGCTTTGAGCGATTCAGACCCGGAAATGCAGAAACACTGCTGTCAGGGGACTCGAGCTGGGAGAAGAACCTCTACCGTCACCCTAAGCGCCAGGGGATACACCCTGAGGAGAGATACATAATGCAACATGATATCTACAGCCTTGGGGTGTGCCTTCTTGAGATCGGGCTGTGGAACTCGTTCGTGCGCCCAGCAGACGGCAGCGGCATTGAGTCTAGTGAAAGCCTGAAAAATGTCAAAGAAGCACTTGTATCAGGGAACAGGCCAAGCCTTGTGAAAGATGGATTGGTGCAGATCGCTACCAAGCGTCTTTCGGGATTGATGGGACAGCGCTATGCCGATATTGTTCTATCCTGTCTGACGTGTCTCGACCCTGGCGATACCAATTTGTTCGGAAAGGAGGAGGATCTGGAAGATGAGGATGGAATCGTTGTGGGTGTTCAGTTTATCGAGAAGGTATTGAGCATATCGCCTGTGAGGGTCTTATTCTTTGCTAACTATGACTGCATGCAGGTGCTTTTACAGATTGAAGATATACGTGTTTGAGTGGGGAAACTTGATCTAGCAGGGAAAAAGCGGCTGACAGATACATTTCTAGATTGTTGTAAAAGACGGCGTGGCTGGCTTGGCTTTGTTGGAAGTGACGTTCTGACATTGAGAGTTATTTTCCTAAAAGTATACGAGTAGATATTTAATTATCCTGAAGTCCCACTGTCCAAAACCCGAACTTCCAACTTTGGAAGTTTACGATACTACCTCCAGGGCTAGGTATGCCTTAAATTCCCAGTCGGCATCAAACCTTGAAACCTTCATTCGGTTCTAGGTTACTCATAGCCCACCGTCAAAAACTTGTTACCCAAAGGCCTCTTTGATGAACGCCTCACCTTCAGTGATATCGGGATCATGGGCCCAGTTAGGAGTCTTGATATGAACAGCTCGGTGTGATAAAAGATCCATGACCGTGATAGCTTGTTGTATCTGGGAGTCGAAGTGTTGCAAGGAAGGGAGAATTTCGCAGATCTTCTGGCCCCAACTTAAGTTGTTTTCAGCGACAAGAATCCCAATGGCGACTGCAGTCAAGCTTTTGGAAATCGAGGCCATATTGTATATCGTATTTTCATCAGCCTTCAAGCCTAATCCGGTATCGTGGTGTCCGAACGATGTAGTCTGGACCTCATTGCCTCGCATCACTCCATGCGAAGCACCAGCGGATCGAACTGTGTATCAGGATCCACTGGTGTCACAGAAAGAGTTTCGTCGGTGATATTTCTGAGTCTCACGCTCACCGAAACATCTGCATTGCTTACACGCCAGTATACAGAAGCCAAAATGTCTTTGTCTGAGCAGCATTATAGCCAAGCCACGGCTCACGTGCGCAACGGACCAGGCTCAACCCTCAACGCACCAGCTGCCGTGCCCACCAGGCCAGGTTTTCCTCCGAGCGCGAATATCGGCACTACCGGTACGCATTTCAGTCTTCTTGTGTTGATAGATGACCAACCCACATAACACAACATACCGAAGTACTGACGTTGTTTTTGAAACGCCAACAGAACCCCCTATCTCGATACCCTCGACATCCTCACCAATTCAACTATCCCCAAGCACCTTCGACGAACCGCCAGAAGATCCGACTTTCGGTGAGTATGGGGCTCCGCAACAGGCACCAGGGTTCTGGGCTCGGTTAGCCAAGGCGTGCCCATTCCTCGGGGGTGAGGGATTTAAGCTCACCCCGGGCACAGCATTGAACACGATCTGCAAGATGGAAGCTCAACGAGAGCCCATACTAAGCGGGTACCTTGGGTACCTCAATTCACTGCACCGTAGCCCATATCAATGGAGTGCTGGAGGGTCCCAAATATGCACCAGAAAATTTGTAAATTTTTCGAAAGGCTGGGCTGAAGCCCTTGAAGACTTTGGAGGCTTTTCATGTTTGGGTTCTCGGTATGAGGAAGGCGGATGGGGCCTCTAGAAAGAATTCCAAACGTTAGCCAGAAGCTTTGATTTTGGTCCTATTGTCCCTTTTCGGCAATCGGCGAAGCGGCATCGGGAGGCCCTGGAGGTTGAGTAAGCGGATGAAACACCCGTGGACGGAGAGAGTCTGAAGCTTACCCAATTTCGACGTTCACTGTGAAATAGACTTGCCTGGACGTAATAACTGAGTGCTTGTGGCGAATAGAGAAATCATAGTGGTTTGTATATATGAGAAAGATGGGAAGAACAAGGAGGGAAGGAGAATGAAGAAAGATGTTCTGGGGAGTTACTTAAGTAGGAATACAGAAAGATGGAGCATGCTCGGTTTGAGCTTCGATTTATGGTCTGAAAATATGAATGGCCCATCGTTTGGGTGAGATTGACTTCTTAAAGGAAACCTCAATCGTGTTCCTGTTGAGAGAGCAAGAAGACTGAACCAAGAAATTGATTGCGAGAGAGAAGAAGAAGGAAGAGAGGGAAGCTAGGAGGCTGAGCTATCTACTACTAGGGGTTGGGCAAACACCTTCCACAACAGTTCCGCGCTCATTCCAAATGATGCTCCTTGGTGAATTCCATTATGAAATCATCTGCCAATTCGGGGACATCTTCCAGCAGCTGCTGGAATTCCTCGCAATCGGGAACCTCCTCCTGATTATTCGCCAGGTACCGCGAGATGAGTTCCCTCATGGGATCCTTGGTCACGGATCGTGGGGGGGTGTTGTTGTAGATGTATCTGGCGAACCAGATGAGGCCCTCCATCTCGGGACATTCCGGGGCGTGAATACAGTATCTTCTTAGGATACTGTATGCCCTGAAACAGGCAAGGCGGCAAAGGGGAATAATTTGGTATGTATCTCCAAGCACATAGAGCTTGGCGTGTGCCGCCAGAGCTGGGGACCAATCTTCATCCCTTCTGTTGCCGTCTCCGCACCAAGTCCACAGTGCGCCGGGGTAATCGTCGCTCGTAGCCCAGTCGTTGATGTAGGGGATTTCAAAGTGTTGTGGACCACCCCAGGAATTGAAGATCACCAGGTGTTGAGGGCCAAACTCGGGGATCTTCTGGGCGAGGGGAGGGATTGGTGGAAATGGGACTTTGAGGGGCTCTGGGACTCTGTAATCTTGACGGTAGGCAAAGTCCATAAAGCGGTAGAAAGTTTCCACATCGACCTCGGGCCATTTGACTATTTTGTCTTTTGCCTCTTTGAAAGGGCCTTCGAGAAGTACCCTGAGGACCGGCGATTGCCTGGAGATGGCGTAGGCGTGGGGCCGGACTTCATGTTCTTCAGGCCCCACGACGAAGGTGACTAGAGGAGATGCGAGTATTCTGAAGATGAGTTAGCGAAACCAAGATACCAAGATGGGGAAAAAGGAAACCTTACTGCTGAATGTCCATGTTGGAAGTGTTGGGAGTAAATTGAAAGTCCATCTGAGGTTGAAGAATGGAAGTGGGAAGAAAGGGAAAGTGGGAAGGAAGAGGTATTAAATAGGGTAGAGAGGTGAGGTCCTTCGTAGAGGACTACAGTCTACAGGTGAACCCTGGAATGAGTCCCGCGATGGAATAGTCAATGTCAAGTGAGAGCTTCATTTCATTTCAAAGTATTACTTTGTTAGTCTGTGAATATATGATTTTCAATCAATTGGTTTCCCAAAGAATTGGAATATATGCTTTAGAGATCTAAATATCTAATGCTAAGATATTCGGTTCATGTCAGGATTCTGACTGACGTGTATACATATATTCTTCCCCCTCTCTCCAACTTCTTCTCCTCTTCTTCATCGCCCCAATCTCCACAACGCCCTAGGGTAATCGTTGCTTGTACCCCAGTCATTTATGTAGTCAAGCTCAAAGTGCTGTGGTCCACCCCAGTAGTTGAAGAGTTTCAGGTGCTCAGGGTCAACTTCAGAGATGTTCTGGTGGTGGGGAAGAATCGGTGGGAACGGTACTTTCGCGCTCTTGGGCTTGCTGTACGGCATTCTGTGCATTGGCCATGGCGGCCTGCTGCAGAGCCTTTCATCCTCGGCATGAAAGCCAAGGTCCTCAAACGCAGTAGTCTTGGCGTCGGGGTTGGCGACGCCATCAGGAAGATATATTCTGGGGCGTGGATACAGTATCTTCTCAAAATACTATATGCCCGGAAGCAGGTAAGCCGGCAAATCGGGAGTATTTGGTATGTATCCCCAAGCACATAGAGTTTGGCGTGCGTCGTCAGAGCAGGAGACCAGTCCTCGTCCCGTCGATTCCCGTCACCACACCAATCGGGCTTGCCGAGTTGAACGTTTTCTCCAGTAGCAGCAACAGCACCATCGCCTTGTGCCTCATCGGTCTTGATTTTGCGCCCAGTGAAGTGAGAGCACAAGCTGAAGAGTGGAAGTGGGAAGAAAAAGGAAAGTGGGAAGCGAGAGGTGTTTGATAATTGTCCGGATGGGCTTGATTTCCCCTTTTTTTTTGGCGACGATTATAATGGTGAACATAGGCATGTTGATGGCACGAGGCTAGTTCGAACGAAGGCCTGGCAGGCAGTCAGCTTAGTTGAGAATGGTGTCCACCCACGTAGTAGGTTACCTCTGGCAAGTGAACTTGCGTCAGATTCCAACTCAGTGTCATCATCAAAAGCTTTGACTTTCATCACCGAAATCGTTGGCTAGATTCGCTCGACATCTCGCTTGATCTCGGAGTTCTTGGTCATGAGTGTGTAGCACTGTTTTCGAGCTGTTGTTGATTATCCTGCCTGTGGCAGAGGTGAGCACCAACGGCATCTGATCGTCTTCTTCTTCCACAAACTCGTAGAATCGTGAGGGCCCTTCGTCATCACCTATTTTTGATAAGAGGTTGAACAGTTCAAGTGGAAGTGAGAAGCAAGTGGAAGTGAGAAGAGAGTGAAAGTGGGAAGAGATATCAATTAGGGAGTAGGAATACATGTGAAAAGAATCCGAGACCAGCTAGGGTTCAGACCGGTATAAACAAGTGTCTCTTCTTTTCTTCATCTGTAAACGGCGGACCTGTGAATTACTGTATCCGGTTAGCTTTGCCTTTTTAGGTTTAGCGCCCAAATACGCTGTTTTGTAACCTCTCCCGACGTCGCCTCGACATGAAAGACCAGATCTCGCCCTTTCAGCCTGGACTCAGCCTCAGAGGTGTATGTGAAGAACAACGCCGGCGTGCTGTGGCCCCAGGTGCCGGATCCCAGGGCTGAGTCTCCCTGCCGTCCCAAGCTGCCTACTGAGCGGCCTGGATAGGCATGTCAGGAGGCCAGCTTCGAAGTATCACAGAAGCTTCACCCTCCCACCGAGGGTGAGCTCTCACATCATGCAAGTCGAAGTTCCAAGCCTTCGCAACCCGGTTATCTGGTCGATATGGTTCCAGTGGATAACATTCCCATCCCAATGTGATGTCAGTATTATTCTGACAATAGAGCTTGAACTCAGTCGCAGAATGGCCTTCCACTTCGAATTTCATACTCTTCAAACAAGGCATACGTCGGGCCGCATGGCCAAGCGATATGAGAAGCCGATGGAAATATTCCTCGGTTCTCAATTCCGGTAATCCCCATCCCGCCTCAACATCGCATATTTCCTTTTCCCAGTCCTCTATCTTGTCGATTGCTGTCTGGGCCTCCGGCGTGTGGTGGAAAGTTGTTTCCCCTATTCAGTTTATTTGTTAGTTCATTTCAGCTTCTAGATCAATCTATATTGATTATTCTTGCTCCCTTCTTCCAAGAGATATGGAATCTTACCTGAAGGATAGCAGGATGGCACAAACTCAATCTCCAATGTCTTCAGATTAGGCCAATTCAAATGTAAAGAGTCTGGTTCGGGCTGGCCTGTTTCATCCAGAGGACACATAAAGTCGTATGGAACACGAGTGTTATTCAACTTCAATTCTTCGAGATGAACGCTCAGATGTCGCAAATTTATGCTCATGCTATCAACTCCCGAAGGGATGACATCGAGCGCAGGCATGGAATATTTCCATGGACTGTCTTCCGGTCCTTCATATTGTAGCACTCTTAGGCTCCTTGGAATAGAACCGATAAGAGAAGATAATGCTGTGTGGCTCTTAGCTTAGGGCTTAGGATAGTTCACGGTAAAAACTTAAAAGGTTATAGCTTACCTGCACGACGTAATTGTATATACTCCAGGTGGTCCGGACGAACCCATTCGTTAAGATTCAGCTCTAATTGAACAAGTTTCGGGCAGTGTTGAATAATAGTTTGTACTGCACCCGTCCAAATTTGATGATGGTCGCCCCAGCCGGGATCATGGTTTTTGAACGAGAGCTTCTCAATGCATGGAGCAAATGGTAAATCATTGTTGAGAAACTGCGCCCGATACGGGGGGACGGAGAATGTACGTCCTGTTTTATAATCCCAACAATATTCACCGGCGATGTCCCAGTCCTCGGTGCGTGGTTCCGGTGCAGGGCCACTTGGCCGCCCTCGAACGGCTAGATTCAGTTTCAGATAGGGCGTCTGATTCGACGCCCATGAGTGAAGTGTGTGGAAAAGGCTGAGCATAGCCGTCTGAAAAGCTAGATCATTGGCCTTCCTCACAGGGTTTTCGATACAGTAAGCTTCGGGTTCCTTCCACTCTTTGCGTGTAGTCCAATCCAAGAGTTCGTAAGGGACAAGGATATTGTAGTCAAGATTTCGGATCCAGGCTTGCCTTCGAACACCATCACCAGATGTGAGCCTTTGGAAATCTGCAAGAGAAATTCCGGGTTGGTCCTCTTCTTTGTGCTCATCGTCACTATAGACAATCAGACTGGAGTAAATAAAGGACTCAAAATTCCTCTGCCAGAGGCGACAAACACAAGTGCAGGGGACTAGCGAAGTCCCATCGTTTTTCAGAAATGTTGCGATCAGGTGTAAGATTTCAGGGGGCAGAGGTACAGTCATGACGCAGCTGAGTTGTTTTGGCGAAGAGTAAAGCTAGGGAGTTGATTGTATCGTATACGATGGATCTGAAGTAATACTAATCCAAAGAGTGGCAAAGAAGGAAAAGAAAGACAGATGAAGTTGAATGAACGAGAAACAGATTAAAGAAGATCCAATCTACACTTTGAAAAGTCCAATTTTACAATTTGAGCCTTGACCGCCTTTCTATGTCTCTCTTTCTGCCGGTCGTCCTTCCATCAACTGGGATGTATGTACCGAGTACGGAGCATCTATAGATGGAGTACGGAGCGTGCTCGGGTGCAGAATAGGAATAGTGGTGTTACTGGGCAGTGTCCAAAGTTACGGGTGGAAAGGAAGCCGTCTCTGGCGTCAAAAGTGGTCATTTTCGGCGTCATTTTCACAGGTCCTCATATTCTATATGTGAACAAGACCCAGAAATTGATAATTTCTCTTCCCTTCTACAACACACATTTACAAAATCCTTCAACTCAACTCCCATCCCTTGCGCGATCGCATGTCAGTAAACCAATCCTGCACATATGAAACCCCAGCATGAGGCCCATAGAGGTCTGTTTCCCACTGAGGCAACGGGGCAGGAAGACCAGTCTCTTGCAAACAGGTCTCTCGCAACTCTTCAATACTGCCTCCACGATCATAGATGAAAGATTCATCGATCTGTGTGCGTTGCAGTCGGATTTGGGTACGCAGCGTCTCGGTCTCTACATCGTTCACAGAGAAATCGTCGTTCACCGCAACACCGTACCCAGCACGAGCTCCCTCGACCGTCACGAGTTTCCGCTGAACCTCCAATGCAACTTTTTCGGCAGGGCGCGTCAAAGGATCACCAAGTCCACCACCGCCCCAGGTCACCCACTCGAGTAGATCACCCGGATCGACACGGACATGATCACACTTCGAAGGCAGGATCTCGGTGGGAGGGTTCGACTCTGACTTGGAGTATCGGTACAAAGTTTTACGAGATCGCTGTCCGGGCTTACCACCCTTCAAGCCCCAAGGCTTGGTGAACCATCGATCATCATGCAGACTGAATTCGCCACGCGCCAGGAATCGGTACAGCGTGCGCTGAGCATTTCCACCACGATAGAATCCGGGACCACCACTGTTAGCAACGCTCTCATTTGCTTCAATGCGAAGTGGATAGTTGAGCTCGATGATCTCCGTGGGGATGGATTTGATCGCAGGGAACAGACAGTGGCAGTCTGGACCATCACCAGCCTGCCGGGCCGGTACACCTCCAAAGCCAATCTGATAGAGCTGGTACCATTCACCATCCGGCTTGAAACCAGAGTAAAAGAAGTGCGGCGAGTCACTGAAACCCGCAGCTGCCTGGTAAGAGTCTTGCTTCTGACCGATAAGAGCCTGAACAATGTCCAAGGTGCGTCCGAGGAAATGAGTGCGGCACGAGATTGGCGCTGGTCGAACGGGTTTCAGAACTGTGCCTTTGGGAATGTGCACGTCGATTAAGTCGTGGAAACCGTCGTTGATGACTGTTCCTGGGGCAGCTGCTGCAATAAGATAGTAGCCGATGAACATCCGGAACATCGTCTCTGAGAGATAAAAGTTGATACTGCGTTCGCTTTGTGGCGAAGTTCCGCTCCAGTCAAACTTCAGTCGATTACCATCTACCTTTTTCATGGAGCATGTCAGGGCCCAGGGTCCGACGCCGTGGCCGTCGTCATCGACAAAGTCGGTGAATTTGCTCTCCAAGTCATCGAACTGTCGCTCGATAATCTTGGCAAAGCCGCTGCGGTTGCGGTAGAGTAGCTCAGAGCATGCAGCTAAATACACCTCCACACCAAAGCGAGTCGCCAACTCTCGAACTCTGGTCGCAGCCATGGAACAAGACGCAACGATAGCGGTCAAATCGGAGCGATACCAAGCTGGCTGCCGAGAGTTACGACACAAAAGATTGACCATATCGTTGTTCATCACGCCCCGGGTATACAGTTTGATGCATGGGATCTGCACACCGTCGTCGAAGACAGATGTTGCGTTAATTGACATGCTCCCGGGAACAATGCCACCCACATCAGTGAGGTGACCGAATTGCGAGGCAAAACCGATGATTCTCCCATCATGAAAAATAGGCAAGAAAGCGATGATGTCGTTGAGATGGCTGATGGCTCCTTGTACTTGGTAGGTGTCGTTGGTGATGAAGACGTCGCCCTCCTCGATTGAGCCCTCCCAGATATCAAGGAACTGAGTGATGAAACTACCGAACTGACCAACCAGCATTTTACCTTCACGGTCAGTGATAACATTGAACTCATCTTGTTGTTCTCGGATTGCAGGAGACATGCTGCATCGCAGCATCATCTTGTCCATCTCACCGCGAATAGAAGCAAGCGTTGAGGAAATCAGCGTCGGAACCAATGGAGTGGTCTTCACGAGCTCTTTGGCCGATTCGGCAGTGTGCAATGTAGCAACAGCAGGTTTCTTCTCCAAGGGGTTAATGAGAATATTTCCAATGCTGTCAATTTCGCCATAATACCCTGGCAAGATTAAAGTATTGCTATCCATCTCAGAGATGATGCATGGTCCATTGACTCGGATACCCTGTTTACTGATCTTCTGACGATCCCACAGCGTTGCAAGTTTCTCTTTGCCTTCTACGATGATAATCTGCTCGCCGGTCTTCGCATCTGCAGGAGGAACAGTCGCTTGTTCAACCTCGGGGATGTCAATACCAGGTGATGAATCCTCCAGCACAACTCCCAATCTCATCAGCTCGAGTTCAAAGTCGGGCAGACAGTAGGTAAACATTTGTTGGTGCTGTTGATCGAACTTTTGGCGCAGCATATTATGCCACTCCTCGGCACTGAGGGCTAGATCACTCTCTTCAAGATCAATTGTGATGGTCAAAGCTTGACCCTTATACCGAAGGTCTGCTTGGTATGATGTTCGCCACGAGACTGGCCACACCTTGCCCGCGGTCCTGGATAATGTCTCACGGCACTCTTGATCGAGTGTTTGATACACCCCCACGGCCTCGGTGATAGTCGTCGACAAGACGAGACGAATGAATGTCGCTGATTGTTCATGTCTGAGCTTGGTAGCGGCATCTCCCTGCGCACACAAGATTCCAGGCGAAGGCGGAATGATGACAGGCCAGGCACCAAGCAGCTGTCCGACAGCATTTGCATGCAGCGGGCCAGCACCGCCAAAGGCGACCAGTGCGAATTCACGAGGGTCGTAGCCTTGTTCCACAGAAACAAGACGCAAGGCCCCATACATGGTCTCATTGATGATTGTGATGATGTCTTCTGCTGTCTGTATAACGGGAAGCTTCATTTGGTTTGCAATGTCTTCAACGGCAGTCAAGGCAGCCTGGACATCCAGAGCGAACTCGCCACCTAAAAGTGTCTTGGGCAAGTATCCCAAGACCAAATTTGCATCTGTCACGGTCGCCTGCTTGCCACCTTTTCCGTATGACGCAGGCCCAGGCACTGCTCCGGCACTCTCGGGGCCCACTCTCATCGTTTCAGTCAGCTCCATGTACGTTGTGATAGATCCTCCTCCGGCTCCGACAGTTTTGATATCCACCGCAGGCGCCCGAACAGAATGGCTTTCCACGACGGTTTCTCGTCGGAGCTGGGGTTTCCCGTTGTAAATCAGCGCACAATCGGTGGAAGTTCCGCCCATGTCCAAGGTAATCAAATTTTTGTATGGAGTGCTTCGAGCGACAACATCGGCTACTCCTTTCACACCTCCAGCAGGACCTGACATGAGGATATTGACTGGTAATTCAGACGCCAGGGTGAGACTGGTGAGTCCTCCATCGCTCTTGAGGACCCGAATAGCCTCACTATCCGCTGCCAGTGCCTCAGACAGATTGTGCAGGTATTTCTCGACTACCGGCTTGACGAGAGTATTGGTGCAAGTTGTCACTGTTCGCTCGTATTCTCCGACTTCGCGCAGAACATCAGCAGAGCAATTGATCGCGATATTCGCACCAAGCTCCTCGCGAACAATTTCTTCAACAACTCGCTCATGAGAATCATTGCTGTGCGAATTCAACAACGAGATCGCAACAGCTTCCGGTTTATGGCGAGCCAGATCTCTCAGGCCACGACGCAGATCCTCTATATCAACCTGCGAGACCGTCTCCCCCTGAACAGACATGCGCTCTTTACACTGAACCACCCGCTCAAGAGGCACTATAGGCTCAGGCGGTGTCCAGTGCAACCAAGCCCCCAAACCACCAGGGATCTGGGAGCGGCGCAAGGCCAAAACATCCTTATGACCAGCCGTGACAATCAGCGCCGTCCGAGCACCCTTCCCTTCAAGAACTGCATTTGTCGCAGTAGTCGTACCATGATGAATAAATTGGAAAGTCCCGGACCAGCCAAATTGCTCTTTCAATATCTCACGAGCCTTGGCAATACCCTGCAGAATGCCAATACTCTGATCTGGCAGTGTCGTTGGCACCTTTGCGCGAACGGTCTTTCTGTGCGGGGTAAAGACATAAACGTCTGTGAATGTGCCGCCCACATCAACTCCGAGCTGATAGCCCTGATCGGGCCCTTGCATGGTGGCGTTCTGGTTCGACGGTTTGACAAAGTTGCGGTAACGAGACCGGCAGCCTGGGAGAGTTTTGAATCTTGAAAATTCTTTGAATCGGTGTGGCCTGATTGCCGCGCTTTAGACTTCTCTGCCTATATTGCTTTCGATACGAACTGGCAAATCCGCTGTCGCAGAGAGTTGATGAACTGTTCCTCTTTACTCTGTTTGGCTGTGTGGGGCACATCTTGCCAATGAATGGCCCGTGTCTGCTGCATGTTTATGCAACTAGCACAGGCGCTGCGTCCAAGCGCGAGAAGACGTTAAGGATTCTGACATTTTCCTAGTGATATTTGGACGTTTTTTGGGGTCGGAAATGAGATCACCTGGGAATCTCACTAGTGGGCCACCAGATCTAGCTCCCCGTTCGCAGTGCTGAGATTGAGTTACCGATTTCGCGACATCCCGACTTGACATTTTGGCCCCCATTTTAGCTCCGTGAAGCCCCAATTTCGGGATCGCAAGGCTGCACGTGGAGTCGATCGTCGATATTATGTATGTGCGGCAAGATCATCACTTACAGTCCTTGCAGAATTTATAGTCAATTGTGACTTCAGTGATGCTTAAGGTTTGGACCTACAGCTCAGTATGAATATATTATGACGTTCGAGCACATAAACAGATCACAGAATTATTTTCATCGCGGAAAACTAACACCGATCATATTAACATCCCTAAATTCTCTTTGTTCATATGTTGGTTGGGTGGAAGCTCGTGGCAAAAGTCTTCTTCGACTATGACGGCGGAACCGAAGTCGACTGCCTCAAACTCATGAGCATATCTGGCTCCAAGGAATTAAAGTGACCTACGAGTGAACATTGAGATCTCCCATTCTGATGAACTGGAAATCTGCCGCGCAACTGACAGCAATAAAGTTGATATGCAGCGCTAATGCGGCCCAAAAAAGCATAAAGTTCCAATTCGGGCAAGATGAGAGCTCGATCATGGAATGACGGTATAGAACGCACCAGTCAGAACAAACAAAGGCTCAGTCGCAGCACCAGTTACCCTGTGAAAACGCAGTACTCTTCGAGAACAGCCGTCCCGCCTCACCCCTTGCCCCAGCTCCTTGCTCGAGCCGCACATTCCTGCCCATCATGCCACAAAATAAATGCCAAACTTGTTTTGTTCGGGTATGCTGTGATTTTAAATGAGCTGGAAAAGACGGAAATATAAACCTATCATCGTGAAAGATCTTTGCGCTTCAACATGAGGGTTGCACTTTTGGCAATTGGTGCGCTGGTGGCGTGTACTTCGGCTGATGCTGCATTCTGCCGATGCCAACCTGATCAGCCTTGCTGGCCAAATGAGGACAAATGGGCTAGTCTCAATTCATCGACTGATGGGAATTTGGTCAAAGTCACACCATTTGCCTTGCCTTGCCATGACCCGACTTTCGATGCGGAAGAATGCAGTATTGCGCAAGAGCATACGAACAGTTCTACATATAGATCATCTGACCCTGGTAAGATTCAAACTTGTGAAGTTGTATTCATATAACAAGGAGCATGTCGATACTAATTTACCAAACTCAGGCGCTTTGCAATGGTCAAATTGGGAAACATGGCCCGAGAAAGATGAACAATGCTATATCGAAACACCCCAGTCAACACCTTGCAAGCAGGGTCGTATCCCGCTTCTGTCTGTAAAAGTTAAGGAAGCAAAACACATCCAAGAAGCCGTCAAATTTGCGGCAAAACACAACCTGAAGCTCGTCATCAAGAATTCAGGACATGACTTCATTGGGCGCTCTTCTGCCCCGAACTCCCTCCAGATCTTTACTCATGATTTGAAAGAAATTTCAATTGTGGACGAGTTTGTACCAACAGTCCCAGTCAACACCAGCGCTCCCCCGAGTACTAAGGCTGTGAAGCTCGGGGCAGGTGTTCAGTTGCACGAGATGTACTCGTACCTAGGCTCTAAGGGAGTGATGGTTGTTGCGGGAACAGCGAATACTGTCGGTATCACTGGTGGATACATTCAAGGTGGCGGACATTCATTGCTGGGATGGCTGCACGGAATGGCGAGCGATAATGCGCTTGAATTCGAGGTTGTTTTGGCTGATGTAAGTGCCCACGGGCCTTTTGGCAAAGCCTTTTGTTCCGGTGACTGACACACAATCAGGGCTCACTCATTGTTGCAAATGATTATCAAAACTCCGATGTCTTCTTTTCTCTGCGTGGAGGTGGAGGTGGCAGCTTTGGTGTAGTGGTCAGCGCAACTGTCAAGGCTCATCCCAATTACCCTACAGTGGTGGCTACTTTGAACTATACCACCCCTGTGGGCGCTTCATACTGGGACGGAGTGGGCGCTCTCCAAAAGCATATCCTGGAAATTAACGACAAAGGAGGCTCCGGCTTTTATGGATTAATCCCCAACACACCGATTTCCGACACCCAAACGGTATCCACATTGGTGTTTATGGCGACGTTTGTGAACCAAACAGACACAAAGGCAGTTGAGCAACTGATGGCACCAGTGAAGTCAGATATCAAGAACGCAATAGGAGCAGAGCCGTATTCCGATATCGCGGCATTGCCCACACTGTCAACTTTGTACTCCTCCCTGCTTCAAGGAGACGACACGACCGGTCACCAAATGCGCCTCGCCACCCGTCTGCTATCTCGGCAGTTCTATGAGTCAGGCAACCACACCAAATTGACAAGTGCTCTGTCTACCATTGCATATGGACCAGCAGACGGTATTGTCGGCGCATTCGTAGCTGGCGGCCAAGTTTCCGAGAACCGCAACATCGACTCCGGACTCAACCCCGCCTGGAGAGATACAATGGTCCACCTAATCGCCGCCCACTATATGAGTCCTGAGATGACATTCGACGAGCAAAAAGCATTCGAAGCAAACATCACCAATACCGAAGTCCCACTCCTCAGATCCCTCGAGCCAGGCGAGATGGGCGCATACATGAACGAAGCTGACGCCGACGAAACCGACTTCCAACAATCATTCTGGGGCGAGAACTACCCCCGCCTGCAAGAAATCAAAGCCTCACGAGACCCAGATGACCTCTTCATTGCGCGCAAAGGGGTTGGAAGTGAGAAGTGGGATGACAGCGGCTTGTGTCGCGCATAAGCACCAAGGCCGGCAATACCCGAAGGCGAAAAGGCTTGGCGCGGATATCGCGAAAAAGCCACATCCGCGTTCTTCACTCGGACATACTCGTATACCCTCTCATTTTCCTAGCTATGGCAATAATCAAGAATTTCACCCTGCCGGCCTCGGTGAAGGAGCTCATTGCTGGTCCGGATTCGAAAATTTTCATCGCTTTCGTCTCCTCACTGGACCCTGTTACCAAGCAGGCTTGGTGCCCGGATGTCCGAGCTGCGATGCCACATATCACCGAAGCTTTCGCTGGTGATGATACGCCGTCCCTTGCAATTGTCGAGGTTGGACAAAAGCCTGAGTAAGTTTCCGAACGGGTGTCCTGCATATTTTCACATGTTGCTCGTATTGTATTGCCGATTTTCCCTTATCGGCCATGAAATATTGGCGCCTGGTCTAAATGCAGTTGGCTGACACCATCTATTTAGATGGGCTAATCCTCAGAATGTGTACCGCACCACCTGGGCTACCAGGAATATCCCTGCGCTAGTTCGATACCAGAACGTCAATGGCGAGGTGACTGAGACTTCGAGATTGGTGGAAGGCGAGATTCTGAACAAGCAGAAACTCCAGGCGTTCATGGCTTGAATAAGTTTTCCAGGATTGTCATTTTATCATGGGCACGCGAATGCCCAGGTCGTTATCTATATACCATTACTTTGACACCAGTCTTACCGAATTCTCAGCCACATCAAAGAACCAGGATTGTGAATGAAAAATGCATTTAATGATCACAAATATACTAGGGGACTCAAACTTTAGGTATTGATGCCGTCTTGCAGACAATGGGATTAATGTTAACAAAGATCCTTGAGTCAGTCCAAGCTCATTCCAAGGTTCAATCAAAACCATCATCTTGATTACCAATTCCAGAAATTATTCCAGGGCCCAGGTGCGCATCCATCGCTATGTTCCACGGGACAAGTACACATTGGCCCCTGCACTTGAGCAGTAATCCCAGAGCCAACAGAGCTGGGATGATTCAGCAAATGTTGCCAAAACATGCTCCATGATGAGATTCCAGTCCTGCAAATCGGACATAAATCAGGGGGAGCCACTTTCACCCCAACTGGATCCCCATGTTGTGATCTGCCAATGTGTCGGAGGCGAAGATGTTCACGCGCCCTGTTCCATTTGGAAAACTTTTGTTGACATCTTCGCACAGGACAACGAAACCTGACCTCGCTTGTATCATGAGTATTGCCGAAGTGTCGTTTGAGTAACCCCAGAGAGCTGATCGACACCGTTTTACCTTCGTGTTTACACACTGGGCAATGACGATGTTGAGTTGCCGTATGAGCGGGATTATCTTCAGTAGAAATGGATAGAGCTGCAGAAGTCTCAGTCAAATAAAGAGAAGAATCCATCAAGGCGGAAGATTTGCTGGTGCCGATATCGCTAACTGTGTCAACGAGGCAGCCCTTGTTGGTAAGTTTCCACCCATCAAACTTGGAATTTGACGACTCATTTGAGTTTAAGAGCACCCCCAATTCACGCAACCCTTGACAAGCTTCACTGATTTCCTCAGAAGAGCATGGATGACCGGAGACAAGCTTCTTATAAATATCAATGATGAAACTAAAGTATCCATCCAAAGTCCGGAATGAGGTTGTCTCAATAGACTTGAAAAGTCGCACATCAGTCGTATGACTGAAAACTGATCTAGGTGCTTGATACGGAGAACAAGATCTCGATCGTGTGGATGCACTACTCTGTGTGGACTCAGTAAAATTCCTCTAAATCCTGGAACACTCATAAATAACTTACCGATAATGGCCTTGAGGATCTTGAATACATGGATTCAATATCAATTGAACGCAGGGTCAGTTTTTGTTCCGCCCAACTATCAGAAAGGGGCCTTTCATGCTGATCGAGCTCCGATGTGGATGGAGCGTAATGGATGATCGAAGCGTTTTCGGATCTCTTTCCAGTGGCCTTTGATGGAGTTTTTTCAGGGTTTGGGGGCACCACGAAGTTATTAGAACCGGAGACACAAGCGAACGATTCAAATTCCCAAGTCGTCTCCTGGAACTTAGTATCTTCCACGTAAGAGATCTCAGGTATTCCTCCATTGTGTATCATCAAATGAGACAGTTGCTCTAGGTGTAAACCAAGGTGCCTTTGGAAGCAACTAGGGTCAGTTATTGGAGGCATGACGCATAGCGGACATTGCTGTGGCGAGCTGATAGCCCTTTCAGATAAACCCAATACTGTTTCACATTGATCATCCGATAAAGTCTCGGAATGGACGCTTTTGAGATGCCGAGAGAAGCAATCTTTGGATGTGCTAATGTATGAGCACAGGCCGCAGAGCCATTCTCGGCGATGAAAGAGTCGTTCATGAGAACTCCATTCCCCGTAGTCGTTATACAAGCGATTGGGGTTGACACAGTCTCCGAAGGTGCAGACATATGGCTTTAAATCATTTCTGACATGGCTTTCCCAGTCTTCATCGAAGCTGTCAATCTCCAATCGCACTGTTTGAAAGCAATGCGGACAGACTATTTGTGCTCTTTTGCTTGGCTCTGGAACGGAGGACTCCAAAGGGGCTGTAGATGGCGGATTGTTTGCAAGGATACCTGGACTAGACTTAGGTGGGCTCCTGTTCTCAAAACTGCTATGGGCTTCCTGGAGGTGTGTCGGGTAATGATAAAACAAATCATTCAGTCCATCCGTATCCGGGTATGGGGAAACAATATTGTCAGTTGATCCTGAGAAGTCATTATTGTGTCGAGAGGATGGTTCATCACTGTGTGTCTTGTAGTAAGCGAGAAGTTGGCGGCGTTTGTTATTAGCTGCTCCCAGTCGCTGTAAAAGTGCATTACTCTCCGGGAATCCAAGGAAATTTGCGACACATCTTATGTCGTACTGAAGATATGCTTGGACAATTTGAGACGCGCGAGGTGTTCGATCGCCACCAGCGGGATTCAGAAGGGCGAGAGATAATTTATACCTGCATAGTATTGGCCAACTGCTCTTGAAATTCAAGCACTTTAGCTCAGATACTTACAAACTCGTGATTGCATGGTGGACATCCTTCCAGCATTCTTCAAGTTGTGAATGCTGAGTATCCTCCGACTTCAGTTCCTCCCAGAACCCATCGGAATCGGAATCGGAGTCGGTATCAAGGTCATCGGATAAAGCTGATATTCCTGAAGTCGGATCTTTTTGAGTGCTTTTGTCCTTTCCGGAGATACAACCAACAACTAGATGTCTCAGCTCAGCACGAGGATACTATGCTGAGATCGCACTTTTGCATGTGAGCTCACATACCGGCTTGGATGACATCTGAAAGTTCTTGTAGCTGATTGACAACCTCCCTTTGTAAGAAAGGCGTGTTTTGCAGACGAAAATCCAAAGAGAGACTGTCATTGTGGTTGCGAGAAGCACCAAAATTGCCGGACCAAACGCGAAGTCGACCATGCTCATCTAATGCTTTGATGTAGTTATCATTGTTGCAAGGGCAGGCGGAAAGCTTGATCAGAATTTTGAACTGGCGATCACAAACGGTGGTAAGAGATGATATCGACGGCTCCGTTGCGGGAAGCATTTTGGGCACAAGAACGTCGCGTAGCCCTTTCCACCCACCCAAAAATGGAAGTTTGGAGATGAGAGCCTCTCCTGGTTTTGCTGAAAACCTGAACAGATGCGGTATTCTTCGCTTAATCGACTTTGGTCGTGATTCACGTGATTCAGCCGCAGATGAGGGGTTGATGAGGTTCACCCAGGTGCAATGCACGCCGGGGTTCTGACCTATTCCCACTGTCTGAAAACTGTTATTAAGAAGACCACAAACCTAGGATCTTCACCTCGATCATTTTACCATTGATCATGGCAACTGGGTTCGAGGCCGCTGGTCTCGCCTTGGCCATATTCCCTATTCTGATCGAAGTGGTCAAATTCTACGCCAATGAAAAGAATGTTGTCAAAGACTTTGTTCACTACCAGAAGCTTCTCAAGCGTATTGGTAGAGACCTATCATGCGAGAAAGTCTTATTTCGAAACTCTTGTCAGCGTTTCATGCAAGATATTGCTTCTCATTGCGGGATTGAAGAAGACGAAGTTAATGAGATTTTAAATGACCAAAATCATCCTCGGTGGAGCGATAGAACAATTGACCATGTTTCTATCACCAGTCGGGCTTCGGTTCAGCTATACCTGGACATATTCGAAGACATGATGGAAGAGCTTTCAAAGATAAATGATTTACTTGGAATCAAAAATGGGGAAAATCCACAGGTAAGCATTTTCAGATATTGGATATGCTTATTTCTAACAATCGCAGCCCGAACTCCTGGACAAAAAGACTCGTCGTCGGCAGTGGAAAAAGATAGTCTTAGTTCTCAAAGCAGATGGAATCGCCGCTCATTTGCAAAGAACCAGCAAGCTTAACGCTGATCTAGCGCTTCTTACCCAACAACATCAGTATATCATCACAACTGGCCGTGTCGCTCGCAAGAATACAAAGCAATATCAGTGGATCCGATCTCATGCCATCGACCTATATGATATCTTGCAATCAACTTTCCCAGCAACACCAAACTGCAATTGTCCGCTACGCCATGATGTGAACCTCAACTTGGAGTTCCGTAGTGCAAAGATCGCTGTACAGAGGCTATCTTTCCGCACAATCTTCACGGCTGAGTCTCCACTCTTCGCTCTTCAAAACTGGTGCGAAATTGAAATCGAGCCATTGGAAAAAAATTCAATTACACATTGTCGTGATCCCGGAAGACCAGTCCAAATAAATATTGCCCCGTCATCATCCTCGGAAAATATAAGCCAAGTCCAACCCGTTCTGGATCTCTGCAACTCTATTAGAGATACCGTCTACTCAAAGCGATGTTTGGGGCTCATCGGAAATAGCCCGGAAAAACAGCATCGTATTTGGACAACCAATAACCCACTCAAACCAGCATTCCACACTATACATACGATATCCTTGGCTGAGGTACTCAAAAACACGAAATTCAGACAAGAACAAAGAGCGCGGCTTGGTTTAAAGCTAGCCTCTTCAGTCATGCAGCTTCATACTACACAGTGGCTGACGGACATATGGAGCAACACTGATATTTCATTCGCATGCTCCATCGATGGAACCGTGGACTTCAACAATCCATTCATCCGACGTACCTTTGGGTCTCAAAGTTGTGATACAATATTCTCTGGCAAAAGATTTTCGAGACCATACTTAGTCTCGTCGGTCCCATGCTTATACTCACTTGGGATAGTGCTTCTGGAGTTGTGGTACGGCAATATCATCGACAATATGAAGAATCAAGATGAAAGGCACATGGTGAGTGCATATGCAGAATTTATGGGCCTTCAAAACCAAGATCTAATAGATCGAATAGCCAGCGCAATTTTCAGACCCTGTATGCGCCCAGCGTCTGACCAAAGAGATGGATTGCAGCCCTAACTACAAAAATGCAGTCCTCAGATGCATTTGTGGATTGGATGCTGTGTATACCTCATTGGAAGAGGATGCCTTCCGCGATGAGGTGGAAGAGAAGATCATTGGTCCACTAGAGGAAGACTTGAAGTATTTTTGCGATAAACAATCGATCGACCAATGTTTCTGATTATAATGGACTTTTGGGGGGAGGGGGGACGTAGTTGGTGAATACCTAGATACACCTCTCTCTCTCTTTCTTTCTTTCCCTTCTCTCTCGATAGCGAATAGAGCCCTATCAGCATCGACCGCTTCTCGGTGCATCCCTATCTTACTCAACGCTCGATGAATGTCCACTTGATGAGCACAGAAAATGAGATATAAAACCTGTTGAATTTCCCGACTAGACAAAAAGCCTAATAAGTCAGGAGTCTAGGAATCTTTATGAATATTCAACAAAACCAAGACTACAGGATTACTTTGCCAAGTCTCACAAACTAAGCTTTTCTATTTCTAAAGTAAAGTGAGATGTACTTATGAACCCCAACATTGGAAGGTAATTGATTTCGGTCGAAATATATGTATCCTCTGGCTGCTCGCCCGATCATTGGAGATTAGTTCAGCCTCGGAGCATCAAGGTTCGTTCGACCGGCATTTTATTATGCTTTGAGTCGAGTCGGTAACTCGAACATCTTGATCTTCGTCGGCGGCTTTGTGAAGAGAGTGCCTAAAGTAGCAGAAGCTATCATTTTCCCCTTCTGCGGCGCACCAAAGACCAAGGCCCCACCAGAATGATCTGGTATAACAGTGTTGCTTTTCTTAGAAGAGTGAGAGGCTCGGATACATTGCAGGAACTCAGGACAGACCCAGCAATTGCCGTGACAATGCTCTCCGCATTCTTGAAATGGAGACCCGGAAAGTTGCCAAAATTGAGTGTGGGAGAGTTTGCGGAACTCCGGCTGAGATTTAGCTCCATGTGTTGTTGATAAGCTGTCGATGCTTTGCATGGATGCCACCATGAAATCGGAGCCCATTGGCACGTTGTTGCATGGGGAGGAGTCCGGTACTCTTCTGCCCACAATTGCATCACCAAGGTCAGAACAAAAGAGGCAGTTGATTCCATCTAATAGAGATGACCAGGCCAAACCATCCTTCCTCACGCGCCCTTTTTTGAGTTCAGATCGTGGAGAGCCCATCAATATATCCATGAACTCATATCCGTATATTTCAGAGCGGACTGGCTTTTGAAAAGATGTCTTTGACAAATTCACTGAGAAGCCCATGATGAGCTCTCGAATCGTGAGAATTCCTCCCGACTGTTCCAAAACCACCTCACCATTATCTGCAAGGGCTTTCAACGATGCAAAATTGTCAGATACAAAGTTGTCAGGATCCCCGATGCTGGTTTTAGGGGGATCAGAACCTCGATGTTCGGTAAGAATTCCCTTCGAGTATACCAAAAGCATATGGTGCAGTACAGATACCAAGGGGACCAGCCAAGCCCTCTGTGTGTTGACATCATAGAGAACCACCTGTTCCACGGTACTATTTTTCAGGCATCGCAGGTAATTATCAGAAGGGGCAAATCGAACTGTATTCAGAGATCGGTCAAATGAAACCCCCATTTGCGCACCAACTTGCACCGGAGCAGCAGTCTGTGCGAGAACCTGGAGGTTGGCCCCTTTCCAGTGCCATGTACTGGCCTTCACTTTCGCATCAGACCAGGTAACATCAAGGGACATCTGATCTGTGCCCAAGAGAATGTCTGCTTTGGAACACCAGCCCAAAAGCGCTCTTTTGGATTGCAAGTATTCAAGGCTGTTCACTTTGAGCCATCTCCGCTTCGTTGCTTTGATTTCGGAAACCTTGAATTGCGATTCATGATTGGCCGTCTCCAAATGCCAAAGTATCATTCCGTCCTTGGTTTCCTTGATAGGAACGAGGACAGTTGAATAGCCCATGAGAACAAGACCCGAGTCAACCAAAACGGGATACTCCACTGCTGAAAGTCGGAGCATTTGCATGAAGTCTAGCTCCAACCCGCGAGATGGAGCCTGAGACTTCACGCCCACGGCTGGAATGATGACTGCCTCGTTAAAAAGACCGTGCCAGCAACGATTGTCTCTGGTGAACTTTGGAAAGGGTTGTATAGGGTCTAGCTGATGAACAGAACCCAGAACGCCAGACCATATTTCCGATGTCGACTTTGAAAGACCGATGATCCCAGGAGCCGGTTTTCTGACCGCGAGACAAAGCCACGTAAATATTTCGAGCAATTCCGGCGTTGAAGCGCTGCATTCTATTGCCATAGTTTCCCGACGTGAGACATCACGGATGTCGATTATCATAGTACCATCAGCTGGGAAAAGAAAATGGTATCAGCAAATCGTTCTGAAGATAGTGGGATGGTACCGACTAAAGAAGTTTTTGGGGTTTTGTAAAGCTCTGATAACTCCCCGGAGAAGGTCACCACCGAGACCGCCAAGTGTGTTACATAGGTAACGCTGTATAGTAGTCAACTCCACAGCGTCTTTCTTTCTGATCAGGAGATCCATATTTGAAAGGAACGTTGACATGTCTTTCCAGGTGTCTGCTAATAAAGCAAGCTCGCAGTCGATCTGTAGCTTCAAGACTTCCAGAGGAGCAGAAGCGTACTCAGATTCCACGATTTTCAGATCCTCACAGCAGGAAGGGTCATCCGAGACCAATCCGCGGATCAAAGTTGCTGATAGTGGCGAAATTTTGGCACCTGCTTGAAACAGGAGCCGGATAGCCTTGGGATTTCTGGTGAATGTCGCCACTGACATGGCATCGTTGAAGGCCCCAAATGAGAGAGACATATTGACATCTGCCCCTGCACTTAAGAGTAGCGGAATAGATTCAGAGGTACATGGACCTGCACAAGCTGCAGCAAGCACACTTCCAGAAACCCCGTGAGTGATTTGGAGGTTAACATCTGCTCCTTTATCGAGTAGAAATTGGACATTTTCTAGCTGTTCGCCGACACAAGCCGCCACGAGGGCACTCCCAAAGGCTCCTTGGGAGAGCTGCATGTTAATGTCTGCTCCGGCCTCGATCAGAATGTTGATCAAATTAACATTGGCGCAAAACGATGCTGCTGCGAGCGCACTACCAAAGCGCTTATGCTGAACTTGCATGTTGACCTGCGCGCCTGCTCTGATAAGAAGACTCAAATATTCTTCTCGGTCTTCCACGCAGCATAAGATGAGAGCACCACTACTCACATCCTCTGGCTGCTGTATATCGATGTCGGCTCCTGCGTCAAGCAGTAGCTTGATTGTCTCTGCATTGTCGTCAACACAGCAAGCTGCCATTAAAGCGTTCAAATTGCCAGTCTCGGAGCTCTCGTCGTGAAGATTCGCACCATTATCGAGGAGCAGCTTTACCATATCCGCACGCGAAGAGTGCGAGGCTGCAAAATGAAGTGCGGTTCCATAAACACTTGAGTAGTTGATATCGACACCCTCGGAGATACAATCGAGCACAGCGGTAGTATCTTGGTCCTCAATTGCTTTGTATAGCTTTGCGGATATAACAAGATTAGTGCGTTTCTTCTTTTTCGCGTGCGCGTACTTACCCGCTTTGCTCCATGGACCTTCTTTTTAAACTCGTCCGGATCACGAGCAGGAATGACAATGGTGGCCGGCTCGCCATCCGAAACACTAGATGCTGAGAGACATTGCGGATCGGCACCTGTGGTTTCGGGGCCCTTTGCGGCCAACTTGTATAAGTCCGCGGCCCAGGAATTCGCTCTCAGCGTTGGTAAATCGGGCGTGAAGTGTGTTGAGCGACTACGCTCCTGGCTTTGGCGCGTACTAGCAACCGACTCATTGTCCGTCTGAGCCTGTTTCTCTTTCCCTTTTGTTTTCACTTCATCTTGGTGGTTGTCGCCTCGTTTGGTGGGATTTTCACGCCAGAACAAAGACAAGCTCCTCTTTAAGGTTTCTTCTCCTGGGCTTTTCTTCGGCCGTTTCTTTGACGAGTCTCTAGGATAAGATGGGCTCCTTCTGACTGCTTGTTTCCCTTTCGCGACCCTGCTTAGACGTCTTCCACGTTTGCTGGGGAGATCACTGGGGAAGTCATCACCAGGGACCTCAGGGTAGTTTAGGAGTGACCTTTTCTCTCTTCTCGACCTTAGCGCTGTGATGGCCGAGAGCCCTCTTATTTTGTCGAAGTTCCTTGCCAACTCTCCTTGCAGAGGGAACGAGGATGTCATCGCAGCTGGAACAACTGCCGGTTGAGCAAACCCAGAGACAATAGCCAATGCCCACACGGATCCGTATCCCTAACCATGATAATTCTCATTCAGTGAAGATTGTCCCATCGCTCTCAGCCGCATTGCGGGGTGGGGGCTGTGCGTTGGCGGTACTTGATTCGCTCAACATTGCGCAGTGTACTAATACCCATTTGGAAGATCACCCGGGTGCAAAACGCGCGAGTGGCTGTGTGCAGTCGCCCAATCTGCTTACCTTGTACTGATTCGACCGAATGAGGAATATTGGGAGTAAAATTGGGAGTAAAATTGGGAGTAAAATTGGATCTGATTGTTTCATAGCATCTGGGCAAGCATCTTGGCAAGACACTATCAGATCTTGTAAAAGGACTTATTGAGCCAGACTATGTTTCCTCATATTCTGATATTGGTTAGTATGACTTGATATAACACCGACGGTCTAGAAGGTCCAAAAGGCGATGTTTTGGTACAACACTCCTGTTTGACTTGTTTGCACTCAATGTGGATATTGGCCCAGCGCGCGTTGCCATCGGCAACCATTTCTACGCTCTTTGCCTTGACTGCGGCGCGAACCCTGTAGGGGATCTGGATCGATAGCTGGTTAAAGTATCCCGAGCTGGCGCCGTAGATCAGCGGTGACATCAAGATGAAGGTCGGGACGTTGAGGGCACGGCCGCGTTCCACGATCGTCACGTCGCTGCGGCGTACCGGGAGGTCTTCCAGCTCCTGGCGCTTCTTGGTGCACTCGTATATGTTATCAAACTTGTCGAAGAAGACGCGATCTTCAACGACGGCGCGGATGATTGGACGGTCTGCCAAAGAGCCGGTTCCTGCAGTCTGCGGGGTGTATCTCACATCTTAGCAAGCTTGAATGAGATCCGGGATGTCGGAGTGGGGGGATATGGATACATCCAGGAAGAGGGGTGTCCGAGGTCCTTAGCGCCGATGGCACACATACATGGATAAAGTAGACTTCACGTCCGGTGGCTTCTTCGCGAGCAGCCAGACCTTCAATTATGCGTGCAATGCTTTCCGTGGGCACTGTTGATGCTGTGTGAATGACCACTGTGTGCCCATTTTGATTTCGGTCTTCCCGGGCCTAATTTTGGTGAAAAAGACTTGGGAGGATGTTTGGTTTTACTCACTATCGTGCTCCTTGGCCAAGCAGTGCGTTTGTTTTGTATCCTCGAGGCCATTGAAGACAACACCTTTGACACCCTTGGTCTGAAGGAGTTGCGCTTGTTCAGGCTTACGCACCACCGCAGTGATCTCCAAACGACCCTTGGTACTCTCGTTGGAGGTAGTCAACAAGGTTGTCAAAACCAAGCCTCCGCTGTGCGCCCCTCAAAGTTAGCCAGTGGTTTGGCGGTTGCGCCTGGGCGTTCTCTTACATGTATCCGGTGGCACCAGCGTACAGCACCTGAAGCGGAGACATCCTAAATAGCTCAAGATGTCCCTGGTCTAGTATAGCGTTGGTTTCGAAGGTTTAAACAGAGCTCGACGGCTTCAAAGCGACTGTGACGACTGTGACCCCAAAAGGCATTCAAGTTAGCTTTGAATGAAGAGGAAAACTTCCGTTGGGTTGAATTACATGAATGAATATATTTTAGTCATCGACTTCGAAGGTTATAACAGGTTCTGCGCCCTTGCTGAAGTCGATCTCATCATTTTTCTTGACTTAATGTGGCCGACGGGATATATATTCCGCTACTTAGTTCCAAACCTCGACACCAACATCCCTCCAAGATCACAATCCCGAAGTATACTCAAGTAGGTCGTGCTTCTTGCCCAGGTGCTCACATTTACTTCTTACCAACCTCGGAAGGCTCCTCACTCATTCCAACACCCGCAAGCCACTTCACTCAATCCCGAGGCTCTCTCACTTACCACAAACAGCCAGTCAAGACATCCTCCAGGGACACCCGCATCATTCCGCCCCATATGTGGTCACCTCCCAAGCTCTTTGTCTATACAAATGTCGTGACGACCGACATTATGCCTCCCGTTTTCGGCGCAGCGGACGGAAAAGTGGGTTTTGCAAAGCAGATTCTGGTATACGTGGAAAGGGCGCTAGGCACATGGAGCTGTCACATGAATACGAAACAGCTGGCTACCAAGCACACAAGAAGGCATGAAGTACGGCTGATGGACCTCTCTTTCTGACCTATGGAGCTGCACTTCTACATGGAGCTGCACCTCTCCGCGGAACTGCAGCTCTGGCGATGATGAATTTGCTCACTGTAGAAGCTGCATTGCTTCCGTGGAGCTGCATCCTTTCCATGAAGCTCGCTAGCTTCCTGTGGCCATGAGATAACCTTATATCTTCCCTCATCCTCTCCCTCTGGTCTTTTCTTCTTGACGCATCCAGAGATCTGTCTCTGTTCCTCTCTCTGGAGATCATCGAGCTACGGCGACAACATATCTGCCTAAGAAACCACACACGGGGTGCACCTGAGCGACGTCAACGTTTGGTCAGAATGAGTGAGGTAAGTGTAAGGAAGTGAGCTCGAAGTGTATGAAATCTAAATTGACGTCGAGGTAGGATAACAGGAAGAAGAACATTCCCGGGAACATGGGCTTCAGCGCCGGTCGTGGAACGCCAAATGTCCTAGACGAGGCCCAAGTTATTTGGTCGGAACAGGTTCCCCCCGAAGTCGTCTTTCCCTATCCATTTCCGATACCTGATCAGCGTCCGGTTGGCATGTATGGAGACGGACCGCTAGTTCCGAAAACTTTTCAGCATCAACAATCCTCATTCGGCGTTTGGAACGAACAACGAGAAGCCGTTTTGCACAAGCAAGCAGACAACCGGGATGAGATGATCAAGCAATGCATACCCTGGAGGCAAGCTAAGCAGGGTTTGGAGGGAGTGGATCCTCATAGACCGTCTATCATGTCATGATCATCCACTCCGAGCATGGTCCAGACCAGCTTTGTGCGGATACAATCGTCCGGGGAAGCTTGCACGACATCAGCCCGAAAGCACAAGGTGTCAGGTCTGCTTGGTCAGCGGACCCTGTTATGGGATGACAGGGCTTGTTTGATAGAGTAGATAGAGGCTTCTCCTTCTCCCTCTCTCTCCTTCTTTTCCCCGTCCTTTTCGATGAGAATACTATCTACATCATCATTCTTCTTCCTGTAGACGTGTTCTATCACAAGGACAGTCTATCTTCGCCTGGAATGAACCCGAGGCCAAGTTCGATGACCGATTCTTCGCCTTGAGGGTCTGGCGAGAGAGTGGCAAGGACATCATTTTCAGCCCTCGCTTCTTCGAGTGTGGTGCCCTCCCTCACCACCCGCCCGCTATCCGCCAACTCGGATGGGTGTCGGGGTCTCCAAAGTCCCCCGAGCATGTGGGCAGCAACTGGGAAGGCGAATAACAATCCGTCGATTGATAAGGCGCCAGCTCGCCTTCAGCCCCATTCTGAATCTCTTTGTTCACTAGGACCAATGCACTTATTCGGTTGAATCTTGTCGTGTGACATTTTCTATCTTTCATGAACTCCAGATTTGATTCTGGTTGCTTTGGTAGCTCTGTCGTATCTACGATTCGCGACAGTATGGACAATCAAACCCTAGCTTCGGCATTGTACTAGTCGGTAAAGCCACAAGACATTGTTAGCATCGGACTCTGCTTGTCAGCTAGTCTGAAGTGTAAACAAGTGTAAATTACACTGTATTCCATACAACAATGGTGAATTGCCCCTGAAAACAAGTTCAAAAGATGAGGTGAGAACTCAGTGAAAAAAACTCTATCTGAATGCCGCGTGAAGCTGCAGTCTGTGCCCATTGTCCGGAGTACTCCGCACTGCCCAGAGCCAAGAATCTTTAAAACGCCTAAATTTGAGATGCTGCCCGGGTGTCAGCTGCCAAGGTGCAAAGTGTACGGAACAGTACTCGTAGTTAACCCACTAGTTGAAAAGTTTCGAGCACGAGTAGCCACCATCGGCAAGAATTGCCGATGAAACTTGACAGTTGAGCGAGAGCTGAAAGGTAGTTTTCAATTGGGATATGATTTGCAATTCCAAAGCCGTTTTTCGCCATATTAATTCCATGTGGTCGACTCCGTCACTCCTATGATCGCCGCGTTTATAATCAGAATTAATTATTATGAGACAGCCGTTGCAACCCTTAAAAGGTAGCTGTTCCAGTCTAGTGCATAGGATAAACGCCTGTGCATTCGACCATCCCGTAAGATCTAGGCAATTCTGTGGGGCGAAATGTTGAGAAAAGCTAAGCGACCGGCTAGTGGTCTCAGTGACGGTCGGAAATTAAGTGGCTTAATTATGCGGAAGCCAGTGCGAAGATCAACGAAACATGACTCGCACAACAAGTTTTAAAATTAGCACATCGAATAGGGGCAAATCGCACATGGCACGGAGCTGCAGATGTCCAATTGATCGATAATTTATCGATCGATCGATCCAAGTGTATAAAGAATTTGGGTCGATTGAAACGTGTTTGCTAGGCCAGTCAGATCGTGACAAAATCCTTCAGGATCCGGAATCAGCCCGAAGATGGGTTCGGGCGGTACTTGAAGAGACCGCAGGGCGAATAGGCGCAGGCAAAAAGATTCTAAGCGTTCTGGAAGACCCGGAACCCGATGGTTCGGTACCGGCCAATTGTATAGGGTTAGACTGGACGCGATGTATATCCACTCCCAACATCCACCTTGCTTAACCATCCTTGCTTAACAGCGAATCAGCATCCCCACAAGTAATAACCATAGGGTTGAGCTAATCTAAAACGGCCATCCGACAGGTGATCAATGGAGTTGAGCGGGGATTGTTACGGATAACAGGGCATCCGCGAGTCCATCGTGCCGACATGCGCACCCCACTAAATCCCCTAAACAGCATGAAAACACGAGCGATCGTAAGCACTAGAGAAGATTTCTTTCATTGTATCTCTGTTTTCGATTCAACCCAAGATTGAGTAACTCTAAAGAGCCTCGATACAATTCCTTAAGAGGTCGAGAGACTGCCGAAAACCCCAGATTGGCCTTGAAACAACCCTCCACCTTGACGTTATGGTTGTTTACGCCGATGCTGCCCCGTCCCTGGCGGGGAGCACGATTATGCTCACGATATTGGCTTTCATCACATATGGCTTGCGGGTCTACTGCAGAGTGACTCGCAGGTCGTGGGGTGTAGAGGATTGGATTATGACGGGTGCAATGGTATGTTTCAAATCCCGACTTCTGAAACCATGACTGACACAACGAAAGGTACCCTTCGCTGTGCTTGTTGCAGGATGTATTGGAGGAGCCTTCAATGGACTGGGCGCGAAGAATGCGACTCTCGCCCAAAGTGGCAACGAAAAATACTCTACAGAAGGAAAAAAGGTATGCGCGGCTATGACAGTATCAACTACTAGGTAACGGAAAACTAATCCGTCGGCTAGTTCTTCCTCATCTTTGAAGTCGGCTACTGCGCTGCCATTATTCCCATCAAGCTCAGTATCAGTTGGATGTTGATTCGAGTGGCCCAAGGTCGCAAGGCATACCTCTACGTGCAATATGTTGTCATCGCTACCTTCGTGTGTATGAACTTCATTGCCCTGATCTTCATTTTGACAAACTGCATACCCGTCGAGTAAGTGAACCCGCGATAAGAAATATCTCTTACCGGAGCATCTAATGCTGAACTCTTCCTAGGGCTGCTTGGAGCGCCTCGGCACTTGCGAATGGAGGCCACTGCAAGCCAAGCTATGTTCTTGCGGACGTTTACTACGCCTGTACCGCCGTGAATATTGTCACCGACTGGATCACAGCTTTCCTGTAAGGATCAACCACCGCATTACACAAACTCGATCCCTAATGCTAACCCGTCAAAAGCCCGGTACCTTTGCTCTGGAATGTGCAAATTAACCGCAACACCAAAATTTCGATCATTGGCCTGATGGGTCTCGGTATCTTGTACGTGATCTTGCTATTTACTTCGCATTCGCCTAGCTAACATTCTCTTCCTAGTGCATCACTATCAGCATGTGTTCGACTTAAATACACCGTCGCCCTCACCAACCAAAACGATTATCTCTACGGCGTCGCAGACGTGGTCATCTGGGGATTCGCAGAGAACAGCATCGGCATGATCGTTGGAAATGTGGCTACTCTGCGCCCATTGTTCCGTATTCTGCGCGACGGCAAGACTTCCGATTACAAGAACTACCACCAATCACCCGGATACAACAACTCGCACCGCACTGGAGGAATGATGAACTCTCGCAACTACGAGCTCAGTGAGAATGTCAAGGGCCTCAACCATATGACTACTACGTCGGCTATTGATCACAATCCTCGGGGTAGCTTGAGTGACGGGGATAGTCAGAAGGAGATCCTTGATAATGGTCAACGGCCTGGTGAGGCTGATATTGTCGTGAGTCGGCAGATTCACGTGGCGTATAACTGAGAGTTATATACGGAAAACGTGCGTTGTCCGTTCTTGTACATTTTTTTAACTTATACTTAAGTATCAATATTCAATCTAAAGTGTAATTACTATCTCGTTCATATCTCCACCGACAGCTTTGTTGATTACAACTTTAGAATAGACGACTTTTGGGAGATAGCGAGAACCATAATCACCAAATACTTAGTAGTACACAGAATTTGGTTTAATCACAAATCACCATCCCCTTTTTCTCGTTGTCAGACCATCTACATTTGTTTCCAGTCCTAGTGCACTGCGAAGAACTTGTCAATAGATCCTAGAATTCCACAATTAGCATACTTACTCTATGGGAATCCGCGCATGTGCCCCAATAAAAGTCGCCTTTCACACAAAATGTACATTTCTGGGTTTTGCCTGCTAAACAGTACTGACTTAAGTCAATATCTTATCCCTCTTTCTAAATTTGAAGGCGGGCATACTGAAAACGACGGAATACTCACGCCATGGTATGTCCTCCCAGAGTCCTGTATTTCATGAGTTCCCTCCTGTATTTCGGGTATAAGTTGTTGATCGGCCCAACGGTCCGGCAGATTATCATTTCCCGAAGTGTTCGAACGTGCGCGAGCAGCTGACGTACATATGGCTATGTTGCTGGCTATCAAGAGCAGGAAACATGCTCACCTTGAATTTCGGGCTCGGCGTGGGCAAAGGATCCAAGGACGGCGTCGACATATAGAAAAACAAATATCAAACACGCGAGCAACATTTTCAACATTTAAGCTTCGATATTATATTCGCATGAGCTAGTACTGCCCCAGAGCTGTACTTAATAATTGCCGAGTGAAATAGCTAGAGCTAGGACTCATTTATAAACACGATCTTAAGTCCAGGCCGACTTCGCGAGTGGAATTTTTGTCTTTTGGCTTGTATTTTCATTAGGCAATGTTGCATCAGAGTGTTACTCATGAAGTCTTGTGATTGATCTGTATCTGTCTGAGTTGCATTTAAGGCTAATCCGCGGGGCAGGAAAGAGGGGTTTCAGCCGACGTATTCTAATACCTCGGACTGGAACTTGATGATTAGTCCAGACGGTGGACGGGGTACTTTAATATCGAGTGGGGATTCTGAGTCGATGCTTTGAGGTGTGGGGTATGTAACCTCAGTTGGAGACTATGAATCTTACTCCCTAGATGAACCTTATTAGATAGAGCAAGAGGAAAGGATGAAGAATAAAGATGTTTCGCATAATATATGACACATGTCTAACCCAGTATGATACAAAGCGCGCCAATTGCAATGCAAGACTCGCCCAATATAGTACAATGTTGAGCTGGGGCTCCGAGAAAAAGCAAAAAACCTTGGGACGCCCCGAAGATCTAGTTATAGTGTACAATGCCGTAGGATGCGGCTAGCTGCCAGTGATCCTCAGCACAAATTCATAGACGCCAAGAGTGATGATGGCCGATGGCAAAGATCGAAGCATATGAGGGGCAAGACCGCCGTACAAGCCAGCCATGCCTTCTTCCTTGGCAATGGTTCGGAAGCATTGCGCCAAGCCGGTGTATTTAGGTCGGCCATTTTCCATCGGAGCCTGGCGTAGTCGGGTTCGCATGACCTAGTAGAATTAGTAAAGTCTTTCAACTTAAGGGCCGAGAGAGCTTACCTCATGGGGGTAAGTGGTTAAGCCCGCGATCAGCTTTGCAGAACTTGCGGCTCCACTGGTGCTAACCCAGTGTGAAATCTCATCCCAGAGAGGAGTATGGTTACCCTCAGAAGGCTTCAATGTGTCGCGCAGGCTGGTTTTCAAACGTTCATAGAGCACCAAGTGTAGAGCCGTCTCAATTGAGCCAAGATAACTTGCGCTCATTCCCCGATAGAAACCGCGGATTCCTTCATTGCGCAGAGTTTGTCTGACGCAGTCTATGCTATTGCGGTATTGGCGGGTGGAAGACCCGCTGGCATGTGTTTGTGTTTTGTCGAGTTGGAGTCTGGTCTTAATCAACCAGATTGGGTTTGTGGCGGTCGAGGTCGCAAGGCCGGCGCAAATTGCTGCCTGCGCATGAACAAGAGGAGAGTCTTCCGCTCGGCCCAGGAGTTTGGCTCCGATATGTTTGCAATTTCCATAGACGTAGAATTTGATCGCAGTTGCGGGGACCACACCGGCGACGCTCGGTCCAAGACCTCGGAAAAACGCGCGCCATCCTTCGGCGCGATATATTGAGCTTATGATTCGTATCGTTTTATGATTCGATCCGTGATGCGGTTGGGGTGTTTGGAGAGAGTGGTTGGAGTGGCTTGAAGTTTGATAAAAGTCGGACTGAAGGCGTGTCCTCAAGACATCAAGAGGCGATGTCACAATGGCAGTCGCGAATCCACCGGTCCTAGAAAGTAATTGTTAGATTCGTGAAGATGACAGGTGGAAAAGAGTGAACGTACGCGCCTGCCAGCAGGTGTACCCATGAGGCAACCGGCTTCTTTGTTGCAGTATTAATAGGGCTGGTAGGCTTGGTGACTTGCACCTGCTGATATTCCTTGGTTTTTGCCTCCATGATGGCGTTCAATGGGAAGGGAGATCTGGGGTTCTTGTCAACACTTTTTTTCTCGATAAGCGCGATAACAGCACGTGATCCCCGGTCACATGACTGCGCGGTACGAAGATCTTCGCTCCACTTTCCCTTACTGTCTCTCCACTGCCAACGAGAGGGGCTGGGCCACTGGATGAACGGCCCCTCAATTGTGCCCTGGCACCCAGGTGCTGACTGCGGAAGCCATGGATGACATAAATACCGAAAGAAAATCAAGATCTACGCATTCAAAATCACGCTTTGGATGTGTAACTTGCAAGTGAGTGACTCCAAGTCAACTATTGACGTACCAGCTAAAAACCAAGGGCGCGACACAAAAAGTGTGACGAGACTCGCCCGGCATGTCTTAGATGTATTAGCTCCAGAAAGCTGTGTGGGGGCTACGAGATTGTCATTGACAAACGGTCACGAACTTGGCGTGACTATGAAGCCGCCGATGTGGCCAACAGTCAGAGCGTGGTAGCCCCGCGAAGCCACGCACGAAATCTCGGGCCATCTTTCAGTGTGATGCGATTACCTCTCATTTCTACTCGGACCTACCTCACATGGAATGAGCGATGGTATCTAGACTACTATCGCAATTGCGTTGCGGTACGACTCGCCAACTACTATGACTCTCCATTTTGGAATCGCTTTGTGCTCCAAATATGCGACCAGCACCCTCTGGTCTGCCATGCTGCAGTCGCTGTTGGGGCTTATTACCACCAACTGGAAAGAGTTCGTTGCGGCGAGAAAGTGGGTCAAGAATCCCTTCTCGCTCTTCATCATTCTACAAAAGCGATCAGTTACCTCCGAGAAACTCTGGCACAGGAATCTTCAGCCTCGAAAGGATCTTCTGTGGGCAAACCAAGTAATCTCCACAAAGAGCTTGTCCTAGTGACATGTGCCATATTTGCATTCCTGGCTTTCTTACAGGGCGATACTCTTACCTTCCGTTCGCATTTGATCTCCGGATACAAACTTTTTAAGCAATGGGGAATTGACAAAAGAAGTGTATCCGGGCTTTTATTGAACCGATTATTCGCCAGGATTCATATACACTGGGTTTTCTGCAGCGACCCTCAGTTACTCGAAAAAATGCCCGAAGGAGCTCAATGCTTCCTTGCCGAGTATTCAGTAATCTTTGAGAATCCGGCCGTTATGCGAAAACCCACATCTGTCTTCACGCCCATTGATCAACTGGATCGAGTTCAACAATTGATAGCCTATTTCAATGGGGTCATGCTACACGGCACACATACGGATTTTGAGATTGAACCCGCAGGTTCTCTCAGCCCTGGCTCAACGGCGATATTGATCAAGTTCCAGCACTGGAGGACTGCAATCACGGAAATTCTCAACGAATCCAAATACATTGCGCCAGAAAACAGTGACTATCTCAAATTAATCACTTTCTGGGCCGAAATGATTGGAATCAAGGTCGCTGTAGCCCAGTCTCCCGAACCAAATGAGTTGTTATTTGATGATCACTTGGAGCAATTCCTACGGGCGTCTAAAATGGCCCAAGAGTTGACAGAACCGAGCTCGAACCTTGACAAACTGTCCCCGAGGTTCTACGAAATCTCCCTCGTCCCTGTATTATTATGGGCCGGGGCCAAATGCCGCAATTGGCTAGTCCGTCGAACTATCTGCAACACACTGCGGAATTTAGCTGGGGATCACTACTTGGTGTACGCAATAAATACTGCTTTGAGTAGACTAATATCGCTCGAATCAGATGGAGTCAAACGAGGGGAAATCATTCCGAAAGCTGCTCGTTTCGATTCTATCAACTTGAAGACCAACCGTGAAGAATCGACTGTTGAACTGCGGTATCGCAGACCTCCCACGTCAACAAAAATCGATGTTCATGATCACTGGGGATCCGACTTGATGTACTATGAGCCTTTTCAAGAATACAACTAACCTCCATCACCATCAGTTCTGGTCACCCATTTCAATTGGAACCATATCGCAGCACTGGATCGTGCGGCTCACTGAAACCTCAACCAACTACCATCTGATGACTTTGGTGGGGAAGAACTCGTCGATCAGCTCCGTATAGTAAGGCTGATTTGACAGATGTTAGACATATTCAAGAAAGAAAGATTGTTCAAATTGGGGAGAACAGCTCACCTTCAACTTCTCAGGGTCAGGGAGCTCATCACTCTTGCTGTACAAGTCGTACGGGTTGAATGCCTTGACCGCTTCCAACATCTTGTGGTCATGCTCATTCATGAACTCACGATAGGCTCCCTCTCGGTGCCAGGGGTAGAAAGAGTGGTAGCGGATCATTGCCAGGCCTTCTTCCGGGATTGTAGATTGATCCTTCACGATGTGATAAAGATATTCATCGTGGCCCCAGCAGATCATGACATTCTCCAATCCACAACCAGGAGAGTAAATTCCATATTTGGAGCTATACACCTCGTTGTTATAGTCCTCATTGTCTTTGAACGACTTGTTGCCGAAAATGATCCTGTCATCAAAGGCGCAACCGACCGCGAAGGTGTCGCCAACAACGTCCCATTGTCCTTTAGCCCCGAAGAAGAACAGCAGCTTTCCAAGATCGTGAATCAACCCCACAAGCTGCATCCATCGGGGCTTTCCTTCGTTGCGAATCGCCTCGGCAGATTGCAGCAGGTGCGTCATCTGAGACTCAGAGGTATCGGGATCACATTCGTCGATGAAGGTGTTCAACTTTTCCATTGCTTCCCAGACTGTCATATGGGCACGAGTCTTGTTCTTGAAATCGTTGCGTGCTTTCAGGTTGTATGCCACAGTTTGGAGAGTGTGCTGCTGGGCATAGAAATTCTTCACTTGATCACAAGCATCCTCGAACTGACGGAACCCTTGTTTATCTTTGGCTTTGTCGAATTCGGATTCTTCATAGAGACCTTTGTCTTGCTTCAGATCCGTCTTGTGGATGTTGACAGCGTCGATGTTGTCAGACATAGCCTCGAGGCTGATAGGGGCTGATTGAATAGCAACTGCCATTTTTGCGCGTTGGGAAGGTTGAATTGGCTTTTGTGTCTTGGGCTTCGATTTGGTCAACAGTAAGGTAGATGAGGTGATCTTGGTCTGTTGGTCGTGTGTTTTCCTTCGAGCAAACCATCGAGCTTTATAGCTTGGAACATGCTCTCTTTCGATGCTTTCTCGGATCGTGGTTTCCGCAACGAGTATGACAGTCAACGTGGACTTTGGGATAGGATTCTCTCGGTGTTGTGCTTCCGTCTACAACATTCTGTCATTGCCAGATATGGAGGTGCCATCTCAAAGCCCGTACATACCGTGCCACCAACTGAATGTGGAAAGCGGGTTCCGGATTCTGGCTAGACTAGATATGGCAGGGTCAACCCCGAAATCAGCCAATCAAAGATTCTTTATATCAATCCAAAAGCCAACACGTTATTATGTGTTATTCAGCAAACTTTGGCTGAACAATCCTATGCAACCCCTTGCCAAGGATCTGCCCAGGTCTGTCTGGGCAGTGAATGCTTTTTTCCCACTAATTTGAGTTCATAATAGTTGTGTATCCGCTAATCCAGTTAGTCACAGCACCTTAGATCATTTCGTATCCTATATAAGAATGTAGGCTGTGTTTCCTTGTTCTCTTGATATGTGATGTGTTTCTTGAATTAAATGCATCATGTTCCAAGCTGTGAAGAGGTAATTTTTTTGGAAAGCATTCTTACAAAGGATTCCCAGCTCCCTACACAAAGCTGCATGTAGTAGGAGCTCATCACCGTGCACAGTGCTTTCTCCTGAAGTGTGGACCTCGCCTCGGTGTTTGTTTTCCGTCGAAGTTTATACAGTCGGGATTATTTCCACTGGGATCGGCAATAATTGCGATTGGTACCTTAGCAGCTTCAAATTTAACTTTATGAAGCATTGAACCACCTTTGAACGATACGTCCTCCAGAAATAACTTGTGTCAATGGCGATACGGTTCCAGTGTGCTAGGGTTCCTTCCTAAAGCCGACAACCCGAGAGCATAGCAGATTCTGGTCAGATAATTTTCTTACGCATTGAATATATTTGGGCCCACTTCTTAGACTCAAAGACGCGCGAAAAATCAACTCTAAAGGAGGTCCCCCGCGGTTTCCATCCAGGACTTGATTGTTGTGGGGGGAGGCTCTGCGGGATACTGTCACGTGGCACACGTTCCGGCTCCACTTTCCTGATTGGGAAGTCCGGCTGAATACATACCTCTCTTCTTTGATCAACGCTCTCGATCGGTTTCCTTCGCTTGTTATACCGTGGAACAATGATAATTATACCGAAGCGCTGAAAGGAAGCCTAACAATGCTTTGTGGCGGTGATTGGATAATAAAGTGTGCAACTTTGTTGGTTTCCTAATTTAGACCCAACAAAGAGCATTCAGACCAATTCTATGTCTAACATGCAGGGATTTACTTGCAAAATGCCTATAAGAAGGGCCAATCCCATGATCAAAGTGAACTCTATCATCCTAGCGAGCATCCTCCGCGCCCCCAGAAGCCTCAATACATTTCCTGAAATCCATTTCACTCCAATTTGGCAAGTACCACCCCTGACTAATTTTTCCACCTGAGCAACTTACAGTCATGGCAGACAAAACATTACGTACGTGCCCCAGGCACGGCACACCCCGTGAAAGAAACATTGACACCGAACACCGTGAACTTTACGTTCAAATTTGCATCCAGGAACGCGGCGGTTACATCCACTGGTGGATTTTCATGAGGTGCCCGGGTTCTGACTTGGGAACTCGACTGCATTGCACTGGCGGGTATGGCCGGCGCACGTTGTCCATGGAACTTGATAAGCCATTTAACAGCCAGCTGGTCAAGACCACACACTATCTCGGTAGGATTCATAGGAGAGACAGTATCATTGTGCCAACGGAGGCTGAGAAGATTCCATTGCAAGATCCCCAACTTTGGGTCTGCTACTTGGTTCTCCGACTTGAGCTCAAGAGGCTGATCCAAAATGGGTTGTACGATCATTACAGGTTCTGTTACAGGCATCCTGGGAAGGACGAGGATTTCGGACCAGGACAAGGTGTCAGACTCCCGCCTCGTTGCCCCCATAGCCATTAGGTAGGGCCCTTTGCTCTCTGATCTCTGATAGGTTAGCTTCAACTCAATCGTACAATCAATGACATACAATGGAATCTCGATGTAGAACAGATATTTCATCGCTTTTCGGTAATCAGGCCGCTCCCTGGCTGTCGACGCTGACTGAATAATAAATAAGTGACCACCTCAAAAATAACTTTTGTTTCCTTCCAAATAAGTTCCATTTATCTGCTCTTTGCCTTCTCTGCTGTCGTCCTCATCATCCTGATTGTAGTTGTTTACCTGGTGGTCATGGTGACGGAAAAGTCGTGGGTTCTTCGGGGGCCTCGCGGTCGCGTCTACGGACGCGTAGCGTTTGTATGGAGAAGGCGGAAATCGAGGGTATCAACAAATTCTGCTCAAGTTGTATACAAGGTATTATCTTGTCGCAGTATTTGATTTCCGGCAATTAAGGTACTCGGTAATTTCGGATGGCCGAGTGTTGTCGCACTCGTTTTCTGTCTTGATTCCCTAGGCGCCAACATTGTCCAGTCGCGCGTCGGATCCGAGTGTACGGAGCAAATATGGCAAGAGTTGGCCAAGCTCGGACAAAAATTGATATGCACTTGAAAATCCGGAGTCCAGTTATATGGAAACTCGAGAGTGGATTCTAAGCCCTTGATCAGCACCCTACCCCTCTGCCCTCTCTTCCCGTAGACGGGGTCCCCGAGCAGATACCGAACAACCCCTCTCGATATTGGCCAATGGGAATGACGGATGCCTGGTCGGAATTAAAATGACGAACGTGTCCGCCGGAGCTACGGTTCGTAGCGGGTAGGCGGAGTAGACAGATCAAATGTTTGATGACAGGGGCCAGTCGGGGAGGGACCACTCACGACTCGGTCTCGATCGCTTTGCTCCGTGAAGAGAGGGGGGTTGCAAAATGGGGAAAAATGGTGTGGAAGTAGCGGAACGGAGCTCACTAGTCGTTAGGGAGTAGAATGAGTTATTCTTGGAACTCTTTATTCACTTTGTTGTCATTGCTCATCTTCTAGTCCCTTCTAGGGTTGCATATGTGCCTTGGCGGTGATATGGAGGCTCGAGCTTGGAAAACAATCAGCCACTCTGTAATGTACATGCTTACATGCTGCAACTGACTGTTGTCTAAGGTGTCTGAATACTTTTGGCCCCATGTTCCTAATCCCAGAATGGACTAGTAGATTGGGAATCCCGCCAGTTCATCCCTATGCCCAGCTCCCGGCAACCTGGTCCTCGGATTCGGCCTTCTAGTTGACATTTGAAAAGAGTAGCGGTGAAATTGATCAGATTTTCGCCAAGAATGACCCGGTACACTTCATTGGCAGATCGAATCTTCCATGGCTCAATTGTTTTATCTATCGTACCAGAATGCCGTAAGAAGGTGAGTTCTGTATTAGGAGATTAAAGAACAAATCCAGAACATGCAGCTTTTCGTGCATACAGATGGCCGCTAGTGCCGTATCCAGATGGGACAATCGGTCTGCCCCCAAGGCTGTGGTTCAAGCCCCGAGGGGCTCAAGTCCCCAGAATAGAGCCGGCCTTCCAAGGTTTACACGAGAAGTCTGCATCCATTGTGCCATTAACTGTATGAGGTGTTCATCTAGCCAGTGCAGCTTACTCTTGGGTTGTGACTGGGTTGTCTCAAGACTCAACTACCCAAATTCCTTCATCTTTCCCCGCATGTACTGGATACCTCCCTGCAACCTATTTAAGTCTCGACACTCTTCGAAATTCACCTTTAAGTCACCTTTGCCAACGCCATCATTGCAAAGCGCTATCCGGTCCACTCTCAGCAATTTTCTACTTCACATCGCTGGTCTTGCTCGTTCCCTTTACCATGTCATACCCTTTTCCCGATGACACAGACAAAAACTCCGAGACTTTCTCCTCTGAGGGAGTTGGGTATTGCTTCTCCGAGGACAATGCTTCGCATCAGAGCTTCGCCTATATGCCAACCCCACTGCAGAGCATACAGCCTTACCCCGAACAGAACGGCCAAGTCATGCGCTTCCTCCATGATCCGTATGCATACACACCAGGCCTGTTGGCTCTGAGTGACAACAACATGGCCATGTCGAGCACCTCCGCTGAATACTCACATGGCACGACAGCTTCCTAGATGGGAGACAGCGCTGCTAGGGTTGACCGAGAGAACATGCCGAATAACTCTATGGATTTTGCGGTACCCGTTTCACGCAATCTCCGAGAGGGTCATGCCTGGTCCCCAGAGGGGGGACCTTCCGATGATACACTCTATGGAGGTCTCCCAGCAAATCATTGCGTGTCGCGTTGCTGCTGTCATCCATTACCCGCCACCAAGTGAGTATCCCCGGTTCAGCCTTTTGCGCATGCCAGGGTTTCATCTGACCGATATTCAAGAGAATCCGTCGGTGGTTTCAGGTGCCACTGGAGAGGCTGCAGAAACACCACCAAATTCACTCATGATGGGTCTCTATGGCGTCACATCAGGGAAAAGCATCTAGCCCCTGATGCATTCAAGTGTCCTGATCCACACTGTAAAAAGTCCTTTGGCCGAATGGACAAGTGGCGGGAGCATTGCCACTTCGCGCACGGAGCGAAGCGCTCAGGAGAGCGTCGCCGTGGCTCTTGTCATACTTGAGATCTCTCTGGTCTTGACGGCACCACCCCGGGATTTTGAATTTTTTGTCGGGTCAATATTCTGTGGCATGTGTCAATTTGTTGGCGGAGATATTGGGGATCTCATCTTATCTGTTTTTTCTGCATACTCGCTATTGAAATTTCAAAGGATTTGGTTTTTGAGCGATTCTTGTTCAATACCAACGCGAAGATCAAGATCTCGCAGACAGCATGGAGTGCACACCGCGTCAATCTACGCCGCGACCCCGGGAAAGCCCTGAAGCCCTGGAGCCCTGGAGGGCCGAATGACTTATCTAATTC